AAACTCTGGAGACAATGTTGCCACTAATCTTAGAATAGGATCCATAAAATTCTCTGAAATTGTAAACGGGACCTATTACAGTGACAGATTTTATGCTCTGTTAATTATGGATTGCACACATAACCCAAAATTTGTTTTTCCCCTTATGATGGCACAAAAATTAAAAAAGAAAAATAAATTTATTTCTCAGCTGGTAAGCAGCTAAATATAAGATTTGTGTTTCTTGGTGTTGTGTAATACTGCTGGCCTAATTCCAGACACTAAACTCCTCAGCTGTCCTTGACAGGTGTAAAGTGGTTTCACTAACTTTGTACTTCTGCAAAAACACGTTAGAACTATTCAGAGATCCTGGCGACCTTGAGTATTACAGCCATGCCATTTTTACAGACTGAGAGTCATGACCACACCTTAACTCTCTTACCTACATTACTGCAAACTACCTGCCAAAAATGATGTTTAAATAGGCAATTATCAATGCCTTTGTCAGTCTGCGGAACTATGACCCTCTGATGCTATAAACACATGTGTAAACTTTCAGCATAAGCACTGAATGACAAGTCCCATGACTGAATATTAAAAAGGTCAAATTTCTTCAACATCTCATCACTAAACATGTTAACGAATTATATTACAGAAGCCCGAGACTGTGCAATAAGGGTTCTCCTGAGAGATCTCTTCCCTGTTCCTGCCTTGGTGGAAAAAGGAACATCCCAGGTCATTATGTTACAGATTTTTAATTTGAATGTGAAATAAAAAGGTTGAGTTTGAATTTGTTCATCCACCAACAAATCCTGCCAGATCTTTAGCTTTTATGCAATATAGGGTTCAAAAAATATCTTTAACGTCAACCAATCAACTGCCATACAAGCTTTAAGAAGGAAGGAAGGAAGGAAGGGAGAGAAAGAAAGAAAGAGAGAGAAAGAGAGAAAGAGGGAAAGAAAGAAAGAGAGAGAGAGAAAGAGAAAGAAAGAAAGAAAAAAGAAAGAAAGGAAGGAAGGAAGAAGGAAAGAAAGAAAAAGAAAGAAAGAGAGAGAAAGAGAAAGAAAGAGAGAGAAAGAGAAAGAAAGAAAGAAAAAGAAAGAAAAAAGAAAGAAAAAGAAAGAAAGGAAGGAAGGAAGGAAGAAGGAAATAAAGAGAAAGAAAGAAAGAAAGAGAGAGAAAGAAAGAAAAAAAAAAAGAAAGAAAGAAAGAAAGAGAAAGCTAGATAAGGCCCTCAGAGGGCCGAGCGGGCCATGCTCAGGGGCTGCCTCCAGCACTGACGGCGGCGGGGCAGCAAAGCCTTTCCGTGCCTTCCCTTCCCGGCCTTCCTCCGCCACCCTGCGGGCTCTCGGGCTAGTGATCCACAGCAGGCTCCGGTGGGGACCGGCCTCGATGGGAAAAAAAGATGACGGAGAAGGGCTGTCCCGCCTTCCTCAGGGACCTTCCCAACACTAATGCTTCTCTTGATGATCCTGTCCCGTGCCAGGAACTGCAGCAGGACTCAATCCAGAGCAGCAGAAAGAAGCAATTATGTGCTTCCTCAGGCAGAACAGCAAGGCTGAATTCATAGGATATCCTCTTGGAGACCATGGCAGCAGTTATGGCTGTCAGGAAACTGGGGAAGAGGGGTAAATAGAGATGGCGTGCTGGTAAATACAGGTGACTCACTTCCTAACAGTCTGCTTGTGGTCTGGCTTTGAACAGTGCTTGATGTTGGTCATTCTGAGGTCAACAAAACTAAAAATTACATATTTTTAAAACTGTTCTTAGACAACATAGATGAAATAAACCACAAGTGGTAATTCTACTAAAGGGAAACAATCACAGCAGTTTCACTGTTGGCCACATGTGGCATAACTTGGATAACACATACACTGACATTCACTTTAGAGCAGATGTACTTCCTACCACTGCAATATATAGTCAATTTGCAAGCCAAATTGCTCATTAGAAGGTATGCTTTCTAAACATACCTTTTAAAATTCCAGCTAAGCAATAAGATGAAAATGTAAATAAAAATACAACATCGGACTCAATAAATAAACTATTTATTATAGCTTTATATTTAGAAACAAAATATTGACATTTCAAAAATTAAAGAGATTGGATTGCCCTTTATAGTTGAATTTCACTTTTCATATTTTATTTGCTTTGTTAACAGTTTAGAATCTAAAAAAGTATACCCTTCATTTCACCTTTTGCACCTAATAAGATGTCAGCTGTATAGTCTTGGGGTTCTTTACATTCAATTATGTGAAATGAAAATTAAGAGAAACTTACTGGATTTTTGTAGAATATCACTGTAAAAATTACCAGAGTTTTTGCAAAAACGAAAAAAATGTGGTACACCTTGTCCAGTTTAAGTTTAAGAACTTGCATCCTTGTAAAGTCAAATTGATTTCAATAGAGCTCTGGGTGAGAGCAAGAATCTACACTAGCAAATCCAATTATAGGATTATAGTCCAAATATCAGAAGATAAGCTTTCCATTGGAAGCTACATAAAGCACTGTAATTCAGCGGGGAAGTAGATGCTTTGCAAAATGTCTTACCACATTTCTTAAAATCTATGACCTATGAGCTTCATATTTGTAATAAATTCAGTTTACAATTCCCATTCTGTTAACCCTAGGAATAATGAACCAAAAATGAATATATTCTTTAAAATTCTTAGGAGGGAAATAGTAGTGGAGAATTTTACATACTAGTTCTAATTTCTCTCCATGGAATTTATGTTGGATATTTTTAACAAATCCATTGTAACTGCATGTGTGAGCACAGAGTGATAATGCACAATCAGTACCTCCCTTTCAATTTTGAAACCTACTTCCCACACAGTTGTGGGTTTTTTCCCAATAAAAGTATTTAGTTTGGAACATGAATTTTTATTCTGTTGATAAAACAAAAATACAAACAATTACACTGATAAGAAGGTTGCTCAGACCAATATACCATTCTTTTTCCCTTTTACACAAGTGTATAAATGGCAGGTCATACTTCCTTCCATCAGTGCTGGTAGTTTTGGTGTACCAAAAAATTACTTTTGGTTCTTTCTTACTTTCCATTAGTAATGATGTATTGGATTTACATGATTAGGTTTTGGTGGAGGAGGGGGCAACAAGTGATGGCTTCTGTGAAAGCTGCCAGAAGCTTCCCCTATGTCTAACGGAGGCAATGCCAGCCAGCTCCAAGACTGAGCCCATCAGCAACAGCAGTAAGGCCTCAGGGCTAACATAGTTAAGAGGGGAAAAAAGTTACGGTGCAGGACCAATTTCAGCAAGTGGAGAGAGAAGTGAGAATATGTGAGAGCAACAGCTCTGCAGACACCAAGGTCAGTGCAAAAGGAGGAGGAGGTGGAGGCGCTCCAAGTGCCAGAGCAGAGGTTCCCCTGCAGCCCATGGAGGTCCATGCTGTACCAGGTATCGACCTGCAGCCTATGAAGGACCCCACATTTGAACGGGTGGATGCCCAAAGGAGGCTGTGACCCTGTGGAAAGCCCACACTGGAGCAGGCTCCTGGCAGGGACCTGTGGACGCATGGAGAGAAGAGCCCATGCTGGAGTAGCTTTGCTGGCAGGACTTGTGACCCCATGGGGGACCCACACTGGAGCAGTCTGTTCCTGAAGGACTGCATCCCATGGGAAGAGACCCATGCTAGAACAGTTCATGAAGAACTGTAGCCTGTGGGAAGGACTCATGTTGGAGAAGTTCATGGAGGACAGGAATGACAGAGAGGCTTTGGTGGACACTCAGTGTCCAGCCAAAGTGCGCCCACCACAACTCTAAAGCAATGTGCTTATCTACCTATATACATGCACTGTGTTCTACAAATCTCTCCTAACATTGCACAGTGACATGTTCATAGTTCAGGATCCTTTTTGAGTGCCATTGTTCAAAAGCTTCACAGGCTTAAATTACCTCATGTTATGTCTGCCAGTAGAGGGAGCCAATTTTATTCCATAAACATAAGGGAAAACCAGATGTTTTTTTAACAGGAACACTCCTGGTCTTTTTACATTTTTCAAGTCAGAAATTAATAAAACCCAATAGTTTTTCAGTGACATGTGTATAGCATGATTTCGAAGGTCTCTGTGATCCATATAGCCCTATAAAGTAACCTGAATTTGCAGAAGAGAGTAGGAATGAAGGGGAGGGGGAGGGGAAGGGGAAGGGGAAGGGGAAGGGGAAGGGGAAGGGGAAGGGGAAGGGGAAGGGGAAGGGGAAGGGGAAGGGGAAGGAAAGGCGGGTGACTCCATAGGGAACCGTGCGGCACCGCGGCCCGTCCTGCCCGGCCGTACGAGAAAGGCCCCTGTACGGCCCCGTAGCGCGGGGGGGCGGCCGAGGGGGCGGGGACGCGCCGGCACGGGAGCTGCTCCCCGCCCCTTACAGGCGGGAGCGCGCGTGCGCCACGAGGGTGCGCCACGAGGATGCGCTCGCGCCCAGGCCCGGCCCCCGCGGCGGCTCTGACGGACGTGGTGAGTCCGCCCCTCCCCTCATCTCCCCTTCCCTGGGGTAGGGATCGCTGGGTGGATGGGTTAGTGTTCGTTCGTCCGTCCTCGGCGGGGGCGGGAGTGCTCCCGCCGGGGCTGCCCGCCCTGTGCTCTGGCGGGCTGGGAGCTGTGTCCCCACTGCCAGGTGGGTTTGGCGGCGGCGTTTGGGCCTCCAGCCCCAGGGGCGCCTCGGAGAGAAGTGTCAAGGCCCCTCGGGCCCTTCTTCGCACGGCCTGGCTTGTGTCAAACGGGGGCAGCGGCGCCTCCCGCGCTGCCGCCTCCTCCTCCCCGCTGGCAGCTGCTGTTCCTCATCGCCCCGGGGGTCTCGGTCTGCGTGGCTTTAGTCAGGGATTTGGCGGAAGACCTCATCATGATACAGGCAGGCTCTTTTCGGTAGTGCCAAGCAGTAGGACAAGAGGCAACGAGCAGAAACTGATGCATAGGATGTTCCACCTGAGCACGAGGAAGAACTTCTGTACTGTACAGGTGACTGTGCACTGGAACAGGTTGCCCAGAGAGGCTGTGGAGTCTCCCTCACTGGAGATTTTCGAGAACTGTCTGCAGGCAATTCTGTGCAATGTCCTCTAGGACGACCCTGCTTGAGCAGGGAGATTGGACCACGTGACCCACTGTGGTCCCTTCCAACCTGACCCATTCTGTGATCATCCATGAGGAGCCACTATCAAAAGGCCAGATCCTCTCTTCCTCCTTTTGCAAAGCTCTGCTTCTTATTCATGAATGTTATTCTTGCATAATAATAATTCAAATAGAAAGATCTTGCACATGCAAACATTCTTTCAGGCACTTGTGGATCCCACACTCCAAGACCCTATTAATGTAGATAACTATATTATCTAAAATACTTCACAGTTATGCTTCAGGAACCAAACTATTTATTGTAGAACTTTGGCGCTCCAGAGTCACTAAAACCTGAAAGTCCTTTGCCCACAACTAAAAGTGTAGTAGATGATTATATTTTCATCAGGTATGCATATCTTGCATATTTCTCTTTAGAATACTTTTAATGGAAAGAAAGTTAGTCCTATGTTTTGTTTCTTTCATGAGTAACACTAACATTGCACCTGGAAGACTCTCATACTTTGTAAGTAAACAGTTATGTGATAAGGCTTTCCAAAGAGTCATAGTGTAATTATTCTTATAGGTGTTTGGTGGTGGGGGGTTAGAGCAATTAAGGCTGTGAAGCATTTCTTTTTGGGCTTAGATTGAGGAATACCCACACTCATCTGGGCTGTCACCTTTTGTTCCTCTCTGCATTGCCACAGCTGTTTTTGTACCACTGTGTTAAACGTGACTGGGAATTGATCTGTCTTCTGTCAATAAGAGGATGGAATCAATAAGAGGATGGGTTTCCATCTGCATGAGTTCTCTGATGAAGTTCATGTTAAAATGTCTGCAATGAGCAGTTCTGAGGACACAGTGGGGACTTTGGAAGGGGGCAAAAGCTGGGTGATCTCTATGCTGGCATAAGTGGCTCTCCTGTCAAATGTGAAACTTGGCCGTAGTTCTACAGGTTGTGTATGTGTCTACCCCCCTTTTTTTTCCTCCTTCTCCTGAAGCTGTGATTTCCTAATCAAAATGAATGCATACTTACAGATGTGCCTAATTACCTTTCTGCTTAGAGCAGTCCTTGGTTTACTTGAGCTAGAAGAGGACTTATATTATGGGAAATATGACATTTGGATTGAGAAAAAGACATTTTACCCAAAGTATTTCTAAATGGTAGAAGTATAGAATTACAATTTTTTTGTTTAGGCAGGAAGTGTGTTCTAAGGACTGTTTGTAGCAGTAGTCATGTAATTCAGGTACTGGCTCCAGCAACTGTGTGTTGCTGTGCCACTCACTTCCCTGTTTATTCACTGGCCTCTTGTAACCAGAGCAACTGCAATAATTGCTGGTGTGCTGGCATACTGTGGTAAAACAGCAGTCAGTTGTGGCTCGAGAGAAGGCATGTTGAAGTGGCTATTCATTTTCATTGCTTCTTTTTTCTCCTTAGGTAATTCTAGAAGCTATGGATATACTCTTCAGAATAAGAGGAGGCTTGGATCTTGCATTTCAGCTAGCAACTACTGATGGTGTGTCTATTAGACTAATAGATTTCTTAATATTTATATAAACTTTTATTAATAAACTAAGTAAGATATTTATTTTGTTTGCGTTTCACCAGCCATTAAGTGCTTCTTCCAAAAGCTGTAACAATTAAGTACCAAAATGTTATTCTTTATCTCCGTAAATTTTCTGACAGTCTTTTTCCATCACATGTTTTTTATTTTGAGCTTGACTCCAAAGTTGACCCTGAAATTCTAAGCAGACAGAGAATAATTTAACAACAATGAATTTGGTTATAACAAGATTGTATTAATACAGTTTTGGGACTGTGGTCCAGTCTTCCTAGAGAAATAGAGAAGGGGAATAAGTCAACTAGTCAGCCTACTGAATTCAGGTGGGATTGGCTACGGCAGTTCCAAGTGATAACAAGGGACTAGTCCATATGGTGTTAAGGGGCTCCTCTAGTCCCACACTGTTACAGTAATGTGACATCCTCTTCAGAAAGTCAGCTCAAAGCTATCAGCAACCTATTGAGCTGTCATATGGTGAGCTGCCATGTGGAAGGAGGTTGTCTTTAGTTCAAATGTCACTCATTCTGCATTTTAAAAGACAAGTCTCTGCTAGAGACACTGAATTCCATGTTAATGAACCTTGAAAAGGAATTTGGGCTTATTTGAGGTCATGATGTGCAGTGGAAGTGTGGAATAGATTTGCCTAATGCAAAGCAACATTTTGTGAGTTGCATCCTCAAAGAAGGGCTATTTATTTGGCTTAGTTTACAGTGTAGTGAACTTTAACTGCAGTGAAGCAGAGTGGTATTTGAATTGTCCAGATGCATGGTATTCACAGCTCTTAGTGTGTAAATATGACACACCGTTCCTTTTGAAGGCAGTAAATTTTTCTTTTGGAGCAGTTTTCTAATACTGTAGTTTTTACATACTTCTAGTGCAAAAGTTATCTAATACTTACCAAATTGAAGTTAGAGGATTAAAGATATACAGTATAGTCTTTGGTGACTTGTTAGGCTTTTTTAACTTTTTGTATTCTAAGCAAAGGTCTTTAACCTCCTCAGTGAAGAAAAAATGTGGGTAATGTGCAAAAGTTGCTCTGTCATGTGCAGTATTGGTTCAGGTTGTAAGGTGTGGATAAAACTTAAATAGTCAAGTCAAGCTCTGAAAGCCAACTGTCTATACCAGTAATAAAGCTTAAGGCAGATCAGGGTTACAGTTGCAGGTTTATTTTGGCCAGATCTTGGTCTTCAGTTGGAATGTAGGCTCTGCTTTTCCAAGCATTTAGTCTGTTTGTATTTCTGAACGATGATATGAAGTCAGAAACATGTGACTCAGGTTGAATCTTTCCGGGATTTAGTTAAAAGTTTGTCTGTATGTAGAAGTTTGTTTGCAACTGTAGGCTTGGTTAAGAATTATAGATGTGAGAATTGACTGCAGAATAGGTTATTCTTCTGTGATTCATTCAGCTCTTCATATTTGGCATCTGAGAGAAAAGAGAACTTTTGTTTAAGGAGATATAAATATGAATGTTTGAGGCAGACCTGCTAAGTGAAATCTTACATCAGTTTTTGTTTACCTAGTCATTTTTCTCATCCTAACAGCATTTAGGTTTTTATTCCAAGTTAAAACTTTTTTTTTAATGTATGCCCAGCAGCTATAAAAAAAAGAGCAAGGGAATTTTCTAGTCTAATTGTATCCTTATTGTGTTTCAGAGGCATCAACAAAAAAGGCATTAGGATATGTTTTCAGTGATCTTGCAAACAAATTGTCCTCAGAGGTTCTTGTATTAAGAATTTGCCACAGTTCAGTGTATGTGTGGCCTAACAATGGTATGACCACAGTTCCAGATCTGACTGATGAGTCTGCATGTAAGGAGATAACACGATTTATCCAGTGAGTATATTAAAAATTGGGGGGAATAGCAGATTAATTTCTTATTATAGTAATTTCTCTTTCTGTTGATACTTCAGATTTGATCAAGATGACGAGACCAAACGAAAGCCTGGCAAAAAGAAGGATAAGAAGTTACAAGATACGGTATGTCTCTCACCCCAGTAAAAAATTATGTGAGACAATTTATCATTTAAACATTTTCAGACTTGCCCTCCCTGGGCTTTTTTGTGCACAAGTAGACATTGACATGAGTTAAAAGAATCATTTTAAAGTAGAAGCACGTAGAAGTTTGATGTTTCTAGCTTTTTTTTAACCCAGATATTTCATTACTGAGTTCAATATCAAATATCTACAATCTTTCTTTTGCCTACTTGATGCATGTGTAGTTGCAGATGTCCTATTGGTGTCTTTATTCTCTCCAGCAGCAGATAGTCAATGTAGACCTCATGTTGGAAATGACATCTTCTTTAGCTGCTTTGGCTCCAATCATTGAAAGGGAAAATAAGGAACACCACTACATAAATATGACATTACCAGTTGATGTTGTTGTATCTGTTTCTCCAGAAGAAACGTGGGGAAAGTAAGTGTTATCCTGAACTTGTAATTTTTCAGCTTCATTTCTGCTTTTTCTTGAAGTAATGAAGTAAAACTGTATCAGTCATCATTTTAATGGAAAGTATATAGTATTTTTAGAGTGGAATTTTAACTGTGTAAATAATAAAAGGTCATGTAGACAGCTGTTACCTTTAATAATCTTGAGAACAATCCTTTTGCTGCCTGCAAAAAATTGAGTTCATCAATGTCTGATAGATTTGATAACTCATAGCTATTACTTAGCAATGAGAAAGGCAGGGAAATGTTCTAAAAATTCTTGTAAGTATGTGAGGTGAATAAAAGTGAGAGTTGGGGTTTATTTGATGAGTCTTTCTAATCTCAGCCCTACACTAGGGACTGCAGCTAGGTAGGTGCAGATGGAAAACGTTTGAAGCTGCCTCTGTATTTTTTCCTTGTATTTTTCCCATAGGATTTGACTCTGAACAATACTAAATGGAGTGGATAAAATGGAAAAAAAAAAAAAAAGAAAAAAAAATCCCAAACCAAACCAACCAAACAAAAAAACCCCCATGTAGTCATATATGTAATTTTTATTTTGGCAAATGCTCATAATGGTTGTGTTTCTGATAAAAAACAGCATACCTGCACTTTGGAGGATTGAATCACTAGGGACTGGTTTCTGTGTGCAGACATGCCTTGACTAAAGCACGGTGAGGCTCTGCCTTTGCCTGTGGGAGCAGAAGCAGGAAAGTAGTACATTCATCTGACCAGGTGCAGCTATGCATATAAGTATTGCATAACTGCCAGAGCTATGAGAGAAAATGATCCACCATCGCTGCTCTGCTTTTTTAATATTCTCCTTTGGACTTTGCAGGGTACAAAATCTCCTGGTGAAAGCAATTCATGGGCAATTAGATGACATGGAAAGATGTATCATGAAATACGTGAAAGGAACATCAATTGTGGTACCAGAACAATTTCACTTCATGTTACCAGGAAAAAATCATCTTGTAACAATCTCATATCCTACAGGTATTTCAGATGATCAACTGGAAAGTTATAGAAAGGTAAAGCCAACAAACAGTTTTATTTTTATTTTTAATTGTTGTAATTGAAGCAGTGGTAAAGCTTTTCATTTAGTCAATGCAGAATAAATACTAACAGATAATGTTATTTTTTTTAAATTTATTTTTATTGTAACCAAAGCAGCATACTGAATGTAGAAGCTTGATTTATTAGAAGTTATTTTATAAAATATGTGCCAGATCTCATTTTGGTAAGAGAACAATAGAAACTTTAAAAGTACATAAAATTTGGTTTAGATAGATTTTATCTATCCAGTACAGTATTCTTTGAATTTATCCACTTCCATGATAGAATATCAGATTATGTGTAGCGTTTTTCTACATTCAGGCTTTAACACATGTCCTGAAAGGGTTAATGCTGGGAGGGTTTGTTTGTTTTGGTTTCTTTCTTGGGGTTTTGTGGGGTTTTTTCTGTTTGTTTGGAGGGGGCTGCTTTTTGTGGCTTACAGCTGACCAGGCTTAGCTAGCTTTTGGTTTGTTTTTGCCTTCTGGGTTGACACATCTAGAAAAAGGAGGATGAGGTGGAAGAATGTTGTGATGGGGCAGAACCTTCAGATTGAGACTGAGTTCAACCAGGTCACACATACTGAGAGTAGGGAAAGAATATTCTGCCAGCTTAGAGATGTAGAAGCTCTGGCGATTTTTCATTTTCTTCTGTGTGAAGCATTCCTAGGTCTATAAAACCTAATCTAGCCTTGCACTTGCAGAGGCCTCAGGCACTGGTGGCACACTGTCTTTCCTGCTCTCTGTCTGCTGTTCACTCTTACCCACTGAAAGTGTTACCTCTGCCTAAAATGTATTACCTGTGTTACACACATTATCCTAGATGATCTCATCATTCCTTTCACTTTTAAGCTCTGTGAAATAAGACAGTGTATCTCTTTAAATGTGGCTGCTGTGTTATAAACAGGGCTTAAGAGATTTAAAAATAGACTGAATCTGCTTGAGCCATAAGCTCAGTATCTTTAGTTTGTCTCAATACAAGGTATTTGTGTGTCTTCAGTATCAGTTAAGATTATAATTCAGTGTCTGTATCTATCTACACTACTACATAGATAAAACTGTAATTCTTTTCTGTGATGTATTTTATCATACTTCCATAACAAACTTGTTACTCGTGGTATCTTCAGTGGGGCTCCAGTGGCAGGCATTATGTAACAGGACTGCATAAAACAGTGGGCCCTTTAGACAGGAGGTAAGCCTGCATGAGCTTCCCTTGAGACGTGAGATGTAGTAGTAAACGTACATGCTGAATGTTTGGTTAAGCATATTTTAATAATTTGCTAAGCTATGCTGTTAAAATTATATATGTCTTTATTGCTACTTACAATTTGATCTTTCTTGTAATCCAAAATTTGAATTGTGCTCTTTATTTTTATTCGAACTTGCATGTAGGAATTGCATGGGTTATACAATCTGCCTTGTGACAGACCATATTTCAAGAGAGCAAATGCTTATCATTTTCCAGATGAACCTTATAAAGATGGATATCTCAGAAATCCACACTTACATCTTAATTCGCCTGGTATGGAGCCTGGTATGGTAAGTTTAAGTTGAACATTTGTCAGAAAGTACTTTTTATTTTACTTGAGTTTGTTATTAAAAGCAGTAACTTAGATCGTCAGTGTTGTGTAGATGAGAAAGTGAAATAATTGGCCCAGCCTTTTAAATCAAAGGGCTTCTCTGCGCAAAATGGCATTGCTTTAGTTTGCTGTATTTGTCCCAAAGAAATTGGATTTTCTTGGAAAAGGATGTACACATTTTTAGCATGTACTTTAAAAGTTTCTTAGAACCAGGACAAGAAACTAAAACCATGAACAGAGATGTTTATGAGACAAAAACAGGAGGAGTAATCATGTGTGAATAATGACCCTTTGATTCTTCCAAAGATTTGCAGTCCTCAGCTGAAAACTTTTACAGTGCAAGTGACAGGTCATATGGCTTCTCTGAAAGCTGATTGCAAGTGTGATCAGATTCTTTTGTGTTATCTCTTTCTGTGCAGGTTTATTTAGTACATGGTGTGTATAGTTATCACCACTATATGCAGGATGGGACTGATGACAGTGGTTGGGGCTGTGCCTATAGGTCTTTGCAGACAATCTGCTCTTGGTTCAAGCACCAAGGTTACATTGACAGACCTATACCAACACACAAGGAAATTCAACAGGTATAGACCATTTAAGGAGATTCATTATTTTATGCATATTTGTCTAGAAATATTTGTGTAGATTATTTTTTAAAGATCCAATCCATATATTTTGATTTGTGTGATATTTTTAATTTATCTCTTAAATTGAACTAGTGGTTCTGAGTTACTGTTTTTAACAAGTTTTATTATAGGAGATCTGTCTTCAAATGTTTATCACTGTTGAATGACATTATCTGTACAAATAAGACTCCTTAAAATAGTCTTTTAAATGTTTCCTTGGATTAATGTTCTTTTAGAAGCTGAGATTATGACATTTTCAGTGTTTTTTCCAAATGAAAAGAGAACGAAGAACCCAGTGTGTCATACTAAAATCAGTTTTAAAACTGACTTTTGTATTCAGTGACAGTTGGATTAGTCCCCAGATGCTATGCATGAATTTACTGACGCCTTTTGCAAATTTGCCTTTGAGAGCAGTATGCTTTTCCTGGTTTTTGAACTCTCCTTCACTTCTTTTTCTGTTTTGAATTCAACTACATACCTGAACGTGTTCATTTCTCTTAAGAGCACTGAAGAAAAACTGTAGACTTGGGTAACTAATACTGTGTGCCTATCCAGAAATACTGCAATTATCTTCCATCTTCTAAAAATAGTTCTTTGTGTTCTATTAGTTAACTGAACATCTTTAGCAAAGTTTAATCCAGTTAATAAAACAACTTTCATCCTACCTAGCAAGGACGTGAACACTAAAGGTAAAACTGCATTTCCTGAACATTGCTCAGACCAGATCTAAAGCTAAAAGCTCCCAAAGTCTCTGCACTCCTGTAATATTTTTAGGCATCTAGAAGAGAGCAGTAGCCTGCAGGAGACTTTGTGGGCTTTGTATCCTGAGCAGAAAAGGACCCTCTCAAGTGCTGCGTGTAGCATATAAGCCTCAGAACAGAGAAGAGTTTAAAATAAACCACAACTTCTGGTGTATTTCAGTGGCCTCTTTCTCAGAGCACTATTTTATGGATCCTTTTCTGAGATGCTTTGAATAGGAATCCAAGCCCTTCAGCCTATGAAGTGGCTTCTGCAGTGTCCAAATGATGCATTATTAGACAGCTCAGTGCTCACCATCCCAGCTTGAAGTCTGCCTGTGGACCTGGGTTTGTAGTCTGTGCTTATGGACACTGTTCTGTGTTACTGCTTAAAGGGACATTTCCAAAACAGAACCCCAGTGAATGTATTTGATACTTATTTTCTGCTTTTGACTGGCTAGGTTCAAAACACATTTCCATAAATATAAACCAACTTTATTCACAAAAATGTGGTGGAATTCCCTACTATATCTTGTTGCTCTTTGTTTTTCTTCTTCATCATGATGTTGGAAAGGCACTGGTTGATGCTGGAGACAAGCCTGCAGCATTTGTTGGATCACGGCAATGGATTGGTTCAATTGAGGTACAGCTTGTTCTGAATCAGCTTTTTGGAATAACATCCAAAATATTATTTGTCAGGTAAGAATCATTAACTGTTTATAGTAGCTCAGTAATTGTTAAAAAGACTGAATGCCATAAAAAGCAAATTATGATTACAGTGGTTGGGAGAACGGGAATAATTAAAGAGATAAATCCTTTAAGGGTACTTTGTTCATAAGCCTTATATTCCCCCTTTATTTTTTGCTAAATGCTTGCAGATAAAGGTGGTGTTAAATTTCTTGCAGGCTTGGGGTTTCAGTTTCCAGTTGCTATAAATTGCTTAAGGATATGCCAACTGCCCAGTTTCATAAAGCTACAAATGTGGCTCCCATTGGGTGTGCTTAATCCTATAAATTGCCTAATGATATGCAAACTGATATGGAACTCAGCCTATTTCTTTGCATCACATTTTTGAAGCAGACAAAGAGTCTGGTAGCCGCAGAGAACTGAATGCACACTGATAAATTATTGCTGTGTCCACAGAGCTAACTCCTGAGGGTTGAGGCGAATTGCTGAGCAGCCTGGAAATAATGTTCTCTTTTTTGGGTTTGTGTGACAAATAAAACAAGGAATTTGTTTTCATTCTGACAATCTGATCATCTTATAGGATGACCAGAAGGACCATGAAGGACCCTACAAAGATATTTTTGGATAAAAAGAATAATGTTCAGCATTTATCAGAAGTAAAATTACCAGATTTTTATCACAGAGGCAACACCAAGCAGACTAACAAATCCCTGAATATGTTGTGATAAATAAGAGTCATGAAATAAAGAACATATACTAACATAGTGCATATGAAAATTCAAGTCAAAATACTACTCGTGTATTTAGAGTAAATTCCACTGTAAATATTCTAAATAAGCATGGTGATGGGGATTCTTAATCTTAGGAAAATAGCTCAGTTCTTAAATATCTTAATCTTTGTTTCTGTTCCAGAGCTTGTATTTGCAGATGATCCAGCTATTATTTATGATAGCTGTGACAGACCCTGCCATTAGGAAGATTTTTATTCCTGTATATAAGAATATAGAATAAATTCTTTTGTGAACTGAGTAGAATTGCCTATAGTGCTGCCACAAGGGAACACCAGTTTTTTTCAGGATTATGAAAAACCGACATCAATACCGTGCTGGGAAGAAGAAAACGTCATGCATCTTTTTTAGCTGGTCACTGGCAGTGAATGACATTTTTGGTTTGGGTTTATTTCACATAGCACCTCTAACCTTTAATGGAAATAAGACTTCACAGCTGCACCAGCAACACTAGTACTGGGTCCTGGATCCACTATCATAAATGCACCATTTCCCAGAGTTCCAGTTTTGTATTCTGTCTGCATTTAATCCATCTCTCCAGGAACTTGGGAAGTAGGCGTGCAGGCTTTCTTTGGGTTTTAAAAAAGTTAACCACTCTATGAAGAACTATAATGACAAGATATTAAATATATCTGTATTAATTTCCTTGCCTAGCTTTTGTCACCACTTTTGGGAGTACTGTCAGTCTTCTAAGAGGAATATAAGTGTCCATCAGACATATGTCTTCAGCTCCAAATCCTAGAGTATGTGCATGCACTGTGTGCACACCTTTCTCTTACATCTAGATTTCTTTTGTTAGTGGCTGGTCTACATAGTTGAAAAAGAAAGCAGGGAGAATATAACAAAGCTAAGTTCAGTGTTGCTTTTGAACAGATTACTAATGTTATTTGAGATTTGTTTTTCAAAGCCAACATGGGTATGAATATTGCGATTGCTTGTGCAATTACAGTAGAAACTTACCTTCAGAGATGTAATTATATGCACCTTTATCAAGTCCTTATTTTTGTTGTTTCTTATGAAGGTCTGTTACTTCAGACTTCCCCTTGTTGATAGATATGGCCAACCTCTTTTTCAGCCACTTGGAGGGACCTGTTGGGGTTTACCAGCTGTCCCCACTGTGGGAGATGAGCAGCAGACACTTTTATAGAGGCTGGATGACTCCGGATGCTCCACAGTGGCAATGAGGCTTACAGCAGATTCATTGGTCCAACCAGGATCTCTGAGTTGCATTAGAAAACGTTTTTCACATTGTCTCAGGAAGTTTACACAGTAATAATCCAAGTGACCTTCTAATCGGTTACCTATGCAATTAACAAGTATAATGGATAATTAGAGAATTAAGCCTAGTAAGAATGACAAATCTATTGTTGTTTTTCTTACCTAGCAAGGGTTCTGAACTAGCATTGCAGGGAAGAGAGCTTGCTAATCATTTCAAGACTGAGGGAACTCCAATTATGATTGGTAAGTGCTTGAATATTGAAGAAAGGCAGTGAAAGTTCATGGCCTCCATGCGCTGAATTGTATTTCAATTAGAACCTGTTCAATTTACTGTACAAGAGTTAATCGAAACTGTAGATGAATTAAAAATTATGGTTTCCCCAAGGTAGCTTCAAAAATGATACAATTTAGTCTGTCTGGTATCTTTTAATTCAGTATTACTCCCAAGCTCAGTATTAAACATGGTAACAAAAGTCAATCTAAATGGTGTTTTTATAAATTGCTTTTAAATCATCACTTGAGAGCTGACTTCTGCTCTCTAGAGGAACAGATGATCATACAGTTCCCCAAAACTTCCCCTCACAGAAGCGTAGTGTTTCTCTTGCTTGGAAGAGAAGTATATTATCCAAATTTTTTTTAAGACCAGTTTTAATAATCTGAAATGTTGTTAAGGTAAGTGCCACTCCTAAGAATACTGCAACTTTAATTGAACTATTTCCAAGCTGTGGTTTATAAAATTAGTAATATTGATATTATTATTTTCAGCTTTAATAAAATTAATTTTAGCATTTTTTACAATCCGTATTTGATACTCCACAATATAGTGTTACTTTCTCAAATTAGAGGTCCCAGAAGTCCAGGCTTTGGTATGATGATGGTTTAGATTATATGTTAGAAAGAAGTGAGGGTGGTGAGGCACTGGAACAGGTTGCCCAGAGAAGTTGTGGATGCCCCATCCCTGGGAGTGTTCAAGGCCAGGTTGGGTGGAGCTTTGAGCAAGCTGGCATAGTAGAAGATGTCCCTGCCCATGGCAGCAGGGTTAGAACTAGAAGATATTTACGGTCCCTTCCAACCCAAAGCATTTTATGATTCTATGAAATATTCTTTGTCTTTCGGCAGCCTTTTTGTCTGAATTTCAAGAATTTAGAATCCTGTATTGAAAAATCTTTTAGGCTGTAACTTATTTTTCCCTGTAATGCTCTCTTGTAGGTTGGTTTAATGTTTTTTGTTGTTGGAGGTATGGAGATTGGCTGTTTGGAGGTGGGGTTTGGGGGTTGTTTTTAGTTGTGTTCTTTTGCAGATTTTGCAATTCCTGTCTGTTGTGTGGAGTCATTACTACAGTATTGAAGGGGCATAAACTTCTCATGTTATCTGAAAGAAATGTGCAAGAGTTGACCTGTCCCCATCTCATCAAAATATCCCTGTTTACAAGCTAGAGAAAGTTAAAAGTTACTACTCTGCCCCTAATATCCATTGATGTAAATTAGTAGAAAACAGCAGATAAACCTTATCCAGCAATTCTGATTTCTGTTCTAACTTTAGTCATTTTACAACCAGGAAGTTTTCCAGATTTCTTTTATACAGTTAAGTTTCTTTAAAGAAAAAGTGCAAAACAGATGTTTGAAATACTCTTGACTTCATCTGGTGAAAGTGTTGAGGATTTAACCTGCCTTGCTGACTTGGAAGAAATTTGAAAAGTAAATTCTTTACTTACTACAACTAATCTTCCCTAGTTGTAGTAAAGATATGTTATTTAATAGTGTGAAGAATCTTATGTAGGTCAGCTTCAGAATCATCTTGAATAACTAAGCTAATCTGTTAGTAGAAAGTGTTGATGTATTTTTATTTAAGCCTTGCCCATTTGCCAATCTCAGTAAAAAAAAATTTAGCAATTTGTGTTTCTCCTATTTTAGGTGGAGGTATTTTAGCTCACACGATATTAGGAGTGGCTTGGAATGAGATTACAGGGCAAATAAAATATTTGATTCTAGACCCACATTACACTGGAGGAGAAGATCTGCATGCTGTTTTGGAAAAGGTGAGGCTTCATGCGTATATATACACACATATTTATGTATATACATAAATCAAGTAATGTACAGCCAAATACTAATTGGCCATGATATGGCTTCTCGGTTCCTTATGGAGGAAGTGCTGATCCCAGTTAACCTGCATACTGCTATATGGTACCTATTGGCAGTTTCTGAAACTTAGTGTCTTTGTAGAAGATGTATCAGATCAGCAACTGTTATTCATTTTATCTGAAGTAACCCATCTCCCTCTTCTACCCTGTAGTGTATACAATAACTCTGTTTAGGATTTTGAATGAAACAGAAAAATCTGTTCAGCCTGTAAAATGCTGAAAATGAAGCAGAGAAGATAGCAGTTTATTTTAAATTTTAAAAATTATTTAAAAAATCCAACACTAAGCATTCTCAGATCAGGCCTTGAACTATGTTTAAAGGTCAGGTAGTGACCTGTTTTAAAAATGTGGGAGAACTCTAAAGAAAAAACCTCCAAAGAGCTAAAGGGTATGTAATATTATTTCCACATTTAAAGCCACTAAAAGGGATGACATAGCGCATTACAAAACAGTAAACATAGTGTCAGAAATGTAAATTGTGAAAGTGGATAAAATCTCCTATAGGTGTTACATAATCAATTTCTTCTCTGTTCTTCATATTAAGTTGCAAATAGTAGCTTTTATTTTGAATCTCTATTTGATATCCTTGTGTGGGGCCCAACAGAAAAAGCTGTTTTAAGAAACATTTTGCTGGACTGTAATTATCAAAGCTTGACATGAAAACAGAAGCAATTTCCAAAGAATGTGTAGGACCAAAGGCTGTTACAGCTACAGTTGTTGAGAATGGTCCAGGAGGATAGAATACATGCAGAACCTACTTTCCTCATCAAAAGTGGCTGGGGAGGAACTGAGGTGGACTACCATTTTGTAGCTGTTTCCTTCAAAAACATCTCCAGTAATTCTGTGGTACTCTGCAAACTTAAGAGCTTTGTTAGACTGCTTTTTTTTCTGCAGAATCAGGATGAACAGCACAGTTTCTGATATTGAAAGCTCTGCTTGGGGCTGAAATATCAACTATTACCAAAGAAGGCAAGGATTCAGGATGAGAAATGGGAACTGCAAGAATGATTTTAGAATAATATTAATCTCTCTGTAGCAGCAGAAGAGGTAGTGGGAAGGGGGCATGGAGTGCAAGAGATGATACTTCTAGGAACTAAGCTGGGGAGGTAGGAAGAGGGAGAGAGAGTCTCTGTAATAAATTTTCCATTAATGTGTTTCCAGGCATATAGGGAACTTTCTGAAAATTGTCATTGCATTCCATAGCTATCTGAAAAGAATTCATACAGCTTAGTAAAATGATTAGTAAAATAAATCCAATAGAAGTAGGTAAGAATACTAGAATTCATGGTAGATTTAAAAGCTATCTTGCTTTTTCTTGGACAGGGCTGCTGTGGATGGAAGGGCCCGGAGTTTTGGAACAAGGATGCCTATTATAATCTGTGCCTACCTCAACGACCAAAAGCTATTTAAATTCCTCTCTTGTGCTGGAACATGCTACACCAGAATACTAGCTGATCTAGATAAAACTGCCCTGTTATTTATCAAAAGAATGCTTTAAGTCAATCAAAACTCAGTTGAAATAGAAACGTTGCTGGCGTAATTTAAATTAAGAAACTTTTTTTTTAAATGAAACCTCTAGAAATAAGAGTTATCTGCTGTGAACTGCATTCCTTACAAATGCATTTATTAGGCAACTAATATCTGTTCTTTTCCCTAATGCAATTTATATTTATATAGCATTTTTTGCTATGCTAAAATCTTTACAGATTAAATGCCCAATCCTTTTATTTTATGGATTTCTTTCATGACGAAAAGATGAACTGTCCTCTGCCTTTCAGATTCCACACAGCCAGCTGTCTTGTGCACTGTGAATCTGTTCAAAGGCATCGTTTGCTGCTGGTACTGTCAATGATGGCCTTTTGGGAGTGGGAAAAAAATAGCTATATGTACTGAATTTTATGAATTCTGCTCTCATATTTACACAGAAAAAAAATCAAGAGAATTAATTGTCACACGCTCATTTATTTATAGCTGTATGAATACAACTATTGGGAGGGAACCACAACATTCTTCTGTAAGAAGTAACAATAAACAAGCTTTCCTCCTTCTCAGAAGGAGACAATGTCCCAGCATACACATCTGGCTGCTCAATGTATCATCCAGTCATGTTTCTTCAGACTTCAGATTCCCCATATTTCATGTTGGGATTACAGGCTGTTTCTTCTGGCAGCAAGGAAACAAGATCTGTCCTGAATAAACAACAATAAGTCTGTAGCTTCTACATCAGTACACCAGTAAGAGTACCTATTTTTTTCCCCTTTGTTATAGTCGTTCCACTGGCATTCCCCATGCACTGTCCGTTTCCAAGAAGACCATAACCTTAACTACCTATGCAAGTTCATCCTTACTAGCAGGCTTCTATATCTAACTGCTATGTGTCTAAAACCATTTACTTGGACGCTGAAAACATTTAGAAAAATATTCTGGATTGTATTAAACTAACTGTGTTACACACCATCTGATCTTCTCCTCTTCCTGCTTATGGATCTGCTGGTTTTACTTTCTTGTTTCTGTGCAGTTGGATCCTCTCTCAGCAAGCCATGTTTGTCACTTAGCAAGTAGCTGCACCGTCCTTTCAGTTTCATTGTCTGAGTGTGCTGAATTGTCTTGAGGAACTTGGCACATTCCAGAAAGCCATAAGCAAGTGCAAGATCTGCTGCTGTCTGTCCACTGTTGTTGCACAAGCTGAAACACAGAGTTAACAATAACCAATTACACTGGCATATATATTATGAGCAACCACTGATTAAGGGGTATATTTAGACAGATGTATAAAAACAACTACAGAAAATCAATATCAAGAGGGTTTGTCAAGGATAGCATGGGGCTCATACAGAGGGCTGGCATTAAATACAACAATAATTATTTTAAAATAAATTTGTCATCAGACTAGGATTGGCTTATATCAGAAAGGCAAGAAGAAGATGAACACAGCATTGGAATGGAAAACTAACAAGGAGAGATTATGATCAGGAATATTCTCTCAGCAGTTATTACAGAGGTATTTAACATGTAACAAAATAACAGCATATGGTCCATGCTACTTTGGTGCTTATCTCAGTTTCTAATACTCTTATGCTGTAGTCATGCTATATTTGCAGCCTTAGCATGCACATTCTGAACAAGTAGAAGTACTGTGTAAAATACACATCCTTTGATGCTGTTACTGAAATTAATAAATGTAACTCAGCTTACTCAATTTTGGCATCGCCAGCAACAAGGAGAGCGAGACATTCCAAACTTCCAGCTTTTGCTGCTTTATGAATTGGGGCTTCTCCAAGGCAATCCTAAAAACACAATTTACATATAGCTTTATCCCATTCCCCTTCTTCAAATGACTGCTATCTCATTCCTTAAAATGACTGTGTATATCAGCCTGTTGAGAGTTGAGAGAGAGTGTACTTGATAACTGCCATTAAATGTTTAGTGTATTTGTCACCACAAAGTAAAAACGCTGTCCCTTGCAATACTAATTTTTTAACCTTTGCCTTCTAAAAGATAATTTACACAGAATACACTCTGTACACTGATTAACAGCATCTTCAAGCATCATTCAGGGATTGCTGTGACCAACAGCTTGCTACCAGCTCAGAGGTATAAGTAAATTAAACTTTGCAGCTAGAATCCTTATGTGTACTGGAAGTACAAAGGACAAAATTTTGGAGGAAAAATAAATAATCATTTGTGTAAAAGAATTAAATTCTCTGGAAATCTGCATGCAGCACTGTGTGAAAATTGCATTATTACAGCAAATGAAATTGCTAACACAATATAGACAGGATTTCTAGTTCATGCTAGAGCTTACTCTAAAATAAGTGACCCCAGGTACCTCATGCCATACTACTGTTTATAAAACCTCTCTTAGATAAAAAGTATGTAAATAATATTAACTGGAATTACTAACATACCAGATTAGAAGTGGAAGAAATGAAACATGTATTTTTACCTGTTGGTTCAAATTCGCTCCTGTCTGCAGTTGCCAAAGTAGGAAAAAAGCTTCACCACCACAAGCAGCCAGGTGAGCTGGAGACTGACCAAAGGCATCTGCAGGTGCGTTCACAGCGGTTCCTGCCTCAAACAGATTGCTGAAACTACCAGACTGAAATAAACAATAAATCAAAAGACAAAGAAAAAAAGGAAAAGAAAGAATGTTACTGCCAGTTTAAGCCACAGCAGATCTAAGCACACTGCATTATGGCAGGAAACATCCCCCTCGCAAATCGTCGACCTTCATGTTCCTTGAAACTTCCCTTTAAAAAAAAAAAATAAACAGCTCCAAGCATGACATTTTTGGCTTTTAATCTCATAATCAGAAATACCGATCGGCGGCGGCAGCGCCCCAACATTCCGAACAGTTCCAGGCAAAGTACACTTCACCCTGTTCCGTGTCTGGGCTCCCGGTAAGACAAAACAACAGACCCATCTTCCCCAAACCTCACCTCTAAACTGCAGTCCAGCATCAACATCGCCTCCCTTTGCTGAGCCCGCCGGGCTGGCGGGGCTGTGGCGGCTCCGCGGCGGCTCCGCGGCTTTCGGGGCTCCGGGGCTGTGGCGGCTCCGGGGCTGTGGCCGCCCACCCCCCTCACCAGCCGCGCGCGCAGGCAGCTCCGGCTGCAGCCCCCGCCCCCCGCGGCCGCGTCACGTAGGCAGCGGCAGCGCCCGCCCGGCCGCCATTGGCCGCCCCGGGGGCGCCGCGGGGCCGGGGCCGGGGCGCGCTGCCGGTGGCTGTGCGGGCAGCGGCGGGGGCGGCCATGTGGCGCGGGGCGGCTCGGCACGTCCCGCACACACTCGCAGCCGCGGGAGCGCCGTCCCGCCCGCCATCCCAGCGGTGTCCGCCATCCCGCCGCTGCCACTCCCGGGGAGCCTGACACCGGCTGCGGCACCAGCCAGGAGCGGGGGTCTCCGGAAACCCCTCCTGCCGCTGGCAGCCGGGAGCCCACCGAACCGTGTACGCGTCATACTGGTTTGCTTGGTTTTGCTGTAGCTAAGCACAGCCTCCTGTGAGGTTCTGCCATCGTACCTTGGGGTACTGCTGGATTGGGAAGGCAAAACCAAGGCAGACTTGGATCTAGGAAAGAAAGCAATAGAGGATTAATTTAGAATTTCCCCCGAAAAAAGTTCAAGTCAGTATAAAGAAATCCCCTATGCAAGCTCTGCCACTAGGCCAGGGAGACTGACCAGACCTGCCACGCTCTATGAAACCCCAGGCTCCCTTTCAGCGTACACACAGCAAGTTCATCACCAGTCTCAGCAGGACTAGAACTGGTGATGGTGGAGGTGGACACAGCTACCTGCTACATCTCTGCTCAAAACACACTTGCAAGAAGCACAGATTTGATTGTCACGGACTTGAGTTCAAAATGTCCTAGACAGGGTCAGACCACGTGAGCCAAGGTCGCAAACAGGCTTTCCACCCATAGACTTGTCTGTGCTGGAAACCAGAACCTGACACAGCCATACTCAAAGGCTGTTTCCATCAAAAAGAAGTACTTGGAATCTGTTTTGACCATGGTGCAGTGGCATTTCATGGTGCAACCTGCCTTCCCCTCACAGCTCGGTGCCCATGGCAGCCAGGAAAAGCAAGGGTGGAAGGGCTTAATGCCTCTGCACAGAGAAACCACAGTCGCCATCAGTGACTGCTTTGAGTTTCCAAAAACAGTTGCATAACTTCATTTTGCATGGACAGCCTTTGCAAAGATTATGTTTGAAAGCAACTGCCTTTCCTTTCCATGCTGTAAAATCCAATTTGACAGAAGATTCAATTAGTACTAATCATGCTTCACAATTAAAAGACTGAAGACCAGAGCATACTAACCCAGTGTCCAAATGTACATGATTCTGTTTCCTTAGCACTACAGTATTTTCTTATCTGTCAGATGCCTACGTGTTTCTTAATGGAAGTTAACATTACTTAAAAAAAAAAAAGTAATGTATTAAAAAAGATATTATTAATTGCATGGTTTCGATAAACAGAATTAGAGGAAAAGAAGCCTAACAGGCTTCTACCCTTTAGGGTACATATAGTTCTGAAATGAATGCAGAAACATGATGACAATTACCTCTTGTTTCGCTTTTGGAAAAGAAAATATAAATTACTTAAGTAGTGGAACATGAGTGTATACAGCATCACTTTTAAAGGTGCAGAATTCAGGTAGATAGGCGATGTATCAATTCAGCAGAATTATTTCAGTAAGTGACAGATTTTACCTCTCCTTTCATATGGAAAGAAATACACCTGTGTAATTACAAAATGTTGTGGGGGTTTTTTTTCCCCTGAACAGCTAGCCAAGAAAATTAGTGAACAAACAAAGAAAATCCCTACACTTCTAACTATGCATTGTTAGGGAATAATATGCCTCTGCACAGATGCCCAAAATCCACAGTAATTTTTTATGCAATTACAAAGACTCTTCTGAAAACACACATATCCAGAATTAGTTTAAGACTAAATAGTCTTGGATTGCCCAAGAAGTTTGGACTTTTTTTTTTTAAAGATCTTTCCTCCCCTACATTACCTCAACAATTTAGAGGTTTCAAGCTGTACCCAAGGAATCATATCTTTCCAGCCTAACCACCTATACAAACTTTTTTATCCAGTCAGGCACAACTCTCTTCAAATTGCTGCTATTAATTAGTTCTTGAGCTTCGGGTCACATTTTGCACACTGCATTAGTGCCTACAGAACTCTTCTGCCTCTGAATAACTGGTATGTGTATTGGTTATAAACACAGAAGCAACAATTCTCATCTATTTTGTATAGCCCAATCCAAGTGCCACTTAAGAACAAGGTTTCCTGGCTACAGTTGCTCTGGAAAAAAACTTGCTAAAAATTCCTCTGCACTTTGTATCTCAAACCACACATCTGGCTCAGTTATCAAGTAAATGAAATTGGAAAAAATGGTTCTAATAAATGTATGTAAGCATTGCATAAACCAAGGTGTACTGGTGAATCTCAAACCCTTCAGCATTACAAGCAGCTGCACAGCCCAATGTTAATTATTTTTGCTGAAGGGCAGTGTTGCTTTCACAAACTGTTCTTCACTCTGCCTGTTAAATCAAGTAATTTGTTGGTGCTTTAAAAGAAAAAGTTCATTTTCCTGTAGGTCTCTTAGGCTGTATCAAATACATAAAATTAATCAGGATGAATTTTAGGCGTTTTTTGGTACTTAAAGCCAGTTGGGACTGTTGGAAAACGTGATGTAGAGCCTACAGGTTTAACCACACAAATCTGGAAGCATCACTTGTTGCCTCTGTCCCTGTTGCTATAGAAACAGATTACACTGCCAAAAATGGAAGGATGATAATTATCTGGAAAAAAAGGGAAAAAAAAAAAAGATGGGAAAGCAGCTAAAGATTATTTTGAAAGCACTCTTGCTACATTTTGGTATTATTTCCCTTTCTTTAAGAGAGACAGCCAGAAGCGATCAACAGAAGTGAAAGCAACGCCTTACATTTCAGGAGAAATAGCGTCAAACAGCATTTTCCCGCAATTATCCTTTTACGTTTGGTAGTATCTATATAGGGAAAACAAAGTACATTACAACAAACAGTTTCTGATCCCTGGAAGTGCTGAAGTCCCATTTGCTAGACTGAAGTTTCATGTCCTGGTGCCTTTTTCACGAAATTAAATTCAGAGTTTCTGCTCCTTTTGCCTATAGCCCCATTCTGCAGAGCAGTTTGGGCTTCTGCGTTTAATTTCGGACAGGATGGGCAGGAAGAAGGAAAGGTCCGGTGTGTGCCCAAACCGCAGCGTGTCCTGTCACTTACTCCCACAGTTTGGCATTGGACAACGGCCGGAGGTGGAGCAAAGACCAAACGGAAAGTGCCATCGTTACAGTCCCTGCTTTCCTCTTTCTGCCTCAAAGGCCGTGGGACCCCAGCCCCAGCCATGGAGCGGTGCCAGGTGCCGCCACAGGCCGGGCTGGGCCGCGGGGGGCCCCGGGTCCGCAGCGGGGGACGCTCCGGCGGCGCGGGGAGCTCGGACCCAGCGAGGGCTGCGGCGGCGCCCCTGAGACACCGTGCCCCGGCCCGGCGGGACCGGGCTCCCCCCGCCCGGCGGGCTCGGCCCCAGCCCCCTTCGGGCGCGGGGCTCCCGGGAGGCTTCGACCGCCGCTGCTGGATGGCGCTGCACAGCGAGCGGCTGCCGCCGGACTGCAGCGCCCAGCCCGCCCCCGGCACGCCAGGTACCGCTCCCAGCCCGCCCCGGGGTACCAGGTATGCTCCCACTGCTCCCAGCCCGCCCCCGGCACACCAGGTACCGCTCCCAGCCCGCCCCGGGGTACCAGGTACTGCTCCCACTGCTCCCAGCCCGCCCCCGGCACACCAGGTACCGCTCCCAGCCCGCCCCGGGGTACCAGGTACTGCTCCCAGCCCGCCCCCGGCATGCCAAGTACTGCTTCACCTTCGCCGCTTCCACCTGTTCAGGTTCGCTTTTAAGCTCTTCCAGGACAAACTTCAAGCTCACAAGTTTGTGAACAGGCTGTATTCACTGAATGCTTCCTTCAGGCTTTTAGTGAACTTTTGTTTTTTATAACACATCCCTCTCTCTCTTCTAATCTTAGTCTTTTAAAGAATGTATTAAAAAGGGGACCCGGCCACTTCAGACCTTAGGTGTGCTCACTGATGCTGTCCCATCTCTTTGGGGACAAAACCAAATGCACGTCTATTTTTAAGGAGATGACCGCATCTACGCTGCACTGTTTGCAAAACTGAAGGAGTTGCTGGCGTGGAGGGCATCAGATGGAGATCCTCCAGCACCTTTTCTGGATGGACAACGGTACTATGAACAGGTTGTGCTTTCCTTCTCTTAAGTAAATATTACAAAGTTGACAATTTTCAATACCATTTCAGTGGGAAAAGAGACATCTTAAAAAAAAAACCTACAAGAGGTTCCTATGCCTGTTTGTATCCCATTAAAATCCCACCAGGTGTTCCCCCTAAGTTTTTTTTGCACTTTCCCCAAGCATCCAGTGATGTTTTCCAGTTCCCTCTCAGGTCTCCTTAGGACCAGATGAAAAAGAAGCAGCCTATCCTTACAGTTAACTTTCAAGCCAAGTTGTTTTTTTTGGCCAGCTGACTGGCCAAGCACAATGCACTGTGTTTTCAGTTACCAGGGGTACTGATCCCTGACCTAGACACAGCTTTTGATCTTTGTTCCCCACCTAGCCACCAGTTTTGATGAAACTTGTTGAAACATGTTATCTTTGAGATTCCTGTCCCTGCCCACTTCAGCTAAAATTGGTCGTCCATATCTTTGAAAGCAGGTGCTCAGGGAACAGTGTAAGACTGGCTGGCAGGTGAACTTAAACCTCAGCTTCTTGTGAAAATTAGAACTTAGTTCAGGAACATGGAAAAGAATGGAGTACAAGTACTGATTCAGGTATTTTCCAGTGTGACGTGCATGGATTCAGTACTGTTTACACTGTAGCAGTGGCACAGTGTAAATCAGTCTCAGGGTTTGCAGCAAGAAGAGAATTAACTCACTCAGGGTTTCTGCTTTCTGGGCCCTGTCCTTCATGTTTTCATTAATGAATTACTAGATTTTGGCATGATCAAGACTAACTCCATGGAGCATAAGACCTGTCTGTTTCTTGACAAGCTGGCTTGGATGTCCATGATATATATATACATCCTTAAATTTATTCTTTGAGCCAGTTTTAATGTTCACATTTTTTTTAATATATGTCTGTAGTGCCTGAAAATGCACGTGCTCATAGTACTGCACTTTTATATGTTAGAAAAAAAACACTGCCTAATCAGAGCCATATGTCTCCTTCTTATAGCACTAAATTCTCAGGAAATGTAAGAATAAGTGTACCTCCAGTACTTCTTTTTCTGATATTCACAACAGCTAGTTGTGAAAAAGAACTGTTTTTTTTTTCCTCCTGAGTTCTTAAAAAAAACAAAGCCCACACAGTCATAATGGGTAGGTCCCAAGACAATTAGTGGTTTACACAACAGCTTGGACAGTATTAACAAGGGACGATTTATCATTGTGATGACATTTGACTTACTGTTGAACTATTGTTTGGTTTTAAGCTTTTGCAGTCTGACACTGTTTTATCAAAACATACAGAAAATTTGAAGGAAAAATATAGAGAAGAACATTTTAATTTCAATATTGTTTTTACTTAGTATGCATGCATAAAAATATTTTAGTAAGGACACGAGGCTCAGTTAACTGTTACACTGCAGTTGTTTAACAGTATTTTTAAATATAGTTTCTTCTTAATGCAGAAGCAAATACTCCCTAAGATTCTTGCTTAGAAATGAAAGTATCTCTGCTGCTGCAGTTGATGCCTTCGTAAGAAATGTGGGGCAGACAGATGGGTCCGTAAAAGTCTCAGACATCTGAGTTTACTAGTCTTTGTGAAACCAACCCTTAGTTGAGATGTAAAAGCAGACCTAAGTTAAAGGATGTCAGATAGATAGGGCAGGGACTCTGAATTAGATTTTATCTCCTTAAACTAAAAAGATGGTGTTTTGGAAGAGGGCAGGAAAGTTTTTCAGAATGTCTTTTGGTTATCCAACTTTCTTGTGGCTGTTGACTTACTCTGTTTCTGTTTTCTGCCAGTTCTATGGTTCAAATTTTTTGGTTTTTGTTCATGAGAGAAATGCTATAGATTGAAAAATTGTAAGGCTGTATATATTGGAGAGTTAAGCTGCTGTATTAGTCTTCATTCTGTGTAGTTCGTTGTTTGATTTGTCTTTCCCAGGGGTTGTATGAAGAAGCATTAACGCAATTTAAAAAAATTGAGGATACAGATTTTCAAGCCATGTTTCAGCTTGGTGTAATGTATTATGATGGACTAGGCACTGAAAAAGACCCTGTGAGTAATCTAGCTGCACACTTTTTACTTTTCTTCTACTATTAGCTGATAATTACTAAGAGCTTCTTTGTAAGCATGATTGTTTAGTTTAAAATAAACAGCTTTTTGATTTAGAATTAGTTTCATAAAGTATAGATGTTTACAGAGCATCATTAAAGAGAGGGGGTTCTGGGTTGAGGAAGTTCTCAAAAATGGCTATAATAAAATAGATGTATCTGAAAAATGTGGTAATTTGTATTTTAAAATGTAACTTCTAAGGGCTTGATTGTATATTGTGTGGAAGCTACATTTAAGTATTGCTATTAATTTGTTACTTTTTAATAAGCAGTTCATATAAATGAAAATAAAGTGCGCAAAAATGGAAATCAAACAATTATATTTCAAAACATAAAACATCTGTTCCACAAAGACTTTTTTAAAGTACTTTCTATTCTTTTAGCACAGATGCTAAAGATGATTGTGCTTCTGTCAGTGGTTGACAGTAATATTTTTAAATTAGACAAATGAAAAACTACATTTGCAAGAAGTTGAGGAATTCAAACTTAATAATTATATTACAAAACAGGAAGACAAAGGAATGATTTGCCATCAAGAGTTAATTTATCAGTAAAGATGATCTTAAAGAGTGGCATGAGGAAAGAATACAAGCAGGATGAAAGAAAGGGTAAATTACAAGACAGGAGGCCAAAAAAAAAAAATTAACCAAACAGTATATTAACAAATGGGACTCTAGCCTGGTGCTTACAGGATTGTCAGCAGAATGGAAAATATTCTGCTGGGGTTTAGAGGTGGTTCATTTGTTCTGTATGCCTGCATGATTACCACATGTATTTACTTGCAAATAAACATTTTAGCAGAGTTTCTTCCTTTTTTGTGTATTACAATATGGAAGTTGAATAACTGAGAAACCTTTTATAAAGCACTGTTTCTAGTGTATTTAAACAGGGTGTCCATGCTAAATCTTAGCAGTGTAAATCTTGATTAGAAAATACTTTTGAGGTGCAGTTGCTCATATGCAATGTTCTCCATTTGTTTATTTAACGTTATCAGGTTTTGTCCTTTATGAATCTAAGGTATTTTAAATGAAGGGACTTGAAAGTGTACTACGTATCACTTTACCTTCTGTTAAGACTGTTTTTTGATTTCACATACATTATGCAATATGAAAAAGTTCAAAGAATTCTGAAATTGGAAGTGTTGCAAGTTTAGGATGCAACATGCAATTATGTAAGCAAAATAATATTTTTTAGAAAAATTTTATCAGTGAAGAAGAGTAATATAATACCAGCTGAACATTTATGAGGAAATGTTTCACATTAAAAATATGTTGGGGTCAAAGATCTAGGGGCTATTAACTAAAGATCAGTTCTGCTTTGGTATGAACTATTTTCCTACCAGTATGCCTCAGCCTTTCTTCAGAGTGGAAAAATTACCTTTCTTGCAGAAGTTAGTGTGTTCTCAGATTCTTTATTTCATCCTCTTCACAGTCTGAACATAATAACTTCAATGGCTCAATTTTAGGAAAGGGCAGTGGAATACATGAATAAAATACTCAACTCTGATTCTCCAAAAGCAAGACACCTGAAGGTTGCAGCTGCATACAATCTTGGCAGGGCGTATTACGAAGGATGTGGTGTTAAGCATTCAACCGAAGAGGCTGAAAGGTAAGGGCAGTCAGTGATTTTCCTGACAAATTATAAGCTTCTGTGTTACTTAAACTTTGTTGTCCCCATTTTCTTAGGTTGTGGCTTATTGCTGCAGACAATGGAAATCCAAAAGCAAGTGTAAAGGCCCAGAGTACTTTAGGAATGCTTTATTCTATGCCAGTTCTAAAAGATCTGAAGGAGGTAAAGTCCACTTGTACCTTTTGAAATGAAAATGAGTCCAAATTAATTTTTAATTTTATGGAAATATTACAGTGATATATTTGATTCTGAAAGATGTATTTTAAGTAGTTAAGCAACATTTAGCATTATCCATTTAAGCCTGTATGAACAGATGGCCAGAATCCCTCATTTTGACTCACTTGATGCTTCTAGCCAAGATTTATTTATATTTTTTTTTAGTGAGAGTATCAGGAAGAATGATAGAATGGATTAAAGTTTTGCAACCTTTGGTAACCTTCAGAAATCAAGCAGGTGTCACTGATTGACAGCTCTGACAGTAAATGGAGCAGGTTTGAAAGCCTTACAAGGATTCTGCCTTCTTTTATGTATAAGCACTTCTTACAGTTTGGTATAAAAGATTTTATGGAAACAGTATACAAGGAAAGCAGCTAAAGTAAATATATACTGCAACTTTGTGTCTCATTTAGGCCTTTTTCTGGCATTCAGAAGCATGTGACAATGGAAATCTGGAATCACAGGGAGCACTTGGCATTATGTATCTCTATGGACAAGGTATACGTCAAAACACTAAAGCTGCTTTGAAGTGCTTGAGAGAAGCAGCAGAACGTGGAAACATCTATGCTCAAGGCCATCTTGTAGAATATTATTACACTAAAAAATTTTACTCAAAAGCTGCTGACCTAGCCAAAAGGTGAAGTTAATTTTGTTTTATTTTTCATTATGGTTCATGCAAGACCACATAATCCAGATTAAAATTATTAATAAATTAATGCTCTTGTCTTTCAAACTCAAGAGATCTTTGAGATAATGAATTGCAAAACCTCACCTTTAAAGATGGAATAGCCAATCACAAAATGAATACTATAAGGTTCTCAATTACTCAGTATGGTTAAATTTTTCTTTCTGATCCTGTAAAGCAAAACAGCCTTGAACTAGAATCCAAAGTAGATGTCCACACGCAAGCCTGCCTTTCTCGTCTCTTCAGTCCACGATCTCCTCTAGGTTCCTGCCTTCACCATTCCCTTTAAACGCCTACAATCATAGAATCCTCAGGTTGGAAGGGACCTCACAGATCACCTGGTCCAACATTTCTTGGCAAAAGCACAGTCTAGACAAGATGGCCCAGTGCCCTGTTCAGCTGAATCTTAAAAGTGTCCAATGCTGGGGAATCTTACCACTTCCCTTTACCTGCTTTTCCATTTCTGTTATGCTCTCTCTTGGTTTTGAGCAGGCTCAGAAGCTCATAGTTAAGCCAAGGGGGTCTCTTGTCCCACATACTTTCCTTACCTTAAAGGGAATGAATGATTTTTGTTCTTCCAGGAGAGCATTCTTGAAAACCTTGTCTTAGTACTAACTCTCAGTGAGCTCAGCAGGATCCCAGATCCACAGTATTGTCATCACTGCATCCAAAGCTATCACTGAGATATTACAAAGCAGATTTTCTTGGTTTGTGAGGAACAAATCCAGCAATGCCTCATTCCTAGCTGGTGCATCTGACATTTGTACAAGGAAGCAGTCCTCTACTGCTCCATGCCAGGAGCTGGATGGATGTTTTGTGAGTTGCTGTATTCTTCCATCTAATGTCTGGGTAGTTAAAGTCACCCATAAGAACCAGGTTCTGTTACCCAAAACTTATTAAGTGACCCAAATATTGCCTTGTTGGTCTCATTGTCTTGGTTTGGAGGTTGGTAGCAGATGCCTGATGCAAGATGCCTCTTGGAAATGACCCCTCTGATCTTGACCCAGAAACATTTGATAAGGCTTCTAAAATTGTCATAGTTGACTTCTATACATTCAAGTTCTCCTTAACACAGAGCATGATTCCTCCTCCTCCTCTTCTTCCCTTCCTGTCTTTACAAAGCAGCTTAGAGCCATCCTTCGTGATGCTCCTGCCAGTGAGTTGTTCCACTACGTTTCAGTTATTCCTGATTGCATAGCTTTCTGACTGGGTGCAGAGCTCCAGTTCCTCCTGTTTGTTCCCCAGGCTGTGTGCACTGTATACATACACTTCAGGTAGTTGGTCTTCTGGTTCACATCTTAGGAGTCAACTAAAGAATATTTGTTGCTGCTCTGGTTGGCTTGATTTATTCCCCATTTGGTTGCAATGGCACAAGTGCTACCACTTTGAGTCCAAAGTACCCCCAAGTCCTTCTCTATAAAGCTTGCCTCACCAGGTTAGCTAAAGATTCCCTTGCTTCTTTAGCCAAGCAGATCCCATCCCTCCCTAACGGGCTGTAGTCAAAGAATGCCCTGTTGTCATAAAATCCAAAAGAGTCATGACAGGACCAGCCAGAAAGCCAGAAGTTTATTTGTATTGTATGTCTGGTTTTGGCCGCATCCTTCCACCTAACTGGTAAAATGGAAGAAAAGGTAACCTGGCACAAATACTGTTTGTGTATACCTCCAGGCCTTTGTAGTTTTCCTTGATTCTGTGGTGTCACTTGCGCCCACATGAGAGAGTAGCAAAGGGTCTGTGGCACCCTCTTGAAAGCTGTGGCACCCTCCCAGCAACATCTTGGACCTCAGCTCCTGGACAGCCGCACACCCCTCGTGAGTCCCCCTCAGGCTGGCAGAGGGGAGCCTCAGTGCCCCTTCACAGAGAGTCACCCAAGCACTCCACATTGATTTTTGTGGTATCCACTGTGAACTCCTGGTAGAGTTTCTCCTTGCAGACTTTGCTTTCGGGTATCTAGAGCAGTTAAAGCTTCAGATCTGACTTTGGTTGCAATGCTGTAGGGTGGTAAAGTCCTGCTTTTGTGGATCACCAGGGTCCAAGGTGTCTCATTCTCTGTGGTGTCCGCCACAGGAGCATGATTCCAAAACCACTTATCTGTCTCAGCATTTCTAATACAAAGAACACAAGTATTCTTCCACTCTCCACCTACCCCATCTCAATATAATTTCTATCCACTGCCTCCCATCCACCATTTCCTTGCTCTGTGGCTCAGTGTGCTTTGGTCTCGTTCAGGAAATGCAAGCATTGATACTGGTGGGATCCTGCAGTAAGCACTCTCAGCAGCACTGCCTGGGACTTACAAGCAGCTGCTGCACACAGTGTCAAGTTATCACCCTTGAGCTCTTCATCAGTTGCTGCTTATGAGGATGCATACTGTACAGGCGCTTTTAAGCCTGTACCACAAACAGGCATCTGCAGGCAAATGGTTTCTAGTGATTATCTTCTTGCCTGAAGGTACTGGTCTGAGCCCCAGTTAGGCAGCACTGACTGGCCTTTTCACAGGCAGTCACTGTGGGACTCACTGCTTTACCTACACACTCCGCAGTGGCTTGTGTATTGAAGAAATAGCGGCTTTTGTGATAGGCTGCAGTATTTAAAATAGTCTGCATCATGTTTCTGTATCTTGAACTAGTCAGGGAGAACAAGAGCAATGTTGGTGCCAGTTCTACAGCTGATAAACAGCTGTAGATTTCTGTGACAAACCTCCAGAACTCAGTGTATAAATTCAATCTGTCAATCAGATTATTGATTTGCTGGAAATAAGCTGCAGATAGACAGACTACTTGCACAAGCTGCACACAATAGCATTCACGCCTCTTGGGGTATGTTTATGAAACTGCTGCTGCCTGGCAATAAACAAATAACAACTTACCATCTTAAAGAAGCTGCACCCTGTATATGCCACCACATATACAGCTCTGGTAATTCATAAGTTCAGCTATGAATGCTGTTTGCTATACTCTTTGCTGGAAGGGATTGTTTCTCTCTGAATTGCTGCTTTTCTTTCTTTTGCACTGTAAGTAGACTGATAGCTATTCAGTCTAGTCTAGCCTGTCTTGCTTGGAATGAATCCCCTCCAGTCAATGCTGCACGGTAGATTATTCAGACAAGTAAACTGTGCATTTCATCAGCTGCAATTGTGATTGCACAAAATAGCAATGAAATCCCACAGTACAGTCAGAAGTGACAATTTCTGAACCAAAAGATACTGCCACCATTAGAATTGCAGTTGGCCTTGAGGCAAAAATCTCAGCAGTTCAACCAGTAGTATCAAGTACCAATACCTTTTCTGCTAAAATTTGTCCTTCTATGTTCACACCAACTACAGTTTGTTACATTATGTACAAGCATACAAACATTATGTTATTATGTACAGTATAACCTTGCCTAATATTTGAAGTCTGGATTAGCTACTGATACTTCACTTCAAATAATTTAGTTATCCCATATGGTTCTACTTACCCATTTCTGCGGTATGTTCTTGAAGTCAGCTGTGATGAAAGTGTCTTTGCCTAACTTGAGTGATATTGTTATCTGCATCAGCATCCTGTGGTGTATCTTTTGGAAAGGAAGCAAAAATGCTATGCATCAGGAAAGATGAGATAATTGGTTACTGTTGTCATATTTGAATGTTCTGGCTACTAAGAACAGATGTGTTACTGTATTTGTTAATAGGACCAAATTAGGTGGGAGAATGTTGCTCTCAACACATTCAAGTGATTTAGCAGGCACTGGCTTGAAGAGGGCTAATTGGGAACAATATCCTAGTAAGGACTTGGAATTTTAGAATCGTCAAATCATGGAATGATTTGGGTTGACCCTTTATAGATCATCTGGTGGCAGCCCCCTTGCTGTGGGCAGGGACATCTTCTACCAGATGAGGTTGCTGAATTACAACTGCCTTTCTTCCACATATAATTTCCATGAAATAATTTAATAGGAACAATTAGTGTAAAATACGTTGCCTTTTATAACCAGTATGACTATAATGAATGTGACTTCAAAAGTTATATATTTGTTTGCTGTTTAATATCACCATATTCAAATAAGACTAACTTTAAATCAAATACCGAATAGAAAAATCCTCATAAGAGGCTGAATACATGTAAATTGCAGCTTACTTTGGATAATACCAGAAATGGAAAGGAAGCATTGTCAAGGTTATATATGGTCAACTTTAATTATAGCTTGAACTAGCGTTATCTAACCTAATGCTCTAAATTCCACAATAGGACCACAGAAAACAATGACATCAATATGCTAGCCAAGAAAGCTGATTGCCATCCAACATATGTAGCCAAGGGGGTTGCTATGGCTGCTTTCTACTTGGCTAGATGCCTCCAGCTTGGCCGAGGCATAAAGCAAGATCAAGATGCTGCTAAAAAATACTATTCTAAGGTAAGTTGAGAAAGTCTTAAAGACTAATTTATATCTCATGAAACTGAGCAATACCTTGGATTTGAGTCTTTCAACTTGCTGTTCTGTTAAAAACTCCAGCATTATTTGTATTAAAAAAAATCTGTGCAAGAAAAGGTATAGTGATAAAGTGTATTGAAAACTGCTAAAAATTGTCTTGAAAGGATGCTATCTGGCCACTTGCTTAAGCAAACAAAGCATTCTACAAAACCAACAAAAAAAATCCATGGTAGTCACCACAGCAAAGAGCTTGGTAACTTGAAAGATAAATTAGCTATAACAATTTGAATAATTCTATCCCAAATCAATTTGCTTTCTGTCATTCTCTAAAACTGAAACATCATTACTTTTCCTCTACTTTAGATTCTCTAACAATTATAACCTTCATTAAATTGGCCATAACTGGTTCTCATGCTTATTTTTATAATTACATTTTTAGCACTAACTGAGGATCTACTGCTTTCCCTGTTCCCTATACCCAGGGAAAAAAACCAGTCACATTTTTTTCAACGTTTAATCTTGGAGTAAGATTTATTGCTTCAGGAAAAATATCAGTAATTGCCTCTAGAAGATGAATCTGCTAAGTAATATCTGTGATGCCTAAAGGTACATCAAGGCTAGGTGATTATATCAACTGAAGGGAGCATAGAAAGTTTACATCTGTGCTTTAGAGAGACTATGATTTCTGTGCATGTAGTGACCATTTGTTTCTGCAAGTAGAATACTTTGATTTCCAGCTTGATGCAATCTAAACAAATGGAGAGTTATGTAAATGATAAATTATCAAATAATTTTTGTGGCTCCTGACTCGGGGAAGCCACTGGTATGAGGGTCTTAGCAAGGCAGGTGATCTTCTGAATACAGGCATTTTAAACATTTTTGTTCTTCTGCTGTGAAAAGTGTTATAGAGGATAGGATAAGGAAAGGAATCTAAGCTGAGGTGTTATGAAGACTGTAGCATTATTCCTAGCTACATCTTAAGGCATCGAAGAGGTCCATCAGGATTAAATTGCTGCATGGCTTTGTGGGAGCCATTGTCTCCTTAAGTCTAGCAAAACCACCACTACTGAAAGAAGATTACCACTTTTACTCGTTATTCACTAGCTGTACATCTGATACTGATCTATGAATGTCACTACCTTCTCAGTATAAAAAGAGATACTTCCTATTGACTGGTGCCATGCATCTCTGAATCAGAAAAGGAACATTATATAAACAAGGAAGCTCCCTGAAACAGTAACTTTAGGACAAGTAAGAGTTGTGGGGGTGTCCAGTTTCTTTTTGCCTGGAAAATTCTCATGTTAACTGTACAATTACACCTACTTAAAATTTTTTTTTTGTTTTTTAATTAACTTCCCTGCTGTGGTTTTGGCATACCTTTCATAGACTCAGTCAGTTTTGAAAGAGGTGAGAAACAGAAGATGGGCACCTCCTAAGGGTACTGAAAGAGAGGATGGAAGTGAATGAAACTGATCCAGTCTGTAAGCAGATTTATATTTCTGACTGAAGCCAGCACAGGCCATGCCAACAGAATTTAAAAAAATAAACCCAAGATTAACACTATAGTCAAGTATGCTAATTTTAAATTTTATTGTAGCTATAAACCAGAACACTTGTATTCTTTGTTTTCAAAGGCATGCCACCTGGATCCTGCTGTTGCCTCTGACCTTGAAGTGGCAGCTAATCTTGGGAGAATTTAGCGCTTCCTTTAACTATGACTGGTATATAAATGTATTTCCTACAGTAAATCATCATTAATCTCCAGCAATTACAGACTGTGCCTTACTTACTGCTTGTTTTCAACTTTCTCTAAATTCTTATTTAAAGCAATTTCCTGATTCATTTTATCTAAAATAAAGAAAAAAGCTCACTCTTTCTTTAACTGAGATGAAGCCAAGGCAGACTTTTTAAAATAGTATTAAAGACTTAAAGTTCTATTAAGGACATTTATCTGGGAACAGATATATTTTCTTTATGTCATACTGCTATATAGCACATGAATCAAGCCAAAACCAAATAAAAATAGTTTTTTCCTTTCTGCATAGGTAGTGTTTCTTTTAATATTCTGAAAAGTTTCAACCCAAACTTGTCTAGTTTTCACATACAGTCCATTCCCAGACTACGGCCATTTTTAAACCTTATCTTTGTTAGCAGTATGTATACTTTCTTTCACATGCTTTCTAATGCATCTAGATCTACTTAAGTGTCTTTACACATTTTACTCTTGGATTGCAGAGATTTGAAGTTGGAAACTGGCCTGTAAGACACTAAGCTTTACAGTTCAAGCCATGCCAGCTTGTAAAACTATTAAATACTACTTACAGAACTATGGGAAAAAACCTCCAAACATGAGTAAGGAAATATTCAATATACATTCTCAGCATGAAGCCTGTTTTCCTTAATCCTTCATATTGCATTTACATTGCCTCTGTTTGTGTTAGAAATTGTTGAAAACCTTTTGGCTAGGAGTATGTCTGAGCAATGTCATGCTCAGTCTTTTATCAAAAGATACTTTGATTAACCACTAGTAAAACTTAATTGCTATGGTAAGCTTGCACATTTCTAAATACCCACTTACTTATAAAACTTTTTAAGTGCCAAATTTGGCTTGCTTCTTAGAACTGTGCCATGACCTGAAAACTTTCCTGAATCTGTTGGAACAGAAAGCTGGATGTTACTAAATTGTTGATTAAATATAGAATACAGATGGCATGTACCTTACAATACAGCCAATTTTAACTGCAAGTAGTTTTTCTAAGAGCACAACTGTACTGAATTGAAAAGACAGTAATGAGTGTCACCTTGGGATTTCTGATGATGTTTAATTATTTAGATGTGCATTAAGACCATATTTACATATTTTTACATAAATTAAAAAAATAACCAAAAGCAAAAAACCACTGAAGACAGTTTCCTTTCCTGGTATAAAATAAGGGAATATCTGAAGGTTGTTTGAAAGTGGGGTATTTGAATAAAAGAGCCCTGAGTAATATCAGGGAAGTTATTAGAATGGTTTAATTAAATGTCTGCTTGATCATTCATAGAAGCAATTCATAAGCAGTGATCTCTGAACTAACATTTAACACAGGCATTCTGTTAGGACATACCAGTTTACAATACATAATTTTGACACAGACTTCAAAGCAATGTAGATATTTCTTATGAAACTAGTGCTGTCAAACTCATTCATTAGTTGTCAGTACAGCCTCACTATCAAATACTACAATCCAGTTGTGATATTTATTGCTTACAAATGCTTCAAACTACAGGAAATCTTTGGTAAAAACAAAATTGATAAAATTTTCACAATAGCTTTACATGTAGTATTGCACAACAAGGCTTTTTCAATACACAAGAAAAAAAAGAGGAATGCTCAGATCCTCAGTGAGGAGATTAGAACTGTACAACATTCATTAGTTTTCCACTATAAGCAAAATTTCTTTTCATAAATGTTTAAAATATTTTCTGGTTTCTTTCAGCATATATGAACATTTATTTTTCAATCTATATTTGAAACAGAAGAGTAGTCAAATAGAACAATTTAAATAAAAATTGGCAGCTATACAGCATTGTTTTGTCTACCCTACTACAGCATCAGATCTTTTCAAGTCTGTTTACTTCACAAAAAAACTCAAGAGGAAAGAAAAATGCTAAAAATAATCATAGTCCTCAGCCCTCTATGGAAAAGAGGAAAATAAGTTTCATGTCTATTATCGAACATAGACATTTCTCTAGTGGTCCAGTTGTGCAGATTCAAACCTAAGTGGTGTTAAGCTGCTCTAAATGAGCTCTCAGCTCAGGACACAGCTCAGTTAGCAGCAGTTCCAGCAAAACCTGAAAAAGAGAAACAAGTTAAGATGATGCAGGTGCCAACCAAATGAGAATTTGTGCTTCACTTCTGTCATGTTTAGAGCATCACAGATAACAGAAGCATGTACATTTGATTCTATTCATCATTCATGCAACTACTTTCCTTTCATCCTGAAGTGAGCCCACGTGCCCTACAGAAAACATGGGAAATGTCTTAAGGCTGAAAGGAGGCAAGTGCAAAGGGCAGCTGCTTTCAGATGGGGATTTCCCACCCAGTATAAACTGTCGCTGTTCTGCCAAAGACTCTGCAGCATGATAAGCAAGCACCAGAGCCTGCATCTCATGCATCTCCTGAACAGGCTGCATCCTCTCCAGTGCTAAGGCTGCACTGTGTGACAGTCTAGTGCCCAAAATGAGCCAGAAGAGACTGACTGAGCGTGAAGGCATTATACTTAGATCCAGCTGCATGCTCCAACATAGTCCCACCAATGGCTGAGGAGTGGGACTTTTGGAGTCCTGTCATGTCCTAACTACAAGCCAGTCCTGGAGCCCTCCTTCCCTAGGATTCTCCAAGATATATTTATTTTTCTAAGCTGTATGAAGAAATTAGTTTGCACCTTATGAAGTCAGGAAAGTTGGATGTGGTAGAGGATCTCTTTTAGATAAAAGCAATGCTGCTGTTAAACAGCCTTTTGTTATTTAAACTTAGTCAGGGGATCAAACCAAGTACATTTTTCTCACTGATTTTAATAACAAAAGAAGTTACTTGCACACAGACCAATAGTTCAAACTAAATCACTGGCTTTAATACTGAGTGAATAGAGCTCAGCAATTAACAAGATCATGAAGTTAAAAAGCTACTTTTCTGGTTACTTACATAAAGTAGATGCTTGTTAGCCTTCCTTTCTTGCAACGCATTGAACACTTTCACTACACCATGACGGGCATTTTGTTGTCCAACAAGATTCTGCAGAGTATCTGCAACAAACGTTACTTCAGCTTATATTGCTTTACTCCTGCTAGGCAAAACCTCCAACCTATACTACCACCCAGAATCACAGAATCAACCCCATCAGGGTTGGAAAAGACTTTCAAGATCATCTGGTTCAACCATAAGGACCCATAAAGGAGGGGAAACAAAGCCACTGCACTTCAGTGGCCCTTGGTTACAAGATACACAGTGTCTAGTCAACAACATTTTAAAAACACGGGTAACTTAGGTCATAGCTTGTAAAGATACCCTTATTCTCACGTCACCCAAGTTAGATAATAGTGTATAAATCTCAATGACAACGCTTTATGTGTTTTAACATGATATATAGTATGCTTTTTTGGTAGTTCACCTCACAGAGTCAAGTTTAATCTCATACATCATCTCATACATCACTTAAATTACTTTCACCAACAAAGATAGAATTCCTACAACAGTTAAAAAAGATTTAGCACTTGAATTGCTTCTCAATCTTCACAGAGAATACTTCCCACAAGTAAGCAGTTCAGAGAATTCTGTGTCAATTATTTACATTTTGGATTAAATTAGAGAATAAATAGTGATCCAATGCTCCACCATTAATCTAAGGTGCATTCAGCTATGTCCTGTCATACGGCTCCAAACTCAGAAACAAACAAACAAACAAAAAAATCAAACAAACTCACAAACTATGGAAGGCTATCTAGATAAGTAGGTAAGTACATAACACAGGGAGTAAACGGAGAGTTGTTTACATATGAAATATTTTGCATGCATACCTGCTGCTTTTTTGCAGTAAAATTTGATTAAACAACCTAATGCACAGAGTATCTACATGAAGTCATAAAAGAGCTCATCTCTTCAGATGAAGAGATAAAAAGCATTCAAGCTATGTTTAAGTGCATTTCCAAGTGCTAAAAGTAATGATATTGTTTCTTCCCAGTTAGGAGCCTTTGGTTTGCATGATCTCTGAGGAGTCAAAAATATATAACTGGACTTCTGGTCCTGTGAATGGGACAGGATGGAGCATCTCAGAATGCTGCCCCAGAAATGTGCTGGCTAAGAGGAAGCTGCCTAGGCTTGGGAGATAAGGGTAGGCAAAGGAGAAAACCCACTCAGCCTAGGATCTTTTTCTGTCCAGGCTGCAGGTCACTCTAACATTCAGCGCTCTGAAATTTCTTATCAGAAACAGACAGCAACACACAGCCTGACATTGTGGCTAGACCTCTCTCTCCAACTTTGAAATAAAAGAGGAAGAAGTAATTAGGGTGGTGTGACTCTCCTATTTGTCATGTACTTCCAGGTAGCAGAACCACCTGGTATTTGCTCACAGAGAACTAGCAGAGAGAAAGTCTCGACTGAGGTTCCTTGATGAATATTACACACAGAAGTACAGCAATACTGGATTTTGCATCCACCGATATCTGAATTCATGCCCTTTACCAGACAAGGAGGAGAGGCAAAGAATAAGGCCAAAATTATCCTTATTTATGCAAATAATCATGATTTAGAACTCTAAAGGAAAAATAATTTGATTAACCAGTTTCCTTACTAGCTACTCAATCTGCGACTAAGCAGAATAAAAGTGATCTCACCTGGAATGTTTTCAAGCAGTTTTTGCTGTGCTCTCTGTTTTGTCTCTTGCTTTTGTTCATCGCTCTTGGCTCTCGGTGGTGGTGCTAACTTTCCATTTGGCCAAAAAGCATCTCGAAACACACCAATGTAGTAAACAAGCATTGGTTCACTGAACATCCAGTGTACAGTGTCACGGATTTGCCTGTAAAGAAGTGTTGAAGGGAGCTCATCAGAGTTAGTCTTTCATGTTTTATACAGATTTATTCTTTTTACTTTTAAAACATACACTGGAACTACATTTCAGGGATGGGCACTACAGAGGCTCCAAAGGGAAAAGATGTAAAAATCAGGTAACTAATTGTAGCAAACTCCAAACTAGCCGCATGCACAGATGTGCCTGCTAGGATAAAGACAAAGTTTTGATAGAAGCACAGTAGGTTCCCTCACAGATAGCAAAAAGCACATTACTGAAGGGATTACAAACAGAGATAGCAGCCTCCTCCTGGGACTGCAGCAGTCACTGTAGCCTTCAGCACCAAGAGTCTGAGGTAGAGAGCAGGCACTACTGCTGTGCCACACTACAGCCAAAACCCTTAAAGTCAATAAATGTAAAAATTCAGCCTACATGTAAAAAGCTATATAGCAACTTCACATGCCTGCTGTGCTCACACTCTGTCCCTCTCTGTCCTCTCTCAGACATTGTCCATCTTAGTTATCAGCAGTGTATGAAAAAATGAACCAATCAATTTAAAACTCACTGAGTGTATACTGTCAGAGACCAGTCCAATTTACTGCTACATAACATACATAAAAGGCTTTAAAAACCACACCGGCATGTGCAGATTTAGTCAATGACTGGACAAAGAGTAGGTTGTTCTGCTGGTAGAATACTTTTCCAAATTTTTTCTGAAATAAAAATTTCTGAAGTAAAAATACAGCTTTCCAAATGAAAGTGTGTGTATAGACAGGCACACTGACTTCATAGCCTCATCCAGGCCTCACTTGACAAAGATAATTCGCATACCTGTGTTTTCTCTGACCAACATATTTGTAAATTTAACTGTGTAAAACAAATGCAGATTGTCATATAAAACAAAATGTCCCCATTATTTTTTTAACAATTCTACTCTCAGCCTTTTTCCTAGAACAACAATGAAGGTTCATTTAAAGCAAAAGCTACTTACTTGTTGATAGTTCTTCCAAAAGTGACTTGTACTAGTGCAATTAATGTTTTCCTGACCCATTTGAACACTAGAACAATGAAAAAATATGAAAAATGATGACCAAGAAGTTAATAACGCTACAGAACCCATGATTATGTCCAAAACCTTCCCCCTGTCACCCTCAAACCAAAACCAAACAACCCATCCCTATAGTAAACACATTGTGATAACCCTTTCTAAGATTTCATTCATTGTGCAGGTCTCATTTTTCTTGATTGCTTTCCTTGTAGTGTTTGCTGTATGATTTTTAAATCTTGAAGATTACAAAAATATATATAATTTGCATTTTAGGTTATACTGTAAACTTCTATGTTTAAGAATATTTCAAGTTTATGGAGCCATACAACTACCCAAACCCCTTTTCCGCCTACAAAAATGCAAATGTCTTCAAAATTCCCACCTTTTTGTACCTGCTAGTATAATGTACAGCAGCACCATTAAAATTCTGAGAACATTTTCACTCAAATAAAGCAAGCAGTCAGCTTTCCATTACTAATAAAGGAAACAAATGTGAGTGCTTCCTAGTAATTACTAGTTAATCTTTCTTTCATGCTGTTCATTATCAGCACAATAAAGCCTATATTTGGAAGATACATCTGCCATTTTTGGAAGGTGCTGTATTTTGTAATAGTTACCCTGTAAATCATTTTATAGAGCACCATGTGTGGCTGCACATTCAAATAGAAACAAAAATAGTTTTTCTTTATTACCATCATTCAGTTACATAAAAGAGAAAAAAAAAGTCTAGTATTTAAAGATGCCACAATTCTAGCATCTTTTCCATTATACAAATTGTAGAGCTAAAGTGCATACATAATTCACTTTAAATGGATATTAAAATTGTATTTCTTTGCCCGAGACATGTTCTATAATAAAGCCATCATTCCTTCCTCAGAATTTATATATTCTAAAAAGCATCCTATTTACAGAAAACATGCTACTACTCTTTTCTGGTTTTTTCCAGATTTTTTTTCATGAAGAACTTAATTCTAAATGCAAATGCTCTCCCCTACCAGCTAAATTTTTATTACTATTTTATATTGGAATTTCACTTTTGAATGAAAGCTCCGAAGTTATGAACTACTGAGGAACAGCTTGGTTCCAAACAAACAAACTGGCTATAGAGATTGCAAGAACATTTCCACTTATTGAAACAGCAGAAAAATCCAAATTACAAAGTGCCACAGATTTCTGAGCCAACAGATTCCAATAGCAATTAAGCAGGTTCACAGCTTACTTCCTCGCAGTTCAAAAATCTCTCCAATCAGCATGAAACATGGTTCAGCAAGAGAGTCCTTTTTCCCATCCACCTCCTCTCCATAGTCCGACAGGTCACTATCCTCTTCTGTTTCTTCCTAGAAAGAGAGGCACAACACGAGTATGCACTGCAGTTCCCCATCCTTCATCCAGAACGGATTTAGTTACTGCCATGCTCTGGGAAGGAGCACAGCCAGTCATCTCACAAAAGGGCATTAGGGCCAAAAACTGCTGCTGGCAGGATCTGGCAAACAGGAACCTCGCTCGGGATTTTGAAAAAGGATTGCACTTCCCGTGGGACAAGAGTGATGAGGACACTCAGCGCAGCTCAGGTCATCATCACTGCTATATCTGCTTGCAGCCTTGCCTAAGTAAGCAACTCAATGCTGCCCAGATTTTCAGGGTCTACTGCCTATATTGCCCCACCAATACTAGCTGGATAAAAGAAAGCAGGTGATGTGGGAGTCACGTACTGCTAGGAAGCAGGTGAGAGCTGTAAGGAGGAAATGGCACTCAGAGGTGTTAGTGACTACAAAGCCTCCTCTGATGCAACACCCAGGAAGGACACCCAGGATGGGGAGCTAGCCAGCTGGAGCTGTTTGCAACACGAGCAGCTAGGAAGAAAAGGGGAAAATCTGGTTATTGCACAGGGAGAAGCAAGGAGCTGGCTCCCCTGGCAAACAGACAGTGCCTTCACAGCTGAAGCCATTCAGTGGGATCAGGCACTGAAGGCTGTCTCTTGCAGTAAGCTGGGAACAAAACCAAGCAGTAGAAAGAAAACCGGCCACTGCAGAGACAAGCACCATTAACGACAACCAGTCCCAGGCAGAAAGACAATATGGTGATACTTAGTGACCCAAGCCTGAGAATACCCAAGCTCAGAGCACCAAAGGGAGCAGAGTTATTCAGAATAGACTCACAAGAGATGAATGGATTGAACAACCTCAGTTCTGGTAGTACCATTTATTCAAGAATGTAGGGCAGACAGCAGGTTGTTCCTCAGTGTCATGAAGATCTGCTTCAGAATCAGGACTGTAACACCTATCATTACTCATGGCAGCTGACACACCCCTTTGCCTTCCTGGATCCTCCCCTGCCCACCCATTCTTAGAGCAAAGCTGCAGAAAGGCAGACCTGATCTCCACTGAGGCTGGTGCAATGCCCCAGTCTCTGGATCAGGAGTGGTCAGAATGCTGTGCAAGTTTTCTTCTTCAGCCTGATTTTCAGAGATACCAATCATCTCTTTCTTTGCCTTCCTTTCATCCTTATCATTCTAACATCCAATATTGGTCTATTTTTCTCCTTTTCGGTAAATGCCCTATCTTGTAGAAAATGCAACAAGAAATGTAAATTCTTACATCACAATGCAATTTCTATCCATTAAAAGCTTATAAACCTAAAAGCCTTTCTTCTAGATTGTATCAACTACATTTTTTTCCTCTGATTTGGTTTTGGTCTTGAGAGCTAAGACATACATTTAAAGCTAGTCCTGTCCAAGGAGTTGAATATAGAAAGATATATGAAAATGCTGCAGTATTTAATCCTGAAAACAACACTCAAGAGGTAATACTATTGGTCTAACATATATTTGAAAAATATGAGATGAGATGTAAAAGGCAAAGAGTGAGCTGAATGAGAGCATTCTCTACTACATAGTCCAAAGTACAAACTAAACCAGGAGTTCTCAGCTACAAAAATACAGTTGTAACAGTTTTATGTGTGGTTTAAGACAACTAACTTAATTTATGACCATGCACCAACTGATTTAACCCTAGTTTAACTGCTTTGGCAAAGTATCCAAAATGCTGTCAACTAGGCATGACACTGAAAGATATGGGTGTTCAAAAAACAGCAGAGCTGATCCCAGACTGTCTCACAATACCTCTCCCTCCATTTAATTTTATCATTATTTTTACACCAGGACAAACATTTGACACTCTAATTCAGAGGTCTAACAGTTTGCTATATTCCCACCATCTGCATTTTGTTCTCTTCTCTTACATTTAAGTTTAGGGAAAGAAGTGAGAAGAGGGGGAAGGCACATGTGAAGTGGGGTGGTCTTTGCCTGCATCTGCACAGTGCCTGGCATAATACAATGTAGCTGAAATTAAACTCCTAGTCCAACAAGTAATAAGAAATAGTATTAAATTTAAACTCAGTAAGGAGTTATCACAGAATCACAGAATAGGTTGAGTTGGAAGGGACACACAAGGATCATCATGTCCAACCCTTAGGCCTGCACAGAACCATCTCCAACAGTCACACCAGCTGCCTGAGAGTATTGTCCAAACAGTTCTTGAACTCTGTCAGGCTTGGTGATGTGACCACTTCCCTGGAGAGCCTGTTCCAGTGCCCAACCACCCTCTGTGTGAAGAACCTCTTTCCAATATCAAATCTAAACCTCCCCTGACACAACTTCAGGTCCTGTCACTGGTCACCACAGAGAAGAGATCACTGCCTGCCCCTCCTCTCTCCCTCACAAGGAAGTTGTAGAGTGGAATGAGGTCTCTCCTCAGTCTCCTCTTCTCCAGGCTGAACAGACCAAGTGACCTCAGCCGCTCCTCATATGCCTTCCCCTCAAAGCCCTTCACCATCTTTGTTGCTCTCCATTGGACACTCTCAAATAGCTTAATATCTTTCCTATATTGTGGTGCCCAAAACTGCACACAATATTCAAGGTGAGGCCGCCCCAGTGCAGAGCAGGACAATCCCCTCCCTGGACTAGCTGGCGATGCTTTGCCTGATACCCCCAGGACATGGTTGGCCCTCCTGGCTGCCAGGGCACTGCTGACTCATATTCAACTTGCTGTCAAACAGGACCCCCAGGTCCCTTTCCATGGCACTGCTTTCCAGCATCTTATTCCCCAGTCTGCACAAACATCCAAGGTTGCCCCAGCCCAGGTGCAGAATCCGGCACTTCCCTTGTTGAACTTCATATGGTTGGTGATTGCCCAGCCCTCTAATTTGTCAAGGTCTCTCTGCAGGGCCTCCCTGCCTTCGAGGGAGTCAACAGCTCCTCCCAGTTTTGTGTCCTCTGCAAACTTGCTTAGTATCCCCTCCAGTTGTGCATCCAAGTCATTTATGAAGATGTTGAAGAGCACAGGGCCCAAGATGGAGCCCTGTGGAACCCCACTAGTGACAGGTCACCAGTCTGATGTTGCCCCATTTCATTATTACCCTCTGTGCTCCACCCGTGAGCCAATTGCTCACCCACTGCATGATGTGTTTATCCAGCTGTGTGCTGGACATTTTGTCCAGAAGGGTCCTGTGAGAGACTGTATTGAAAGCTTTACCGAAATCCAAAATATTACATCAACTGGCTTCCCTTGATCAACCAGCTGGGTTACCCTGTCATAAAAGGAAACCAGGTTTGATAAGCAGGACTTCCTCTCATGAAGCTGTGCTGGCTGTGACCAATGACTGTGTTGTCTTTCAGGTGTTTTTCAATACTTCCTAGAATAATCTTCTCCATAACTTTACCAAGCACTGAAGTGAGACTGACAGGCCTGTAGTTTCCAGGGTCCTCCTTCTTGCCCTTCTTGAAAATCAGGATATATGCCAGCTTCCAGTCAGCTGGGACCTCTCTGGATTCCCAAGACCACTCAAAAATCATCAAGAGAGGTTTTGCAATGACATCAGCCAGCTCTTTGAGGATTATGGGATGAATCCCACCAGGCCCGATAGATTTGCAGAGATCCAGCTGGAGCAGCAGATCCTGCACAATTTCAGGGAGTTGGTCATTCTTGCAGTCATGGTCCTCCAGCTCAAGGTATTGAGACCTCCTTGGTCTGTCATCCGAGTTGAAGACAGAGGCAAAGAATGCATTAAACACCTCTACCTTGTCTCTGTCCCTGTTTGTGAGGTGATCACAACAGGCTGTAACAGGCTGATGATATTTCTATACTGCCTATTGCCATCAATTTCCCAGATCTTTGTTCGCGAAGCCTAGCCATGATTGCCATCAATGTATTTGAAAAAACTCTTTTTATTGTCACCCACATTTCTGGCAGCTTCAACTCCAGCTGAGCTTTGGACGCACAAATTTTCTCCCTGCAACGGCAAGCAGCATCTCTGAATTTTTCCCATATCACTTGATCTTGCTTCCACTGGGCATACACCTTCCTTTTTTGCCTTACTTCCAAGAGAAGATTCCTGTTCAGCCAAGCCGGCCTTCTGCCTCGCCTGCTTGACTTCCGACATTTGGGAATTGCTGCTCCTATGCCCTTAGGAGGTCATGTTCAAAACGTGACTAGCACTGATAGACCCCAGCATCTGCAAAAACATCTTCCCAGGGGATCTTACTTACTAATTCCTTGCTTTGTTTACTTATTTTCTCTTTCCCATATTTCCTATTTCCTCTCTTTGTGTTCACATAATACAATATACACGCAGCCTGGCTTTTGTCTTGAGGATGTTTTTCAATTAAATAGCAAAATACAAATAGCTGCATGCTTCTATGCTTTTATGCTACTTCTTAACAGTCATTTTAGTAAATGCACTTCTGGTTTTAGAACTGCAGTACTTCTACTGAAGTCCAAATCTAGTTTCTCCAACTTTCTTTATATTTATTACTCTGAAATGAGGCACATGCATTCAGCATCTAGATGCAAACAGAATATAATTTTGAAAAATGTATATAGAATTTTCTTATTTCTGAGAGATGCAAGACCACCTCTCTGCCTATTAGGAGGCTAGGACTGCACCTATTCCCCAAACTCCAATTATCCTGCAGAAGACCCATCCACTGCAGACAAATACAGCACATAAGAAATTAATTATTTCATATGAATTTTGTATAACATATAACTAAAATGGGGAATAGAAACAACTCCTTGAAGGTTGCATATCTGCAACATGAGCAACACAGAACAGAGTGCCATGGAATTATGGTTGATTCTAGTCAATAAGCTATTTCAGTCACTAATCTTTTATTCACTGCATTTTGATAGACGTGTTTTTTTATGGCTTAATATCAAATTCTCCAACTGCTTTGCCCACATAGGTTCCTGCCTGCATTTCCAAATTCCCTCAGTAAGCCTGCACTACTCGCCAACATTTTTGGTCAAAACTATCTTTGCTTCAGAAGTTGTCATAGAATTATTAAGGACACACAGCTCCTGCCAAGAAAATCTTCCCAAGAGAGAATTATTTTTACATGCCAAAGCTCCTCTGAAATATGCATATCAAGACCTCAAAAAAGAGGCAAATTCCGCTATAAAAAAATAAAACAATCCCATATGGACTACAGTTTGTTTATTTGTGATAGCTTATGCATTTGCCTATATGCATTTATCAAAGGGCAGGAAACTTATTTTGTTAATAAACACCTTTTAAATTCATAGATAGCTCTTATTTTTGACTCTTCGTTCACTTCCAGTAAATTACAAATCACTTTTGGAAATGTCTTCCAATATTACCTACCATTCAAACACTAATGATGACTTTCCCTGCTTACTTTGTATAAGTAATTAAATTTGGGAAGATTACTTTTCTACTACTTACCTCCTGATGAGAAAACAAATCACCAGGAAGTCGTTCGAGAAATGAGGAGAGTGAAAAAGATGACTTCTTTCCTTGCACATCAATAACTTTGAGGTGCTCTGGGGAAGGGCTCAAGAAGGCATAAAGTGCTTCACTCTGGCAGAGTCTTTCATCAGAGAGTAATTTCTATGAAAGAAAAATAATTACTGAAACATGTCAATTAAACATTTCTTGTTAAGGAATAAGATGTGTCAAGCCATCCACTATAACCAAGTAAGTCATGGCTCAGAGGCAGTGTGATGAAAATAAAATCCATGTCTCACAAAGATACTATAACAAGCTAGGTCTAAAGTACTGGAACTATTAAGACTGAAGTTTTTAATCTTACAACTTTCTTTTTTTAATAAAAGTTCTCATTTTTAAGGAATTTGTTGAGAAGTGTTGTAGCTAAAAGTGGCAATTACAGGATTCATTACTTATGATTTCTTAATTAACTGAAGTTTAAATTAACTTACCACTGGAGGAATGGTTACTGTCAATCAAACTCATCTTAACTTCAGGCATTTTAGACAACTTCGACATTTATATCAAACCTTACATCTGACCCATTTGTTCTAGACTCTCTCTTTAGGCAATAAAGAGACAACATTCTCTCATTCTGCTGTTTAGATATCTGTTGGTTTTGGTTTTGTTTTCTTACCTGCAGAAAGTTATTAAGCTGGTTCTTGGATTTCTCCATGAACTTCTGGTCTATGGATTTGAAGGGCAGCTTGCTGAGAGAAGGCAACTGAACTTTTTTTAATGATGGAAAACACTGTGTAGGAGAGAGGAGAGCTCACTTAAAATGCATGTGGAGTAAAAGACAACTGGTTCAGAATGGAAATGAAGAGACTCTCTTGTACTCTCATCTCCCTTCCACACCCCTCTCAGCACCCTGAAAAACACCTCCCTTACCCACTAGAGGCTTCCCTTCCCACCACCATCATCTATCCCTTATCATACAGAAAGGTTAAAGCGCTATAAAAAGAAACATTCTCTGTCCCCAAAAGCTGTCATTTCTAATACTTCCCTGGAAGCCAGAGACAAAATCTAGTTTTTACAGTCAGCTCTTCCATGACAGTGAAGAACATATAGCATTCTGACATTGGGTTAGTCCAGTAAAACATTATTAAGAGGGAAAAAAAAATTATAAATAAGTCTTATAAGCATCTCTCTCTGTAAGAGACCAGAAATATTCAGACAGAAAACTAGCTCTAAAACGCTAAAAGCCAAAAGGCTGCATTAAAACTGGCAGTATTAAATTTTTATCATTCTGACAAATTTCAGGAATTTGTATCTTCCTCCCTTAGCTGAGATTCGTACCTCACTGAGTTTGCGGTGTAGGTTCTGAAACTCACTGAGCTTCCTGGGAACAGTCCAGTTCTTAGTTTCAGCTCCACCAACTTCTTGTAAACTCACCATGACAGAGTAACAGGGCACTTGTTCTCCATTCTCTTCTAAAACCTTGTGGGGAAGAAACCAGCAGATAAGTTATACTACATTGAAAGTAAAACAGTGGAACATATGAGCTGCCAGATGACTGGCTTGCAAACTCAGTCATCATCAGTCCCATGCTTCTCTTGAGATTTGAAAGCTACATATGGAGCAACACCCTTAATGAACTAAACTTCACCCAAATGCTGTGCCAGTCCTGAATCAGTCCTCTAGCTAACCACTATGGTACCTCACATAAAGCTTAGCAATGCTGTCCACCAGCAATCAAATCTCACTGACATGTCTTATTCAAACAGGTGAGTGTATTATTTCGGTTTTTAAGGTCCCTATCATATAGCTTTCTGATTATCAATACTCCATTCTGATTATCAATACTCCATCTCTCCTATCTGCATTTACCTGAGTGTTCTCCCTTTATTCCCACGCTTCCTTCCCAGTGCCCTGTTGAGGTTCATCCACATGCCAGGCACAGCAGCTCTGCAGCTGGGCCCTGTGACAGCTAGTGCTGTCTCAGTGATTTCTCTACTCACTTGAGCCATTCTGCATGCACAGAGGATGTGGTATCCATGCAGTGTTAATGTCTGAGGGACTCACAACTTTAGAAAAATACTAATGAATCAAACTCTACAATCCTCAGTCAAAGGAACGAGAACCAATTAACCACATTGTGCAAATGGGAAAACTACAGCAAAGAAGTTAAGCAATTTTTCTTGAGACCACAGCAGCAGTGTGACCACATTATTTCTTCATTTAATGTAAGAACTGACATAAGAATTTCATCCTTTTGTTCTACTCGTAAAAGATTTTTGTTTACTTATTTTGAGGAGACAGCTAAATTGATTATGAAAGGCAAATAAGGGAAATGCATAAAATACTTCACTCTAGGAAGGCTTTGTCTTTACGTACATGCAAATAACTGAAAGGTAATTATAAAATACCACTTTCACAATCTTTTTGAGGAAGTTATAATTTTCAAGCTTTTTCTAAAGAATAGTTGAACTAACTACCTAATTAGGATAAAAATAAACTTTAAAATTCATATAATTATGACACATTTTCTGAGAACCCTGCAAAGGCTGTAAAAGTCTGACAACACTTAATGCTATTGATGGATAATTTGACAAGTGACTACATTACCATTGTAAAAAACACGCAGCTAAAATATACCTTCATATTTTTAGGCCATTCAGAGCTGTACATGGAGAATATTCCTGTGATTCCTAAAGCTGCACATGGACAACTGGGAAGACAAATCTGAGTCCCAGATTTCACATATCTGTGTAAAAAAGCTGCAGCAGAACCCAGACAGAATACAAAGCACCAGCTTGAATGCCTGAAGATATGCCTGTTTCTCAGTGCAGCTATTTGGGGAACTGCCTATCTCCTGCCAGAGTACTGCAGACATGCTTGAACAGCCTCCAAAATACAGTTTAGAGAAACATGGCCCAGAAGAATTGGGACTGTGTGGGACAGTCTCTACCCTGTGTACCCCTGAGCTAGACTGGATCTGTGCTCACCTACAAGCTGCAAACACCTCCTGGCTGCAACTTTTGAATACTGGGAGATCAGTGCTGAAATTGCTGATTAGAGTCATGCCTATCATTTTCCATTCTGCATTTGTTCCCAGGGCAAGGATTTGCATGTGTGTAGGGTCATCTGAACTGTAATTGTCAGGAGAGAGTCACTGCTCTAGAAGCATATTCTCAGAATGAGAGGACTTAGTACTCCTGCTTCAAGTTAGGATCCATGCGCAAAATTATTTAAATTCTGATTACTAGATGGAGACATATTACAACTTTCTTCAAGTACCCTCAAATTCTCTCATATAAATACTGAAAGTCTTCAGAATCTTTTTAAGAATGCAAAATTCTTGATCAACTTATGTACTTGTGCATTTGTTTTTCCAAATTAATGAGTCAACTGGAAAACAGAAAGATGGGATGTTAGGAGGTCTTCTAAACCAGGAGAACTAGTCCTCTGCTGTTAACAGGCACCATCTCATACAACTGCTATCATGAATAAATTCAAACTAGAGAGCCCTATTCCTCTGATTCTCTCCCTTCTGCTAAGTTAAGCAAATGAAAGTGCTTTCAGAATCACTTCTCATGGGAGAAGATCCTCACTCAAGGCCCCCAGGCCTTTTTCCACTGAGCAGCTTTCTAGTCACCTCTTACCTGAGTGTGGGGTGTGGTAACAGCAAGAAATACGCAATTTTTTTCCTCTTATTCAGATCTACAAACTTGCTTATGAAAGCAATAGATTTTTTAAAAGATGTTATGCTCTGAAACAGTCATTCTTTGGACAAGGAAGACATGGGGTTTTTTCAAATCTTAGGTAACTCTAGTTTTTTATGTGCTATCAACTGGTTTAGTAATCAGTTTAAAAGGTCAATGATAGGCTATTATACTTTCAGCTTACTTCTATATCCAAATTTACTTTTACTAAGCTTTACTGCAAAACAATAGGGCTACCAAGTTTTTCTCTCTCTAAAATCACAGAGGTACATCCTGGGATTAACAACAGCATATTTTGCAGATAGGAAGACAGTGTCATCTACTCATGCCCCTGAAATCAGCTACAGCCAGAATATTCTCAAGCAATTAATTAACATAGATAATTACAACATAGATGTTTTCTCCAGCCTATCCTTTGAAGCACAGAGCCACAAACAAGACAACTAATGCAAAACTACAGTTCATTACCTATCCTAGTACTACTTATAAGTTATAGTTAAGGCAGCAAGAAATTAGAAGCCTCTTCCAACTTCCATCTTATTTAGCCAAACTACTTTCTCCTCTGGTAGTATGGGAGGCACTGGACAGTTGTGTATGGTGCCCCTTACCACAAAGCTGCCCTTCTGCAGTTTTGCTGCACACAGCATTGCCAGATTTTAAAACTAGGCTTCAAAAGCTACAGATAACTCTTAAAAGACAACTTAAGAGCTTCTCAACTCTCAACTGTGTCACTCGCAAACAGCATTAAAACAAATCCAAATCCAGATGTTTGCACATGGAGAATTTGGTTTTAAAAATGTTATCTTAAGTTTTTAACCCGTTGGATTTATTTCTTCTTTTACAGACAATGACTATAATTGTTAACAGACCTATCAATAGCTTGCAAGAGCTTAAGACACAACCAAATAAACTCAACAGCACATACTTTTCCTTCAACAAAAAGTTACCTCAAGATAACTACTTATAATCGTTCCAGGAATATTTTCTTAATGATGTAGGAAGGCAAGCCAGTAGAGACCCAATTAATCTTTAATTCTCTGTAGGGATACTGTCAAGAAGATTGCTTATGTTCCTGTTACGTACTACATAACAAGCATTCACTGACTGGCAAGTGTTAGAGAGCTAGGAGATGGTAATACTTGTTTTCATTATGCATTTTTTTACATTCATTCTACAATTGTCTGCTTACACCCAAATGGAAAAGCAGAACAAGACAAAAAAAAAATGTAACTTCATCTTACAGATATAAAGCACTTTCTTTCTGGGTATTCTAGTCCCCTGAAACTGTACTGCTATTAAATATAATACTATAAAACAATGAGTGTAAGTACTGCATCTTTGAGACACAGCAGAGACACAACTGCACCCAAGTGCAATAGCATGGTAATATAACAAGAGACAGTTCTCATGAAAAACAATGCCTCTAAGATAGCAAACTGTCAAAACCAGTTTATGTTCATGCAGGTAATTTTTATAACTCCATTACAACTGTGTTTGAAGAACAGAAATTTTGTATATGCATCACAGTAGCCACTGGGAAACAAGAGGAACTCAGAAGAGGGTTCCTTCCCCCACAAGTCAGTATTTAGTATAAACAGTGTACACAAAGGTATAAGGAAAGTAGCTACGCATTTTTCCTCCACTTTTCATGCAAGTTTGAACTGACCCAGAAGACAAAAAGCAATAAAAAAATCCCATACCTCGCCTGAGACAATGAAGGCTTTCCACATGCCAAGATTCTCACACCACCAGTCCGTTCTTGCAATGTGCAGCTGAAGATCACTGTGCTCTCTCTCCATCAGAGTAATTTCATCTTTCAGCTTAGAAACAATCTGAAGAGGAAAGTTTATTGATTACAATTGGTAAGAAAAAGCTCATACAACATGCCTAGTTGTGTCCTTGGGGACAGTGTTCATAAAGAAAAGGTACAAAAGCAGGGGGAGAACAATTCACACGGATTGGAAAAAAAAAACAACCAAAAGTGAGAGAATCAATGATGCCTCTTATGATCTCCTACAATACACAGCAATCTTAACGGTCGACCCTGATACTAAAATAAAAAACAAGTTAGAAGTACACGCTACTATCACACTATCAGCATAAACGGCACTTGAGACTGGATTGTATACTACATACTGAATGCTTCACACAAAGTTGAAATTGCCATTATTGAAATAGGCATTGCTGAAGACATCCTCCTTATCACCTTCAGGTATACACTACGCAAATAGATTTCATTTCTAGGAATTTAGCTATGTTAACAATAATTCAGGAAGTTATCACTTATTTCATTTTAGTATTGAAGAGGGAAGGATTTATTACTGTGGAAAGCACAAATTTAAAAAGACATTCTTGTCAAGATGTAACTCACCATCATAATCTAATGAAGGAGAAATAGTGTCTCTCATCATATCAGAAAAGAAAATAAGTAAACAAACACCCTTCCAGGAGACAGAATGACAACAAAAGGTGGAAGTATACATAAGATGTGACGTTAGAAATATGGCAAAAGCAGCTGACACTTTTTTACTTTATTTTTAAACATGATACACCACACAGTCAAACTGATTAGTTCTATCACATGTACCACAAGTGGTGCATTCTACAGAGCTACAGTAATTCTGTCTCGTTCAGAATTTTTTTCTCATGCTAAATATGAAATGTTATCTACATGACGGCTATAGAACAACATTCTAGCAGATACCTAACGTTCAGAATATTTTTTTATTTTAATTTATTTACTATCAACATAGAGACTTGCTCTACAGTCACATTGCATTGACTCCAGTGGCATCCAGGAACATGCAATAATACAGAAGAACTGCTAAGGTTTCAAAGGTAAACAGCTGCTACATTTACAAACAAAACACAGACTTTACAATGATACTGGATCCATTTTACTATTCTGTTCCAGATAGATATATATTTTCAAAGACAAAGAATATTTTAGAAACAAAAACATACAGGGAAAAACCCACTACTTTAGTAGGACTACAATCCCTGCCTCCCCAAGAGCTTAAAGTATAGAAAGAATATAGCTATTATGTTTCAAGAATGCAAAGGGAACTTAGAAGTGATACATCCATGTGAATGGAATAATATATAAAGGTTTAGTCATACAGAATCATAGAATGGCTTGGGCTGGAAGGGGGACACCCCAGAAGAGCTGCAAACAGATTTTCAGCTGTCTGCAGTAACCTTTGGCAGAAGGAAGATGTGCAAGGGACAGAGGGAATAGTTAGCCAGGGTAGCCTCAAATGCTAGTGTTCACATCTTTCTCTTAGAGATAGCTATCCTCAGAGCTGGGGTGGTAGAGAATGAGTCAACTTCTATTCAGACCAGCATCTAACCATTCACCCTGAGTGAAGGAACAAATATATGAAAAATCCAGCTCCTGAGCAATGACTAATGCCCAGGTACATTTTTGTCACCCGAAGCAGGAGGTCATTTTAGGGAGATGCCTTGGCTATTTGTTAGTCTCACCCACCGTCTACCATTTGCAACCAAGCAGTCTCAGTACACCTGACAAGCTTGGCCCACCTGCGTCTCAACAACAGTCCTGTAATATCACCCCCGGTAGCAACGCAAATGAGTCGGCCTAAGCCATATGCAAATCACTTGCTTCTCCTGGAATATTGTCTCAGACTGCTTAACTGTTTCACTTTGCAAGAGAAAAGGAGATTCTTTTGTTTGTTTGTTTTTAGCCCAAGTCCAGAGTGCTGAAATTTCACATCTCTCAGAATTTTTCATCTGGTGACAGTGTGCTTTCTCCTAGTTCCTAATAAAGGAAATCAGTCACTTTTATAGGTTTGGGGCTTTTTTTATCCCTTTATTCGACCCAATCCGCCACAGCTGGGTTATGGAGCTGTGCTGTGCTCTTCACAGCCAGCAGAGGGCGCAGGAGTTGAGCAGCACATCCCTCCGCGGCAGCGCTGCAGGAGAGGCAGGGGCAGGACACAGGCTGCCACAAGGAATTACACGGACTCGGCAGGGCAGGGAGGGAAGGAAGGAACGCTATTTCCCACCGACAAAGCAGCAAGATCACTAAGAGAGTGGTCGTTATTCCATGGCAAACAAAGCAATATAAATCATATCTGCAATTTTAGTTAAAATAGCTTTTAAAAAATTGAAAAAATAAACAATTAAAACAGCTCTGATTTCGCCTCCTATTTAACAAGTTGATTGAAATAGCAATCTGACCTGTGCAAAGTGTGACAACTGGATATTACACAAACATACACATAATATTTTAAAAAAATCCAAACAAACCAAACCAGAAGACAGTAAAGGTACTTACCTTTTTGTCGGGTTTTGGTGAATTACATATGGAATTTAGAGCCTGTTTCTTATACTCAAGCTTGTCATTTAGCTGGCGAAGTTTATTAACAGCATAACTGGCCTGTTCATTAATTCTTGTGCTGCATTCTTCAGTAGCTTCTTCACAACCTTGGCTCTAGAAAAAGAGAATGGGGGTAATTGCAACATTAATATAAAAAAAAGAGACAGTTTTCATAGAATGATAGAATGTACGGGCTAGAAGGGATCTTAAAGGTCACCTAGTTCCAATCCCCCTGCCATGGGCATGGACACTTTCCACTAGACGAGGAAAGCTCAGAGCCCCATTCAGGCTGGCCTTGAATACTTCCATGGATTGGGCAGGGATGGGTTATTATTTGCTTGTTAAGCATTTTATGTGTAAGAACACTTCTTGATGTAGACAAAAATGTATGTATAACAGATATTCCAACCACCGGATCCAACACGAAACATCAGTCTGTTATAAAAAACCAAACCAAATCCCCAAAACCCCAACAGACAAAGCCTCATTACCATTCCTACTACAGTTCTTTGGCAACTCTTGCCAACTGTGTAAAATGACCTTCAAGCTAAGGCTTTAGTGTAAGTGAGAGGTAGAATTAAAGTTTATTTTAAAAGCAACAACAGCTTAATAGTCATGATCAATATTCAGAGCCAGATAGAAAAGCAAATACTTAGCTCTGAGCTGAAGGACAATGAGATGGGGCAGTGAGGAACAAAACCAAAAAAACCCTACAGTTCTAACAACATTCCTCCCACAAATCTTCACAAAACGGAACTGTCATCCTGCAGAACAATTTAAACAAAGTCCTTTTGCTTCATAAACAGATTTTAATGCTATTTTTAGAAGTGCTAATAAAAATGTGTTAAAAGCCCATATGCCTTACCCTAAACTCATAAATCATTATCATATATTCATTCAGACAAACCAATAGCTTTCTCTGTCTTGTGTACTACGGGCATGCAAAAGATAGAAAACTTCACATCTTTATGTGACATTCTCTTTAACATCTTTTGGCATTTGCCTCAGTCTCGCCTTCTTACTGTACATCCCCAAATAGGCAATGGAGACCTTGAGATACAGCAAACACAGCATTCAGCTTTTATTCTTGCCACATTCAAAGATCATTGAGGTCTTTTTGTGACTGGATATATCTAAATTTATCTGTAGGAAGCTGAGTTTCATCTCATGAACAGGAGCTCCATGTTCTTTAATGATATTCCCACTAAGTAAGCTGTATCTTTATATAATTAACAAAAAGCTAACAGAAGGAAGTCTCATCTCTACTAAATTATTTAGTTTTAGAGGAGACAATTCTACCGTAAATTCCCCTGTATTTTACAGCTTAGTAAAAAAAGTCTGAAGAGATACAGTAGCAACAATAATAACTGCCTTAGTGTGATCCTCATAGGAGAGGGTAACATAATGTAGAAGTCAGGAGTTCTAGGCTAAGAAATCCATGCCCTTTCCCAGCTCTGCATTTGCCTGCTATGTGGCTGAGTAATAAACATTAGCTCTACGCCCTATCTTTCCTTCTGTCTATTTTGCATGGACTGTAAACTCCTCAGGTCAGAGACTGCCTCCAAGCATGTGTACAGACTTCAGCTCATGGAAACCTGTTGTCATCTCACGGAACTACAGTAATACAAATAGTAATAATTAACAATAATGGCAGTTATTCAAAATGGCTTTCTTTCTAAGAGTGATGCAGAACATAGACTTCAGTCTTATTTTAGCAGTGCAGCACCAATGCAATCCCCACACCCTCTTTCCTCAAAGTGCTGAATGCAAGCACTGCTTGCGTCTGTATTTCTACTCATGACCTTCTAAACGAGGTTTGTCCAGGAAACAGAAAGTGGTAACAGACTGGAAAGAAGAAGAAAGAGCTTGTTCCACTTGCAGCAGAACGCACAGTCTGGCCTTGTCCTGATTCCTATCTTGTAACTTGATTTTCTCACGTTTAATCAAGGCTCATCCTTTTGTCCTCGCCTCCATGAGTGCACTAGATGACTTTTTACCTATCCAGCTATAGCAGTGAAACATATAGAAAATTAAGAAAGGTAACTCCCATAGTGCCCCAAGAAGTAAGGATGTAGACCCAAAACCCAAACTAAGCCAAAACCAATCACTACTTGCTAACAAAATGTATCCCTCCAGAAACATCTGATTTCTGAGCTGTTGTTTCGTATACACGGGAGGGAAAAAATTTCAGAAATGTATTATACAGTACTGCATTTTTGCCAACATTTTAAAGACCAATGGAAGCTTCAGAGAGAATTTCTTATAATTTTTTTCCACCTCAAAGACCCTGAAGCATGGCACAGTGCCATTAGAATTGCTCTATTCAAGAGATACTCTATCAGTATACACAACTTCACACTTAATTAGTTGTTAAAAATTAAAAAAAAATACCTCAGCTTTAATCCTATAAGGAGACTTGACAATATATCAGTCTTTAAGATTTCAGGGCAGACACAGACTTCAAATCTGCCACATACACATCCAAGGACTCAGAGGAAGGACAGACGATACTGATGTCAAAAATCTAATTTTTTTGGCAGCTACAGTAGATATTATCTGACAGAGATCAGCTAGCCCTAAAGTGTTGTCAGTTTTCTTAGAGAAATGGCCATCCGTGTCAGAGTCTGAATAAAGCATATAAAGAGATTAAAAAGCACAACATTTAATGTTTTATAAAGTACTGGACAAAACTGGTAAAGACACACAGTCTTTGAAGTACCTACCACCCTCAACACATAGCTGAGTTAGCAGTGAGAAAACTAGAAAACATGTCTTGGAATATTCCATCAAGGGAAAGAATACAGGGAAAAACAAACAATGAAAAGATTCAGCAAGCTCTAAAAGCACATATTGGAAGTAATTTACTTATAACAGCTCATCTCTGCAGATTTGCTGATATGCAGAATAATAACTCACCTACAGGAATGAAAGCCATATTTAAGCAGTAAATACCAAAGTCTTATGTTCTGGAGAAATTGTTTCTAAAGGGTAGAATGTAGATCACCACTTCTGGATTCTGCTTATTTGTTTATTTAGATCCAGTTTTAGACAAACTGTTACATTTCATTGTGTTCTGAGAAAGTTCATAAGTAAAATGAAGATATCCATGCTGGTCTGAAGCAGCAGACTGACTGAAAGATGCACTCACTAGTCTGAGACTTGCTCTTGTCAAAACGTTCTTAGATAATTGCAACACAAGTTCCCCTGACATGACTGATTTACACAACCCACGGAAAAAACCCACCCCAAGAAGAGTTGCCATTGGATTATTGCTTGTGACATTTTGAATGCTCTGGTTTAGTACTTAAGACTTCTTGTGCTAGATTAATCTTCTAAAATGGCCTATCAATTTATTTTCAACTAATTAATAAAAACCACACTGAGATTATATTTTTCATTCCTTTTTCTTCTCTTTTGTGTAACTTTAATACCTACTTAGTATCTAGGAAATGTATGAGAGACCAGCACAGACAACATCTGGGCAGAAACCTACTGATGTTTCAGTGAAATTTTCTTCACTGAAAAGCAGACCAGCTGAGCTTCTATGAGGTATGTTACTAAGGAGCATAATGAAAGATGTGAAATACAGAAGGTTTGGAAATCTGAAATATCTACCTTAACTAATTTTAAGTTTAAGTAGTCAGTCATTTTGTACCATTTTGTTTCAAAGAGCTTGTAAATATCCAAGTGTTAACAGATGAAACTATAAGAGCGATGACACTTATATCAGGAATAAAGAAGAGTAGTCCAAAGCTCAAGGACAGAAGAGGCTACTATATGCTTTTCTCAGGATTATCTCTCAGATCAGCTTAAATAAAAGGGAAAGGAATTGTTTGCGTGACTCACCACTTCATCTTTGTCCTCAGGAGTCAGCTGAGCAGAACTTCTTTCTTCTTCCTTCTTGACTGATCTCTCATATAAATCACTGACAATGAATGAGGGGTAGTATCTGTCCTTTAGAGTTTCGTAAACATCTGCCTGAATTCTGTAGAATACTTCAATGCCTTTATTTCCCACAAGACTTTGCTGTATTTCTTTATAAAGGGATTTTTCCACAGGTATTTCTCTGCTTTCCACAAAAAAATTCTGATAAATTTCACTCACCAGCTGAGGTATTTCAGACTAGGAAGAAAGCAGGAAGAGGGAGGGAGAAAAGAATAACGAAAACATGTTAAAAATATCAGGATGACTCAGGATCCAGGTGCATAATTTGAAGGATAATCAAGCTAATTTCCTATCCAGATGATGAGAACACATCTGTGAACCTCTTACGGAGAACGAGCATGCTGTCTGCCTGTGCACCTATGCTAAGCAGTCAATTTTACAAGCTAAGTATTTATATTTGTCAGGACAAAAAACAGCTGTGCTCTAAAATTGTCATAGCTTCCCCACCCACTGCTTTTAAAAGTATGCTCCAAAAGCTGGTATTAAAAGGAAGAAAAGTGCTAGAGCAACATTGTGGTCAACACTTTATGTTTAGATTGTAAAGCTCAGCTGTATCAGCTCTATCTTCTGCTGAATAGGATCAACTCACTTTATATGTGATCATAATTAATTTCAGAGACAAAAGGGGAAAAAAAAAAAGAAAAAAGAAAAGAAAAAAGCACAACTGAAGAGAGATTTACCAGTACAAGAGGCTGGGTATTTTCACAGAGCATAGGATTGAACTTTGCATTAATGAACGGGAAAGAGGAAGTAGTGCAGCACAGCCCATGATCAGATCTCTAAATCGTCGTCTCCCTAAACTGATCTGAACTAAAAAGGCTTTATCCACTCCCTCAGTAAAGCATAATGTTCTTGCCTGCCTCGTCTGACAATATCACAGCCACCCGGTTGCAGGACCTTACCTTTTTGTAATCAAAGCTGCCCCTGTAGTGGCATATACATACAGATACATATGTATATACACATAGTTTTGAAAGCAAAGAGCAAAATCACAGCTGAAAGGTCATAAAATGATTTATAGCATCTTTTCCAATCACAAGCAGTTTGCAAATCAAAACTGATTTATAGAACTCTCTTCACAGCGCCTGACAAACCATTTTTATGAACACTCTCTAGCTTGAGTTGGTTGTTAGTCATTTCTTCAGATTGTATCAATGGGTCACACTCCTCACATTCAACAGTTTGCCACTTTGTTTTCAGAATGTTATTTTCCAATTGACTAGAACCTTTATACATAAGAGGGCAGTAAAATTACAGTAAATAAAAAGATACCTGATATCGATAATGAAATTCGTATTTCATGCTAGTGTGAATCCTGGAGGTTTAATAGTCTCCCCCAAAAATCCACCTCACTGCTCACAAACTGCAAATTTGTCCTCTACTCTTGCTATACAGCATTGGTTCAGGAAACTTCTTGCAACTTTAACTGGTATTTCCTATCCTTGTTTCATGGTTCTTATTCCTACTTTATTTTAGCACAAATTACAATATAGTAGTGTATCTTCCCTCTAAGAATAGTGTGGGATTCCTGGAGAAACTTACTTGCTTATATAAGCAACAGAATATGGAGAGGTCTTTTAAAGCAAAACCTCTCTTCCAGAAGGATTTTAAAAACATATATACACACGTTTACACTGTTTTGGATTGAATGGGCTACCTGCAATTAGCAAGATGAGAAGCTTATGTACAGACTATCCAATGGGAATGAACTTCTAGGTTTCACGTGAGCTGATACAACTAAAGCCAATATATTACTGCAAGTTTACTCTCTGGTGGAGGGGGAAATAATTGTATTACTTTTACATATAAAGTATCCCTTTTATGGGATGTTGCTACACCAAACAACAGTAAATCATTATCACAACAGCCCACAAATTTTAATTGCAATATTATCTTCTAATATTGACATGAAGTAGTCAAAAAAAAACCAAATTGCTTAGCACCCATGCTATGTTATTGATATTTTAAGATCAAGAAATTTCCTAACATGAAGATCACAACAAGCAGAGATTGCTGTCAATGTACAAAGCCATATAGGCTTGCAATTTCTCCCACCTTGTTAGCACTCTTCAAATTCTCCACAGACTCCCAAAGACCGATCAAAGCCATCTTGTCCATCCTTTCCATATAGATTCGGAAGTGCTCTCGGTATGAAGGGTTGGCCAAAATTTCTTCGAATTGAAGAATCTGAGGAAGGAAAAACTAAGAATAAAAACTGGGAAAATGCCTAACTCTAGCTTCTCTCCATCCCTTATGGGGAAAATCTTTTCACTCGATGTGCCCGTGGAGCATTATGAATTCCACAAACATGTACTAGATTCAACTACAAAGACCTTCTACAGTAATAGTTTTGCTTCATAAAAAAAAAAAAAAAAGGAAGTTAAGTACTTAGAAGATAAATGCATCTATGCTCCTATCAGATAGTAAATATCTCCACATCTTTGTGACCAGGAAACAAGACTACATTCCAAAGGACTAAGATGGCATTTCAAGTCACTCGTTAAATGCTATCATCAAAAATTTAACTTCCAATGTTCCTGCAAAGCAGACGAGCCAAGCTGGAAGCAAACTGATCTGTTCTTTACTTCTTCCAAGCAAAGAATAACACCACAGGCCACAGAACTTTGAGATGTATCTCAATTATTACCAGGGACACAGAGAAAGATGGAATACCTTGGCAGCCAGGGCATTTGCTGGCCAGTTCCCACTAACTGTTATTGAAAAACATCTATCAGAAATGCAGCCAGGAAAGAGTATGTTCTGTGATAAAGTGCTCAGGACTTCTCCTGAGAAGAGAGACAAGGGTGTACATCAGGTAGAACAGGAAATGAAACACTTCCCATACCCAAGCAGATGCTGCAGCCATTAAGATGTTGCATTAAAAGGCCATTATCACTTCCTTATCCTCTACTATTTTTGTGAACCCGAGAGCCTTTTCTTTAAGACAAATACCCGAAAAAAACCCTGACAAAATGAACAGAACTTCCCATGATGAACAAAATGAACAACCTTGTCTTTCTTTGCAAAATAGGACCAATTTTCAAAACACCTGATCAAAACCAAACACCCCTTCCTCTCCAGCTTTTCAGTCTGAACCAGTTTTCATGTCTCTCATTTAGTGCCATTACTTATACTGCCAGGAATCCAAATACACCAACCAGAGTGGTTTTGGTCTCTTGCTTTGTTACTCAATGGCACCAACCAACTCACAGAAAAGCAGGTCCTTAAGCACTGGGGCCCATGAGTCTTATCTTCCTATGAATTTGCATTTTATAGTAAAGTTCATTGGTATGGAACAAAGATATGAACTCTGAGACTGAGGCATTAATAATTTCTCTAATATGGGTTTTCCGATACCTTAATAATAATACAATTCAGGTCATGTATCAGCATCTCTTTATTTTTGGGAAGACAACTAATTTTTCTAAAACTAATACCTGTGAGACTCTAACACCAAGTTACATGTAGGAAAAACAGTTTCCTGGTCTCAAACTATATGAGTGGAAACTACATACATGGGCACACACTCAATTACTAGCACAAGTTACTTCCTCAATGAGCCAAGTTAAGGTGGTTCTTTAACAACTGCAGCCACTTATGTTTTGTCTGAAATAGCTCCCCCCAAATTATAGGCAGTGTTTAAGTAAATTATATTTGTCTCAGCTGAAATGCTCATTTTCATCTTCAAAGTCCATGTGCCATTCTTCTCTTCATCCTTTACCATACCAATATCTCCTGGACATGACTTACTCAGGTATATGAACATCTGCCTTTCAGAGCTCACTCTATAATCCTCACTGAATGACAGAGTGCCTTGCTTAAGCCAGGCTTAATACAGAAATGATGATCAGGCTGTCAAAGAGAACAACACAGAGATGACAATTTAAAGGCCAATCTGTGGTTTAGCATTGCTGTGTGTCATCATACTTTCTATGCAATCATTTTACCAAGGACAGTGATTTAAAATACAAGTGGGAGAGGATCTTCCAGCCTCTTGAACAGATGTCTTCATCTCAGGGACTGTCACCTCTGTAAATAATAGCAGAGGGAGCATGTGGTGTCACTTCTTGAGTGAGAGGTCACCTTGGTCTCTACGCCTCTATTATCCAAGGTATCCCCACTCAGACTGCCAGCAAGGAGGGTAACTAACAAACCTCCTCTCTCAAAGGTAACTGGGGTTAAGTGCTGCTGCAGGGAGCAAGGCAAGTGCAAACATCTCTCTTGCCTAGAAAGGGCCCATTGCACCGGTGCCCCAGGGTAATCAAAGTGGTGGTACCTAATAACAGTTTTACACAAATCTCCTAATAGTTACCAAGCAAACTAAAACACTTTAAAAGCTAAATTAATGGGCAGAAAAGCCTATTTAAATTTTTTTCGCAGAAATGAGACCTCACAAATATTTTCTTGGTTTTTCTTTGTTTAATGCTAGACTATCCTGGAATTATTTAATATGTTTCAAATGCTGTTCTAAAAACATTATATTAAAGCTTCAATGACAACAATGGTAGACACAAGAGGTTTTTAGTTTTGAGGTGGAAAGTTATCATAAAATGCATGTGTGCTGGTTTTGGCTAGGAGGAGTTAATTTTTTTCCCAGTGGATGATATGGGGCTGTGTTTTGTATTTGTGCTGAACACAGGGTTGACAATATAGAGATGATTTTGTTATTGCTGAGCAAGGCTTACAAAGAGCCAAGGCCTTTTCTGCTTTTCATACTGCCATGCTGGCAAGGAAGTTGGGGGTGCATGGGTGGTTGGGAGGAGACACAGCTGGGACAGCTGACCCAAACTGACCAAAAGGATATACCACACCATAAAACATATAAAGTGGGAGGAAGAAGGAGGAGACGTTTGGAATGATGATGTTTATCTTCCCAAGTAACCACGACATGTGATGGGGCCCTGCTCTCCTGGAGATGGCTGAACACCTGCCATCCCATGGGAAGGAGTGAATTAATTCCTTGTTTTGTTTTGCTTGTGTACATGGCTTTTGCTTTCCCTATTAAACTGTCTTTATCTCAATCCATGAGTTTTCCAGCTTTTACCCTTCTGATTCTCTCCCCAGTCCTGCTGGTGGGGGAGTGAGAGTGTGGCTGCATGGGGCTTTGTCAATGGCTGGAGGTTAAACCATGACAGTCTTTTCTGGCACCCAACCATTCTGTGGAGGGTCTTTCCATTTAAAGAAAGAGGTTCTGCAGTAAGTTGTAATCCTGAGCAAAAGATCATTTTATAACTCAGTATCACTACAGATTAGAGTACAAAGCTCTAAGCTATGCTGGCACATCTGCGGGCATTAGGGCACATGTACACACCCTCAAATCTAATATCCAGTTAGCAGATATAATCTTAGAATTATTAGCCTCAACAGCAACCCTTCAAATCCTTTTAACTCGAGAGCAGCTTCTGGGTTTGGAAAAACCAGCTGCTTTACTGCTGCCACATCAATTCCCTACTCCAACAGGAAAGCAACTAATATAGCACAGCTGGTCACAGGCTCTGCCTAAGACTAGGAAGGGTTTAGTTTTTTTATTTTTTTCCCCAAGCAGGCTGCTTTAACCAGCATCCCTATCATACGCACACAGAAGAGCCTTGTTCCTGGCCCTACAAAGCAGAGACTTGGTTCTGGCAGGCCCCTGAAGACAGATATAACCTCTCTCTGTAGAGGAACATAGAACAACTAGCTAATTTGGAAGGGTCTGCATGGCCACCCCACATGGAATAGATGCATTGTACTATATTTCTTTGCAACACACCAGCTTCCAATTCACTACAACCACATTGGCCTATAATGAATAAACATCTGATAACAGCACTGCAGATGGTTGGGATGAACAGAATTTGGGTCACTAGGGGAGATTTTCTGATGGGATGATGGCACACAGACAGACTGCAGGACTTCTGGTTGCTGCTTTGGATTTTTTGGTTTTTGGTAGAAGACAAGAACAAGTGGAATGTAAAAAATAATTCTGGAAAAATACGTCTGTCTTTCCAAGTTGCATTGACTAATGCTTTGTCTGTATACTGACTAAAATTACAGCCTATGTTCATCTTTTTATGTTTTAAAAAGAGGTAAGTCGTCAGGAGACTGTCACATAAAGCAGTAGCTGAACTAAATGTAATAATTAGTTACATATCAGCAAGTACATACTAACTACATAAGCTACCTAGCTATTTTACTGCACATACACTAATGTAAAAATCCCTGCCTTGAGACTCACATGTTCAAGAACATACTTCTGTCATAAGAAACCCCATCTTCAGGCAATAGGGGAACAACAATTGAAGCTTGTTTTCTTAATATTCCCAAATTCTGTAACATGATATATCCTGACATAACATGATCTTACAACCTGAAGCTCGGAAATCACAGAGAAAATCTGGTTAAGTCATCAGTTAAATCAACACCCATCCACAGACGAACGGAAGCAAGTTCTGCAGGAGTTTCATCTTAGTCCTCATCCCTGGATTATGGACAAGAACTGGTTCCACCTCAAAATACACTCAGATGGTTTCCTTGCTATTTCACAAGTAGTTAAGGATCAGATCCCCAGATCTCCTCCTACAATTCATGATTCACAAAACAGCTCCACTAAAAAGGTGCTATGACTCCATATGTCAGATTTCACAGACGAGGTGGTGTGGCTGTTGTACTGAACACGGTGTGTGTGGGGGGGAATCGCTGAATGAACACAGACAACAAGAACTCAATTACTAAAGTACTGTGTAGGCACAGTTTCTAAGAAAATGGACTGAAACTGCACTGACCATTAAGAAGAGATGCTTCATATACTACACTAATTCGAACTGCATTTTCTCTGAAAACAAATCTAACATCATGGGCAGAGTACAAATCAGTATCAGAGCTAATGACAGAATTCAGATTCAGAGAGTAGCTGTGGTTTATCTGTTTGTTTCTTTGCTTATAAGCATTTGATTATAATTCACATATTCAGGATTTCCCTAAAGAACCTGGATTCAGGAAAATGAGGTGAGTGAAATGTGGACTAAGTCAAATGAATAAAAATCACAACACTGCATAATCAAACCAGAAACTGACACTGTTTTATAATTATTTTCTGCTGTGAAAGAAAAAAAAAATGTATTTCAAAGCACATAAATTCTGTTTCTTATATCTGTAAGAGGAGAACGTTGACAGCTCCAAATAATCCATCTCCATGCATTTTTACCAGCAATGCTATTACTCCCCTACTACTGCAGTAAAGAGAAAGCTTTCTGTAGGATGCATAGCTGAAATCAAAATATAAGTTTAGTTCACTAGTCAGTTCTTTGTTCAACTAGTATCAAAAATTCCACAGAGTTTATAACGTATTCAAGCTTCTGTACCACACTTACATAAAATATTAATTCAAAACACCACCAGTAAATGGCCATTTCTGACCTTTTTCATGCAAGTTGAAGAAAAGAAAGCAAACTTACAGTTTCTTCTGCACAGACTAGTTATTCTACAAGTTAGATGCTACCTTAACAGAAAAGCTGACACAAAAACTCTAAGGAGAAATTTATGGGCCACCAGCAGCAACATACCAACATTATTTTATCTACTAAATCCCAAACAATGCCTTTCCCTTTTGCCTAGAAAAAAGCTTGAATGTTCAGTCAATACTGCCCATATAGGAGGGGTCAACATTCAAAATAACACTGGCTGCCTTGAAATGAGAATCCAGACTGCAGCTGCCTCAATGCTAAAAGAGGATGGGAAGAAGCAACAGTGAAGAGAGACTGCTTCCTCAGCTAAGCCTTGGGCATTTTTCTGTGCTCAGAAGGGGACAGCATAGCCTCTCTCTCATCTGGCCTTCGTTCAACCTCCCTCAGCTTCTTTCATGGCAACTGAGAGTTGGGGACAACAGAAGAGAGAAGCAGTTTTCCTATTTTCTAAACTGACATGGCTGTGGAGGGGGTTCTAGGGCTTCATCACAGAAACACATCAAAAGCTTAGAAGCAGAGCTGCCTCAGACCCTGTTGTTTCCACCACCACTACAACAAATGCCTGTGCAAGGAGTCTTTATTTCTATTAATAGTACCATTAACTCAGTATGGAGCTGCTCATTGGTATATTGGCAAGATATAATCCCAGGTCAGCAAGTGCCACCAAAAAACTATTGGTTTATAAAACATGCAACATGAACTTCATTAATTCCTCTGATTTAAATTATAATAATATATTTTATTATACTTCTGGCCAATCCCTACCCCTATCCAGTGCAGCTTCACTACTGGACTCCATTCCTGAACAAAGTTCGTAACATCTCAGCAGGCACCAAAAGTGGCATCAGTGGCTCATGCAGAGCTGCCACATGCTTCCCTCTTTCCTTTTCTCCTTGGCACCTCTTGCTACGCCCAACTTCAGGAAAGAGATCAGGACTGCCTTGGCACAATCTAAGACAGACCATCTGAAATCATGCTTTAAGAACAAGTGAGGAGTAGGGAATTGTTCTGTTTCAGAATCTTGCTCAAGAAAAACAAAATATAAATAGTAAGAACTATTTCTTCATCATACTACTTTTTCTTATATGCTACTATTAACATGTAACACTACATGTTACAATTATTATAAGGACATAACAAAAGCTAAAGATCCCTGCACGAAGAGAGACTTTATCGTCTACCTAAACGAAAAACATAAAATCATCTTTCACATTTGAATATGCCAGCTTCTGTGCTTTGCCCAAAGGGGACAGAGAAGATTACACAAAGTCGACACTAAAATTATTAAAGTTTTGCAAGACTAAGTAGTCATGATTTTATTTTTGTAGATGCTGACTAGTACAACAGTGGTTTTTTCTAATTCCAGACTATAGTGATATTGAAAACCAGCATTCAGTCAGCAGCTTTACCAGAGTTTTTCTGCAACAACTACCCTGAATTTTGTCAATTGCCTTCCATAATTGTTAGCTTTTGAATAACGTAGTATTTCCAAAAACCACAGGTATTTCCTAAAGTGAATACAATGAGGGCCAAAGAAATACTGCACATATGTTGGCAAACTTTTACTTGAAAGCAAGTTGCTACTTTCAGGAAGGCTGTTACCATGTCCTTATTAACTCTCTGTATGCAGTATATCTGAAAAATCAGAGATGCTTACAATCCACTCAGTCCTTTATGAAGTTTCACATTTAGCTACATTCCAAACTGAGAGATCAGTAAGTCTTTTTGGGTACTTCAGTAATCTTTTCCCAAGATAAATAAACTATGCAGCAATTAATTTGCGCTTCACTCCTGGGGGAAGGGTGGGATTAAGGACAGTGAGGTAATATGAGCCAGTGCTAACGCATTTAGAATAACCTTCAGACAATGCAATTTATACCTTCTGACTCTGAGGGCCATCACCTTCATCAGAAATGCCATCTTCCTGCTGATCATAAGCAGGCCCTCCCAGGAGCCTTATTCTCTTCTCACATTGCTTCTTTGCCACCGTCAGCTGATTAATATACCTCTTCACATTGCGAGCCCTTAGTAGGTCAGCTTTCATTGCTGCAGTTTCTTTTCCCTTTGAATCTAAGAATAAAGCAAATCAGAGACAGTATTTTACAACATGAAAACATCATTGTACCATTGCCTCTGCAGCCTGTCTGATCAAAGCATCTGTCTTTCAGGAATCAACTATGCACATGAGCACAGATACTGGCAAGTTTCTATTTGAAACAGAATGATGATTTTGAAACATTCTCCAATGATAACTCAAGGGTTTATACAAAATTGTTCAGAAAAAGTCCTTACTCCAGCACACAGAGAAACCTGACCCCTCCAGCTCTCTTTCTATAACTTGTTGGAAAACACAGGCACAAGACCTCTACTACAGAATGTACATGGTGTTAGGAAGTTACCTACAGCCATGGCATATGATAACACAGGGAGATGATGGCTTATGTACCTTACTGAACATAGCACTGACTGCCTAAACTCATGAGGGACTGAGCTCTATCCCCTGCAGCCCAGCATGACACATTCCCACACATCTCATTTGCAAATCCAAATTTCTTGAGCCAGACAACACTGATCAAAGTTCACTCAAATGACTAAGAAAAAATCTTATGATGTCACAATGTCAAGACTGCACAGTACTGTTAGAAAGTGAAGTAACATGAAGATGATAACTGAATTAGACTTAGTAATAACCGGTGTAATATTTGTGTATTCTACATTCCAGCCTCTTCAGCTAATTACCAGGGTCTAAAAAAAGAAGCAGCAGATAAAGCAGATATAAAACCCTATTGTGTTGAAATCAGGATACAACTGATTCACATTTATACACTGATTTTATTTTCCTCTTGTTCAGTGAAAACACTCCTGTTTTTTTGGGCTGCAACTATTGCTCGGCAGCAAAGTACATGACTTGTACTTGGCTCTGGATTAATTGATTGCTCAGGGATAAACAGTAAAGATCTATTCTACTGTGTTTTCAAAATATCAAATGCTAGTAAAATCATTTAGATGAAAGCAGCATTCGATTTTCAAAACAGTTGCTGTTAAGAAACAACCACATGGGTTTGTGAATGCATACACAGCAAAAAGGAAGTCTCTCAGAAATTATTTAAAATATATATTTTAAACACTTTTCTAATACATTAGAGTACCTTCTCCTTTTAGGACTGTTTCCATTCTTTTTTTTTCCCCCTCAAAGCCACATGTAACCACCACATGCAACCGTAAGTTTTGTCATTTGCATACTTAAGGACAACTCAAGGTACATGGAGCTCCCTGAAGTTCTACATGTAATATAAGTCTAGATATTCTCCCATTATCTTTTCCCATACTTTCAATCTCACTTTATTTGCTGCGTGTATCTATCTATCTTGGTAAGGATCCTTCCCAATTCAAATACTGTTAGTGTTTTAATGGATAAGCATCATTTGCACACGAGCTGCCATATAATAATGAACTACAGAGATAATACTCACTGAAGCAAATGATAAAATTACTTTACTATGAAAAAAAACCAAAAAAAAGCCATCTGTTTTCCTAGTATGTTATCTCCACAGGGAAGTCAACAGAGCATTTAATTTAGTGTTTCAGTTCCCTGACCAGAGGTACCAATATTATTGAGAGAAAAGAAAAGGAAAAGATCTTAGGACAAAAGAATGCTCTCCCTCAATTAAAAACATTTACAGCTATTACAAATACATCAACAGTAGTTTAAAGTGAAGATTAAACCCCACCATTTCCTTCCTGCACTTGACACTAAGATGATTTTTAGAAGTTCTCAATTCTTTCAATAGCTTAAATGCTTTGGGCTCAAAATGCATACTTGAAATCCCACACTTTCAAAAACCCACAAACAGTACTATGCAATGATCATTCAGCCTTCTTAAAACAATAAGTACCCTTCCTGGTGAAAACAAGGCATTCTTGGAGGGTTCTCAGTGTAAGCATGTCTACTTTACCTGAAGTCTTATCATCCTGTGATTGCAGCAGGCATCCAGGAGAGATTAATGATCCCTACATCCCACCTGCTTCCGATGATTAATTACTGTATTAACAAAGATCCTTCAAAAACATTTACCTCAGCTCTTCATATCCATAAGGAGCCACTCCACCTAAGAAACGCTCAGGGCAGGGATGAATATCATGCTGCCAGCCTGTTCCTGATCCATGGATAAACAGGGCTTTATAGTTATTGTAAAGCCTGGCAGCGACATCTCTCACAAATAAACAAGAGCCTGATGAGGAGCAGCCCATCATGGAATGTGGCCAACATGTTACAGTGCAGGAAAGACAGCGTGGAAGCGTGCACGAACACTGTACATTACTTCCCTCTTCCACATCATGAAATATAATCTAACAGAAATCTGGAGGAGCATTTTTAGCTCAGCTGAGGAAGGTTAGGTGGATCACTAGTTTTCTTCAAACCCTAATCTGCTTTTGAGATTTTGAGGTGGCAGTAATGTAACTCTGAGCATGGGAGTCAGTATGTACTATACAGTAAAATAACATCCACCACGTATAGCCTCTGTCTGTAAATCCTTGCATCCCCTTTGGTCACATACGTATCAGCAGTCAGCCTCTTCCCTCCCTCCTCCATTGATGAGCACCTCTCCAAACCAACCGTGGACAAGATGCATTACCCTCAGTAGCACACACAAAGAATCTCAGGAGCTGAAAGAAAAATTTCCTCTATAAAATTGATTTGAAGGTCACAAATCAAAACAAACAAATCTACCACAATTAGAATCTGTAACCTTTACCCTCATCCACGTGGATTCCCTCCACGCTAACTGCTTGAGCATGAGCTCTTTAAGCCTTGCCAGAAAGCTATACAAAACTAATTGCATATGCATGTTTAACCCTGTGTGGTGGATGCAGCTGGGGGGAGGAATCATAATACAGTCTTGTCATAGTTAAGTTAGATGGCATCTGTAATCCACTGGAACACACAAGTATCCATTTCATTTCACTCTAAATTATCATCTTGACAAAACCCACACATCACAACCCACACACCCAAGTTAGCCTGGAGCCCCAGTTTCTAAAAAAAAAAGTCTCTTTTTACAGCTGAACATTCAAGCCTCTTTCAGAACCACAGTACCTGAGAGGCCTAACCAGACAGTTCTGGTTCTGTGCTACTTGTCAGCTTCGTTTATAAAAGCAAATATCCAGACACACAGTGGGAAGGCTTATCAGGAGAAATCTACTGCAACGCAGCAGATCTCTATAGAGAAATGGCTGCTTATTTGATCTGTCTCACAATCCCTGCTTGAAAAGGAGCAGTTTTCTCAGCAGGGATGCCCTGGGGTTGATTACACTGTGGTGTCTGAAAAACAGTCCCATTCAGTCATCCAAGGGTGTTTTCCAGTCATGCTGTGAAGTCACATGTAAGGCAGAGGGCACAAAAAATTAAGCGTCAAATCGAACCAATCCCTTTACAAAAATGCCTTGGAAAAAAAAAGAAAATCTGTTGAGAGCTGTGCTCTGTGTTGTCCTAAGACAAGGTATGTGACTTCATGGGGTTTTGGCTTTGTTTTAATAGCAACTAGTAATAAGAAATCCTTACTAAAATTCTTGTAGGATCCTGTAATACAATATCAGTATGAGAAGAAACAAAAATGTTTTAAAATTAGAACTAGTGTATTTAAACAGCTTCTTATTCATATTACAGCAAATATCAAGTTGTTGTAGCAACTTACTTTTGTTGCTATTTCATGATTGGTATGTTTGAAACATTTTCTTTACAAAAATTAAGATTTACTCTTGCTTCTAGAAACTCACATCCTCTGTCATTCATACTACAATGCCCAGTCCATGTATTTGTCTTCTCACAAACCACTTTAATAGATCAAAATGCAGTAAACATTTTCAGATAAGCATTTCTAGCCCTTCAAAATCTTTAGCAGATAAATTTTGTAGAAAAACAAACAAATAAATAAACAAAAACAAACAAACAAACCACAAAAGAAAACCAAAACCAAACAAACCAAAACTGAAATACCTAAAATCTAGCTTAAATTTGGTTCAGTACTTTGAAGGAATCCTTATCAAAACATAAGAAGAGGAGAGAGTTTTATAGTTAAAGATGTGATTCTTCCATAGCACATGTGACTGTATAGAAGGGTACTGTCTGAAAATATCAACAGGAAGAAAAAACAAACACAAATTTAAAAAAAAAAAAAAAAAAAAAAAAAAAAACAACACAAAAAAAAACCCAAAAAACCCCCCAGAACTACCATCAAAACCAAGCCTTCTAGCCTTCTACTACAGTCACTGCTTTAGTGATTGTGATCATTTTGGAAGAATATATATAGGAAGACACAGTTGGAGAAGTAAGGTAAATACACAGATATACCAGATTCTGTGCTTTTGTACCAGTGTAAATGAGGAAAGCAGTGCAGTGTCAGCATGCAAGCTTCCATTTACAGTGGCCTGCACTGCTCCAAAAAACCTATAACATGGCATTTTTTAACTACAAAGGGTTTAATACAATGATGTTTAGAAGTACTTTAAAGTACTTTCTGATTTTATTAGAGGGCCCTAACAGCTAAATATTTTGCCAATAGGTGGCACCAGCACTAGTTAAATCAAGTGCAAAGAACACTGTCCTTACTGAGGAACAAGCCTTCCAACAAGTTTCCAACACTGCTGGGCACCAACATTAAACATATACTTTGGTATCACCAGATAAAAATAGTATAGAGGTCAGATAACTATGCAGTTCCTATGAGAAAGTCATCAGTCTGAAACCTGGTCCTCAGTCTACTCATCCTTTAATAATAGACACCTAATCCTTTTATAAAAGAAATATTTTTGGTCAGTTTTAGAGACTTAATTATGTCTCCTTAACCAGTAGCAAGGGTACACAATCCTGCTCAGGCATATTTATTGCTAGTCATGCAGTTGCACAAAGCTTCCTTGGCTAAGCAAAGCATAAATAGTATAAACAGTAGCTAAGCACTTAATGCTGCAGAGTAACGGCCACCTAAGTTGCACTAACTACTCCTCAGGTTTTTTGCTGTACCTTTTTCTATTGAAAACACTGCCTCAGAAAGCTCCCATGGCTCAAACTGATAGAGGCTCTCATGTGGGACCCCACCTGTATTCAGCTTTGGAGACTCCAGCACAGGAAAGACATGGGCCTGTTGGAGCAGATCCAAAGGAGAACCATGAAGATGATAAGAGGGATGGAACATCTCTCCCAAGAGGAAAGGCTGAGAGAACTGAGGTTGTTTAGCCTGGAGAAGAGAAGGCTCTGGGGAGAGCTGATTGCAGCCCTTCAGTACTTAAAAGAGGCCTGTAAGAAAGATGAGGACAGACTTTCTAGCAGGGCGTCTTGCTTTACGACAAGGGGTAATGGTTTTAAATCAAAAGGGGGTCAACTTACATAAGATAAAAGGAATAAGCCTTTTACAATGAAGGTGGTGAAACACTGGAACAGGTTGCCCAGAGAGGTGGTAGATGCCCCATCCCTGAAAACATTCAAACTCAGGTGGATGGGGCTCTGAGTAGCCTGATCTAGTTGAAGAGGTTTCTGCTCATTGCCAGGGGGTTCGAGTAAATGACCCTTAAAGGTCCCTTCCAATTCAAACCATTCTATGATTCTATATCCATGTACATATTATTCTATGCTTGCCCTACTCTTACAGTTTGAGAGTGGACATCAGGCTCAACAGAATGCTGGCCAGCCAAAGTTCAGCTGGCTGTAGCTGAACATCCAGACACTAAAGAAGCAGTTACATTTTCAGGACACTACTTTGCCATAGGAAAAAGGAAATAGCTACCAGTAAGACTCTCTCTCACCAGCTGGAATCAAAGCTAAGAGATGCCTATGACACTAAAAGCAAGAGCTCAGTTACTAGTAGGAAAGGAGAGATTTATATACATCCAACACCCATGCTCACACGTCATTGCAGACATGCACTAGGTTCTGGGGGAACAGATTAAAAAGAGAAAGATAGAATAAGACTGTGGAAACACACTTCCATTTTGCATAAATCTTACATTTAGTTATTCACCATTAAATCCAGGGGTAGCATTATGCTCTAGCATCCAGAAAGAGAAATATCGAAAGGTGACATTTAAGTAGTGTCTGTTCTCCAAAGATTTCAACAATCTTTGTGTTAGCAGTGACCTGTGCTAGGGTTTTTTTGTTGGCTTTGGTTTGTTTTAAGGAAGGCAGCACAGCTTTTTTCTTTAATCTTTTCTTCTTAATATTCAGGAACATATTAGATTCATTAGCATATTACGCAAAATGTCTCTATCTACTTCAGGAAAAACAAGACACAGAACAGCCTTCAGAACTAGATTTTAAGCCCCTACAGTTTCGATACCCCACTTGAAGTTTATTGTACATAGATAAAGCCTGAACATTTTTAATAGATGAAAACCTTAGTGGAATAACTGAAATGGCTTAGAAATCTGCCCTAAATTTGTGTGAACTATAAAAAGATTGTATTGCATGCCTCTGTTGGACATGTGTCAAGCAAAAAAATGTCACCTGTTTCTTGAGACACAATGTGAATAACTATTGGCTATTTAATAAATCAAAGCTTTAGCCACAATAGTCCCCACTGGCTAACATAGCCAGCAGTGGTTATCAACCCTGTTGATACAAGGTTGCCATAGGGCTGAACTAATAATAAAAGTCCATACCATAACACAAAACTTCAATGGACCGGCTAGTGCAATTTCTGTTGGATTTTTTTTTTAAATATGGATAGAAGTCAAGAACCCATAAAAACGCAGAACCAACTTCACCACAGAATAAGTGAAACCAGATCTATAATCTTTTTGTATCTATTCTGCAGTACCAGGCACCTGTAGCTTCAGAAAAAACATCTTCTGTTCAGTGTTTAGAACACTGGATAGTTAAATAGATGAAATCAAGTGAGATAGAGAAGAGTGAGACAGTAATTAATTGTAGGAACCTAAACTGTATAAAAATATTCCCCAAATCAATTCTTGTCTCAAAAAGACCAATGGCAGCACAAATGGAAATACAGGCTTAGCAAGATTGATTTTTCATAATGTACTCAGAGTTAACTTCCCTGTTTTCATTTTATTACTTTATGAAACAGACTTTCCATTAAATTAACTTTCATCTGAGAAATATTAATACCAATATCTATAATGTACACTTGAATTAAAACCAGCGCCAACTTTTCCTTTTATCTTAGTTTGACATAAGCAATATACCCTACTGGAATGCACATTCAGCTCTATTTTAGAATGTAAACAAAGTCTATTTGTCTAAGCAAAAATTTGGTCTGTAACTTTGCCATTAGTATCATCCCCTGAAGATATACCATAGTTTTACTACATTTTGAGAACCATAAAAACAGTATATATAATAAATGTAAATACAAATATAAGATGCATGTACTTTTAAAAAGGCAGATATTTCCAAAACATTGTGGAAGGATTTAAGAGCACTCTTTATTGTAACACAAAAATGAAGAGTCAAAATAAAGTCTGACAATTATGTTGTACCATTCCTTTTTCTGTGTTTTGAAAGAAGAACAGACTGAAACTCTGAAGAATGGATTGTATGAAAAAGAAAGAGGAAACAGGATTCTCAGCATATGAATTTGTAATGCCAGAAATCCTAGCTACAGCAAGCTGTAAAAAAAAAAAAATAAAATAAATGCATCATAGATATGACCTTTCTCATGATCCGTCAGCTTAGGGTAGGGGGATAATCACACCATGGGAGTTTCTGGAAGATTCAGACAAAAGAAACGTGAAATACTAAAGACATAGCATTCCTAAAATCTGTCTAAAAAACCCACACACACTGATTGCATATGTATGTCGGGAGTTCAAACAGCTTTTCAAAATGAAAACAACAGATGTGACTGAGCAAAATGGAATCTTACCTTTCTGCCTCTTCATTTGGGGAATATTGCTGATTGTGGTTGCCTGAACTATTTCCACTACAATTTGATACCTAGTTTTAAAAAGAGTAGGGAATAAGGATGAAGAGGGAGAAAAGAAGAAAAGATGGTATTAATTTTTTACAATGTGTTTCTCATACAGCACTTCAGAATTAATAAAAATCAAAACAGTTCCAGCTCCTTCTCACCTAGAAACAGATTAATTTCTCAGTATACCTGCAACCCAAGGAGCAATGTGCACATGGAGTAGAGAAAAAACATTATCTTGAAACAAAAAGAAAACATTCAACTAACAATAATATTACCCTCTTCTCTCAACTGCTGGCACTGAACAGATAATTCATATTCAGTAAACACAGTGTAAAGTCACACTCTAAACATTAAATGTCAGCTTTCTGTAGGAAACTAGGATGGGATTTCAGTTCAGAAGTAAAGAGCTGTCTGTAAGGTTCTTCCAGCTAATGGACTCAATACATATATGGAGCATATATAGCTCAGGAAAAGCAAAAAATTTCACTAAAACTTGTAAAACATTAAAGTACTATGCTCCAGGAATAATTAAAACATGTTTATTACCTAAAACTATACTACACATAACAGTAGACCATTAATGCAGCTAGCGAACTGAATTTTAAGTAAAACTGATTTTTCAACTAACAGGCACTATGCACTCAGCAAAGAAAATGACTGTCAGTTAAACCTTTCATAAATGTCAAAGACCTGGTCATAACAAACATTCAAATTCTTCTCAGTGCACTTACTTTGGTAGCTATCAATACTGGTAAGAAACCAAGTATTATAGCGAATTTGCTAACTATCAAGTTAACTCCTAGATGAAAGCTGAAGCTCCTGGAAAGGCTGCTATTTCTGTGACTACTTTTTCTCCATTTAAGAAAGAACCTCTGATCCTTAAAAAATATTTCCCTTCTTCCACATAAATCTTTATTTCACCAACATCACTCAATTTCCTCCATTTCTCTTGCCTCCTATAACTCTTTTAGGATTTTGATTGTCTCCAGCTCTTTCTACAGACACACAGTTTTATACACACAATATACACTCACTCACAACTACACTTCCAGAATTAATTTTTTTTCTGCAGCAATCTTTAGTCTACCCAAATCCTTCAATTATCAAGTTGAAACCTGAAAATCTGTTTGCAAAACTTCAATTTTTTTAACCCTATTTCCATTTGCCATTACTCTATCTTGGTTGTTTCCATCCACCACCACAGTTCCTGCCAAGTCCAGAGGAAGGACAACCCCATAGTAAGGGTGGCATTCTGGAGTGTAAGAAGTCCCACAGCTATTTCCCTGCTCAGACAGACTTCCCAAATTATTCAAGGCAGCTCACTTGGACTTCTGATGTCTTGGTTATGTGACCTGTAAATGCACTGCAACAACACTCATTCACCTCTCTCAGGTGTTGTAGGGTAACTGTGAATATTACAAATTTATCAAACTAGGTACAGAGAATCAAGTAAATACTGCACATGGAAGGTAGTTTCCACTTTTATCTTGCAACCTTTTTCCTTCTAAATTTACCCTCATTTGTTCACATTCATCGTTTTACATGTTTTCAATACCAATAGTATAACACAGCATCTCTTTTTTTTTTCTGTTCCTCATTGTATTATCTTAAGTATGGGAGATGCTCTGAGTTACATCCTCAAAGATACTATTTAGTCTGTTCCTCCTAAGTGCTGGGCTCTGGCTGTAAATACTCGATGAGACTGCTGTACAACACTGCAACACAGAAACACTAGCCTAGATACACTGCCAGACCATGACCCTTTCTCATTTAAAGTCTATTCCAAATATTCTAGCTGCTAGTGGTGTTGATGACCAAACATCTATGAAATTTTTAAATGTGATGTGTTAATTTAACTTTGAAGAAGTGACTGCACTTGATAAATTGGACCATTCATGGCCTCACATCCACATTACTTCTACCTTCCCACTTTTACCTCTTACCTATTTATCATATTCATGCCCTTCCCTCATTTCTTAAGTGAAAGATTATATAGAGCCAGTAATAATGGTCTTTCTTAAAATGAATTCTTACCATGAATACCTTTTGCTGCTGTAATAATAAATAACAAAATAAATAGAATGGTGATCTTGAAAGCAGAAGAAAAACTATCCACCAGTTTATTTCCTTATCACTATTTGCTCTCAACTATGTTTTTAATTCAGTGTGTCTTTAGTCTTTTTCTGACGGACAAAGTAAATTTTTTTCACAGCTGATGTGGAAGAATTCATCTTTTCTTCCTTATTTGTAGCAGACTTCCAATTAATCCATGCTAACTTCAATCTAAGGGGAAATGAAGGTGAAATTTCACTGTTTAACTTTTTCTTCTTCAAAGACATAGGGATAACACACTTTGTGAAAACTTGATAACGCAGGAATAAAAGTCTGCCTCCCTTCATGACAAGCAATAAAGAAATGAAACATTATGAAGAGTGGGTTTGAAGGACATTCATAGATAACCACACAGTGATTCCTTCTGTGAAAGCTTCGCTGGTTCGTTTGTTTTTTTCCCCCCAAACAAATTCAAGTTTTCAGAAGACAAAGTTCTGACAAAAAAACAAAAAAAGAAGGACAAAATAGCTCCTCAGAAATCAGCAAATTATTTTTTATGAAAGGGATGTTCCAACAAAAACAATAGAGATAAGTTCTGCTAAGCAATAAAGTGACCGAACATTAGAGGCCCACTACAGATGCTAACAAACTACAAGTTCAAAAGTATCTCCAAAATTAAAAGTCATTCCTGCACCATTTAAATAAGTTCTAAACTAAAAGTCATAAAAGAAATGCAGAAAATCAATACAATATTTCTTCTTACAGTAATGCTTCCAAGCTAGGAGAGAAACAAGATTTAGAAAATCCTCGAACCATTATTATCCTTTCAGGGAGAGCTATTTGCGTGGCAGAGAGCTTTACGCTTGCTTACAAGGAGATCTACACAGCCTCTCTCTCTTTTCTGATTTCCTGGCTAAGAACAACACACACCCTTCACCCAGAGGTTTCCACTGATCCAGCATCCAGCCAGGGATTTTCCCTGCTTTCCCCACCACAAATACCTGGTTTTAATCACAAGAAAGCCTAGCAAAACTTTGTTAATGAAATCAGTCTGGAAAGATGCCTTATGGCACTTCTCTTGAGTGCTCTCACATGCATACATCAAGGAGCACCCAGGAGTCCATGCCTTCTCGACTATGGTCAGTCAAGAGTCTCAGGAAATGTTTATCAGTGTCTCATGGCCTTTTGAATTGAGCAAGGTATTTTATGTTTATTTTATTAAATAGATAGTAATCAATCTGCAAAGTTAAGTATGGCAAGAAAGTTTCATACAAAAATAATGAGTTTCCTAGCAGCTGTAGTGCCTTGGGATAAATTTCCCTCAAAGCTAAATCTACACAGAAAATTGCTACTACTTATCTCTGTTCTTTACCAAAATGTTAGGTGACAGCATGAGCAGTAACAGGAGGAGGCTTACAGTTCATGAATGCCATGCATGGCTTAAAATAGGCACTGAAAACTTATTGCCAAATAAAAGCAAGGAAAGGAATTCTTGATGAACAGATTATTACCCAGAATAGCATCTAACTGGGAAACCTATTTATGTACACAATGCCAGTAATTTATTTGTTGTAAGAAGAAAACTGGAAGCATTTTCCCCATTCCCACCACTCCAATAGATGCTTCCTGTGCTTCTCAGTGATAATTGCACAGCAGCTTATTTATTTCTTCCTCTAACTCCTTCTTGATAGATTTTCCCTGTGGTTCATGAAGAATTACAACTAATTTTTTTTTTTTAATCCATACACCATATAGGGACCGCTGTTTGGTTTTCTTGATGCAAATCTGTAAAGTGTCACTGGTTAATCATGAAATCTTTGCTAAATATACTACACAAATTTGAGATGACTACAGGTTGGCCCATCTCTCTCTGAGTGCTCCCACAGTGCTGGAGCCCAAATAGAACACGAATATCTTCTCCCAAAGCGAAATGCTCTTTAACCACCATCTCAGAGACTGGCTTTATACAAAATGAGGAAGGAAGAACAATGCCTCCAAAATCAAATACTATTTCTCTTCAAAAAGACGATATATTTTCTCAGACATTTTCTATTAAAATACTGATCAGGCTCAGGCTGATCAACATTTTGTAGAGTGTAGAGGAACACGTTTCAAAAATGATGATAGTTGGACTCCATAGGCTAGAAAGCTAAAACGTAAGTGCAGCCAAAACCACACTATTTCATAAAGCAAACCTGCTCTCTGGTATTGCAGAACACAATTTCAAGTGACCTATCAGCTAAAAAGAGAACACACTGAGCATTAATGTGCTTGAACAACAACAACAGAAGAGTTGGGTTTCTTTTGAAGCAAGCAGATCCATTAGTGTGATTATGCTAATAAATATGTCAATTAGGTTTTAGGAAGAGTCTAATAGAGACTAATTTCTGCTCTCAGGAAAGACACACTGTCCCAGAGTAAAGAGCAAATTTTACAGCAGATGAACAATAAGTAGCCAAGCAACAGAATAATTTCACCATCACCTAAATGTATTTTCCTATCTCAGAAATGCAAGTGGTTTCTGAATCAAAGACAAGAACAAGAGAAAGTACAATGTTTTTATGCAGTCCACATGCTTCATCTTGGTTAGCCATTTCTTGGTCTGATCAAGCCAACTCTAATGGAAGTTCAGAGTCACAGTAGATGACACAGAATGCACCAAACAATGCTGATATGCCCATGTATTTCAGCTGTTGCTGCAGCCATTTAAGAAGACAAAGCTGACCTGCAGCAGCAACAGAAGGGAGTTGGGAAGAAATGCCGGTTCTGGCTGGTGGTAAGAGATTAGGACAAACACTCTGGAAATGGCTTCAGCAGCCCTCCAAAGTTTTGCTCTGCTCAACAAAACCAACTCAAGGACATCTAGAGAGGTTCTAAAACAGCAGTATCTCCATTCCCTGCTTCCCAATCATTTGTTCCTTATCCTTTCATATATCTCAGAAATCAGCTCAGCTATAAAGATAAGGCAAGCATAAAACACTGGTTCTTGGGCAAGCAGGTTTGACGTACAAGTAATATCTCATGTTAAGATTAAAGATGTAAGTAGGAAGAGATGAGATGGGGGTTGGAATGTGTATGAAAGTGACCAGGTGCTATTTGCATTAGAAAACAGGAAGATCAAACAAACTCATTATATGTAGGAGCTCAGTGGTGGTTTTTTTGATCTTTAAGGAATTCTTCAGAGTTCATTAATATGTTTGAGAAGGACGCGAGTGGCAAACACCTCCCTGCAATAGTCCAAGAATACATCTTATCCAGTGGCAAAATGTGCTGGAACTCAAACCCTTCTTTCCATGTTACAGAATCATAGCAAGCTGTTCTGAATGCTCAGTGTCCCTAGGGTCACAACAGTTCACAGCCACCAGACCACTGCAGTCAGTCATAAGTCATAAAGATAATGAGGAGATAACCACACATGTTAGTGGAAATTCAACATATTATTTCATCTAACTCTGCAGAAGCAAGCTGTAAAGAAGAGTCCAGTGTCCCTTTCCTACTCTTCAAGCATTTATACCTTTCAAAAGAACAGCCATCTCCAGTATACTACTAAGCAGCATTTTTATGCGTTTTCTGCCACTGAGCTAAAACGCTGACTATATGAGAGATCTAACAAATGTTGTGGCTTATCATCCTTACTCTCTCTGCTTCACCAAACAAAAAGAAATCTAAAATTAAAAAGAAAAATCACAATTCATTCAAAACTCAGTAATTGGCTGGAAAAGAAGCATGTTTAGTTTTGAATGAGCTACAGTGAAACATTAAATACCTCAGTTGTTTCAGGAACTCAACATCGGAGCTGCTGTTGATGAGCTTGATGAACTCCTCATAAGAAGGAGCATATGTGTAGTCTTTCTTCTGATGCTCATTCATCTGTTCTCTGTACTCCAGCTGGCTGAGTAGCATTCGGTTAATATAATCTGGATCACTCAGCAGTTCCACCACTGGTTTCAGTACTGAAGAAGAAAAATATTTTAAAACGAAATCCTTATGCTGAAGAATAACTGCTGTCTTTCAAAAGAAAATTGTAGATAAAGGCAAAAATTTTTATGCAAGCTGATAAAAATCCAAAAATACAAAACCGGTCTTCTGGAACACATAGTATAATTGAGATTCCATGTACCTTCCCGATAAAATTGTTTGTTCTATTGCGCAAATTGATGCACATTGACAAAGCTGAGCTCTATTTAGAAAATTCCAAGTGCTTTTGTTCTTTCTGCTGTGTGCTTTGAAGGCTATGACATTATAGCCACTATAAATGAAAATTTAAAAGTAAACGGAATCACACAATATACTTGAGACTTCGAAATTTCTGAATTTGACTTCAGTGACATAAAACATGCATAGTGTATTTATAATCACAATAAAGTGTATCTGATAAAATAAAGAGCAAACCAGAAATCCCTCAATTAAAAAAACCACACTAGATAAATCAAAGTCTAAAATAATGAACTAAACCTAATATGATGATTCAGTTATAAACACATCCTAAAGTCTATGGATTCTATGTATCTGAATATAAAAGGGCAGAATTATTCATATAAGCACTAAAAATAATGCCAAGGAAAACTGCAAAAGTGTTCCTCTATGAAAAAAATAGAAAATGGGAAAAGACAAATTGTGTTTTATCCTAAAATGTGCTAAACAGCCTGGCATCAAGTCGGGAGAGTTAAGTAAGTACATGCTCGATTTTGAGAATTTAAAGTGTCTTACTGGTTATCAAAGTAATTTAATTTCAGAACGTAAAAGTAGAGCATAAAGATATATATAATGAAGTTTGTAATTGCTAATATTGTATAGGTGCAAATGGTTAATCATCTCTGATCTTAGATCTACCTTTTGTTGCAAGTATTTCTGCAAGGACTATGCGCAAGCTGACAGATTGGACATCCTTTGAGGGTAGGAGACAATACACCAGGACTTGAGAACATTTTTGCAGAAATCTTACTTCTTCATCAGGGCTCCTCAAGCATGAGTGCAGCAAAAAAGGTCTTGGTGGATCTTCCTGCCTAAATGGAAAAAAATTTTAAAAAAATTAAAAAAAAAAAAGATAAAGGAAGGAAAGAAGAGAGAGAACTTACAGATCACTTGTATCATGATCAGTCGCTAACTGATAAAATGCTGCAGCATGAAGCACTGGGTGGGTGCTGTGCACCACTGAACACACACAGCAACATGCTGCTGGGTGAGCAAGCCCATGATAGCACAGTGTGTTGTTTGCAGATTTCTCATAAACAGGTTTTCAGATGACAGCTCTGAAAGAAACAAGGAGCAAACCTTCTGTGCCCAATACTGTTTCACAGGTGCCAATGTTTTTCTGGACTTCTCAGAACACGTTTGACAGAACGCTGCACCTTTTCTTTATACAGAAATAGCTGTAGAAGCAGAGACAAGGTACCCTAGCAGTTATTTCATGGCCACATGCCTGATGTGCTCCAGTCCATTTTAACAGCAAGGTGACCAAGCCAGTGGTTACAGCGAGACAGACACAGTGTCACCTGAGAGATGCCCTGGTAATTTACAAAGGCAGCCAGAACTGGTCTTCAGTAGAAGGCTCTAAGTTGCTACAAGGGCTTGGATCTGTCACGTCTCATACCAGTGCCTCCTCCCATTTTTCATAACATCTGCTTTCTTCCCAGATCTGGAGGCTGCTGTCCTGGTTAGTCAACTGACTCTTACTCACAGAGCTGCTCCAAGCCCATCGCCTCTGTATGTGAAAAAGTGACCAAGAACTGTATACAGTACAACCAAAAGTTTTCAGCTAGACACTGCTGTATGGCCACTAGTAACAGGCAGCATTGTTTAACAACTGATTTTTGCCTGTCAGTCTGGGAGGATGAAAATATGTTGGAATAGTAACAATAATTGTAATTTTGTTCTAATAATACAAGTAATTTGCCGTAAGGTGACGAAAATACGTTTTATAACTAATTTGGAGCACAACATGAATGTAAAGATGACATTTGGTTTTGATTTGACTGAAGCCTCTTATTCAATTACAAATCAAATGTTTTGTTTGCAAAGGTGGATCATGGAGGGGGTTTCAATTGTTATAAGTAAGACAAATTTCGAAACAAGGCCCTTAGAACAGCTTGGATGTAAATACTCTGTTCTGAGGAGCAGTGGTTTATGAAGATGATGTGTAATCTCCATTATCAACCAGCCCAGGTGGTACAGCTGACTGAGCTCAGAAAGATGTTTACCTTGTTCTGGTAGGATCTTTTCTCTGTGGCAGCTAAATATGTAGTTATTTTCCTCAGTGCATTTCCATTTCTCTTGCATATTCCATACCTATCCTAAAGCCTCCTCTACACCACATCAAACATTCCCCATCATGTTCTCCCCTAAAGGCATTCATTATTTATCCAAAACCAGACATGCCCCAGGCAGATCACTGACAAAGTCTGGGTCATTTACCTACAGCCACCTCTTACCGTGGAAATAAAGTCTTTGTTTTCCAGACAGGTTGTCGCACCCAAAGTCAGCCACCTAGAAACACAGCCAGAAGCATACGCAAAATGCTGGCAAACAGGATGACTTACAGGAAACATAGAATAGTTAAGGTTTAAAAAGACCTTTTAGATTGACAAGTCCAGCCATTAACCCAGGACCATCAAGTCCACCACTAAAGCATGTCCTTAAGTGCCACATCTACATGGATTTTTAACACTTTCAGGGACAGTGGTTCCACCACTTCCCTGGGCAGCCTGTTCCAATGCTCGACCATCCTTTCAGTGAGAAAGGTTTTCCTAACAATCTAAACCTTCCCTGGAACAACTTGAGGCCATTTCCTCTTGTCCTGTCACTTGTTACCTGGGAGAAGAGACCAATCCCCATCTGTCTACAACCTCCTTTCAGGTAGTTGTAGAGAGCAATAAGGTCTCCCCTGAGACTCCTCCAGGCTAAACAACCACAGCTTCCTCAGCCATTCCTCATAAGACTTGTCCTTCCCCAGCTCCGTTGCCCTTCTCTGGACACGCTCCAGCACCTCAACATCTTTCTTGCAGTGAGGGGCCCAAAACTAAACACAGGATTTCAGGTGCAGCTCACCAGTGCCGAGGACAGGGACTATCACTTCAGCTGATTCCTGTGTATTAGCAGCAATACAGAGTTAGAACTAAAAGCACGTGCAAAGCATGAAACAGAGCCATAATGCACATAAAATTTCACTGAACTGAGATTAGTCTTCTTTGTCTTCAGTATCTCTCTACAAGTCTCCTGAGAAATGCCAGTCTGTTTGGGACTGCAAACACACTGAAGCATTAACTGCATTTATAATATCACCCATGCAAGATAAGTCTGTCTCCCTGTTGTACAGATTTATTCCCAGTCAAGAGCCAACACATACAGCTTCTCCTAGTCGGACCTATGCCAGGACTTTTCTGACACACAGTCAACAGAACACAAATGGAAAATAGAACAGAATAAACAAGTACATAGACAAATATTTGATTCTTGCCCTTCTAATTTGTCTAATGTGTTCTTGCCTACAGGAATGCAAGGGAGGGTCAGAGCTGCATAGTCTTCAGTTTACAGGCCATTTAAGAAAATTTCAATTTTTTTCCTGGAGTTATCTCCATTACCTAAGAAGACAGGAATCTCTAGAAGAGGAATTCTTTCAATGGTCTTCCTAGACAAACTGTATCTAAATGTGATCTAAAAAGCAAGAAGAAAGATTTTTATGAAAAAATAGAAAAACAAAATCTTCAGGCAATTAAACTCTAAACAAGCCTTGCATATCAGTGCTAAATGGTTGTGTCAACAAATCCTGAAGTTTTCACTGCTTCTGGGCAAGAGAAATAAAAGGAAGACTGAAAGCAGGAGAGGAAGCACGAGGGGAGGCTTAACAGCTACAGCACAAATCAATATGCCAGTGATAGAAGACAAGACATGCAGCTTATATCCTCCTTTGCATGTATACAGGAAGCATTACACTTCTATCTGTCTCAATATTACCATTGATCAGCTTGCAGGGAAATACTGCGTGTCAACAAAAGGTCTGCCCAGTAAACAGCAACTCTTTTAATTCTGGCTTCCCCTTTAGTGATACACATAAAAAAGGGAGAAGTGAGCAATCACAGAACTATTAACATCACTGCTCAGTTACCAAACCACGTCTGTTTACTATCTTGGAGCAGGAGCTAAGATGTCCTGATCAGGCATATTATTAAGGCTTGATATAAAACCCAGATCTTCAACTCTGTGGGAACGTGGCATTGTTCATTTTGCAGAGACCAACAGGAAAAGTAGAAACTTAAGTGCAGCCCGCATGCACGTACCCAAAGCAGGCTCTCTCCAGTGTCAATAAAGATATTAAACACTATTAAATAACCTAAATAGTAACAGAGACATTATTTCTCTTCCCATCTAATTTTGAGCATGTGTTATTAGGACTGTGTGGTTGGATTTTCCAAACAAAAGGTCACTTAGTAATCATAGAAAACTCTGAACCAAAATTGTGTGCAGATATTTTTAGAGAAAGCTTTGAAAGCCCAGTCAATTATCCATAAATTCTGAGCACAACCGTGTGCAGTGAACTAATATAAATGTGGCACTCCAGCAAACAGTTCCAAAACAGGCATGATACAAGCTTTGTAAACCAGGCTCATCTAATCTGCTTTACAATACACAAATAATGGCAAGTGGCAACTTAATTCATTTGTGTCTTCTTGAACAATCAAGACTGAAGTAATGGTGACATTTATTGGTCTATCAAGACACAGGTGACTTCAGTGATTTAAAACAGTAGACAGAACTCTACACAGTATGCTTACAGGTCATATCCATCTTCACTCCCCCGTGAGCTACAAAGCCAGCCTTAACGTTGCCCAAGTTTCCTTTCCGTAATTTTCATTTTATGAAAAGCCTGCTCTGAATTTTTAAGACTATCCAATACTTTTTCATAGTGTCAGAAAGCAAAGGGATTTCCTTCAGCTGCCCCTCAAAGCACTGGAAGATAGAGCAGCAGAATATGAACATAGAACCATAGATAGGGCCTGCCAAAGTGAATTCCTTTGTACTAGTCTGTTCTAAGCTGTACTTTTCTTTGGGAACAAAATGACACCTACTGGAACTATCCTTGCTCTGAGACTGCTTTGTGCAATTACCGACTGTGTATCCCACAGAATGTCATCAATATTAGAACTTTACCCCTTACTGCTGCAAACCTGCAAGTTCATCCAGCATTTTATAAAGGAAAGAAGAACAGCAGATTTGCTGTGGTATTGCTGAAGACACTACAAGTGTTATAGAAATATCATAATTTCCTTTTCCATACCATAACTAAACAATTCTGCGCTAATATCAGCACCTCCTTAACAACAATCCTTCATTTCTCAGGAATGCAGAACCCACAGCTGTTCCATAATACTGAACTATCACCTGGGCTTCCAGGTTTCCTAATACACTGACCTCATGGAAATATCTTTTTTTTTTTTCCCTAGGATCTACTCTCGATATCCACATTTTTGACCAGGACCATCTGGTAACTCTCTCTACTGTAAAGACTCACTGCAGTCAGGAGTATTAAAAGACTCCTGGTATTTGTGGTTGGGCATATGCTCCTGATGCAAGGCATCTTTGAAGAACATGATATGTCAGTCTGCTTTGAAATTAGGAAGAAAGCAACTAAATAAATTATGCACACACCCCTCTTCCCCTGAACAAAAAAAAAAAAAAAATACACACCAAAAAACTCCAGAGCATCTTAAAAAGCATTAACAACTCCTCTACAGGAAATTACTTCAGGGTTCTTTTTTCCATTAAATAAATAGATAGACAGATCACAAAGTGTTCCCTTCAGCCTTGTGATTTCTTTACTTAGTCTTTCAAGAGAGAGTCCTGCAGAGATACATTTAAGTCTTAATCAGTACAATTGTGAGTTGAAGTGCACATGCAACTCGCTCTAAATGACTGGCATCAGTATATTCAACATTCACCACGCACTTCCATTAAACTGATTCTGAGAACTACCAGAACCACAGGCAGGCTGCATCTCTTCACTTGTATCACCCTCAGAGCTCTAAATTTCTTGACAGTGCAGCAAAGTAAAAATTGCTTGATCTATTTGAGCTAAGAAAGGAAAAAAATAAATTTAGACCTTTACAAGCCAGAATAACAAAATACACCTGAAAAAAAAAGTACCTACTGAAAGAAAAAAAAAAAACAAACCCACAACTCTGAAAACAAACCACATCAAACCCAGAAAGCACAACAAGGACAAAGCCAAACCCAAAATTTCCACAGCTGCCATTTTATCATGATAAATCAGCAAGCTTTATAAATCACTTCAACTAATGCTTATTGTGAATAAAATTATTTATACATGCCACAGCTACCTCTTTCAGGAAAAAGCATTTGATACGTCACACTAATAACAGATGCAAAGAGTGTACAAATGGCTTACAAGCTTTGGACTGACCACATCAGCACCAGGACATCCTAATGCTTCTTGTGGTGTCTAGGTTATATTCAACCATTAACAGACACGCCAAACTTCCAACACTGAAGCTTGAGAGCAATGGTGAGCCTTAGACCTGGTGCTACTCATGAGTTGACTTGACTAATCTGCTCTTGGCTTTTTGTTACTATTTTCTACTCAGCACCTTCGTACAGCTGCTCTCATTGCAAAAAATATCTACAGTTTCATACTAATCCCCTTGATACACCTTTCCAGAGGCTGATTGTGAGAAACAGTTCTGGATATTCCTGGTTTGTGGGTGGCAAATGGAATTATAAAAGAAAAACAAGACTTGTGGGAGGAGTTTAGTTGCTATCCAGGTAACTTGGATGTATCTACAGGATTAACCAAATTAAATCTAAGTTCTTAAACTCCCTTTGCATCAGTCTGCTCTTGATCAGTTTGTGGTGGTAGCACCTTTTATTTTAACTATCTTATCACAAGACATACTGAAATCACAAAAAATTGAAGTTATATATACTATACACGGGAAGGTACTCACATGGGCTAAGAAAATTATGAACTGAGTTCATAATTCTACGTATTACCCTGTTAGTAATACATAGAAAACAAAAGGAATATTATCAAAACATGAATGATACAAACTTTAATCCCCAAACTGCTTATCATATTGATCACTCAAACAGTAACTTCCCCACAGCACTCTCCCCACTCATACTTTTCAAGAGTTTTGAGCTCTTAACTATGGGTTCTGAATCAGCCCTAGAAGCAGCCCCCAGGCACTAACATTGCTAAGTTTGGGCACACATATACATAAAAACACTTCAGAGTATCTCCCATCAGAGATTGTGTAGTAGTTAACTATCCAGAAGCAGCCCGCAATACCATGTATTCATATTTCTAGAAACCAATTCTTCCTCTGTCTTTGGGATCAAAGGTGCCCCAACTGTGGGTTAAAGACAGTTTACAACCAAAAAATGTAGGAAAAAAAATAGTAGTAATAATAATAGTAACGACGACAATAAGAATAATAAATCGGCATCCCTGTGACCTCTTTGAGGTTTGTTCAAAAAGCAGGGGGTTCAAGGGGTTCAAGAAGAGGCAAGGATTACTACCTTCACAACCCACTTGTCTACTGTACTGGTTTTGGTTGGGGTAATTTTCTTCACAATGGCTAGTATGGGGCTACATTTTAGATTCGTGCTGAAAACCGTGATGATAATATACAGATGGTTTTGTTATTGCTAAGCAGCGCTTTGGACAGCATCAAGGCCCTTTTCTGCTTCTTGAATCATCCTGATGCTGGGGGGGCACAAAAAGTTGAGAGGAGACACAGCCAGGACAGCTGACCTCAACTGACCAAAGGGATATTCCATACCATATGACATCATGCTCAGTATATAAAGGTGGGGAAAGAAGAAGGAAGAGGGGGACATTTGAAGTGATGATGTCTGTCTTTCCAAGTCACCGTTACATGTGATGAAGCCCTGCTCTCCTGGGGATGGCAGAACACCTGCCTGTCCATGGGAAGTGGTATATGAATTCCTTGTTTTGCTCTGTTTGCATGTTGTGGCTTTTCCTTTACCTATTAAACTGTCTTTATCTCAACCATGCGTTTTCTCACTTTTACTTCTCCCATTCTCTCCCAAGGCCACTGGTGGGTGAGTGAGCAGTTTGCATGGGGCTTAGTTGCTGCCTGGGGTTAAACCACGACACCTACTTATTTCATGTAGAAAATCTTATTTTGCCTATGCTGCACCCAGCACAGGACTTTATTTATCAAATATTAATTGTTCTGTAATAATACCTGAGGCAGTTATTCTTAGCCCACAATAAGTGTAAGGGAACTGCCTCTTCCTTTCACGTGGACAGCTTCACAGAAAGACTCTTACTTTGTGTTTGTACCTTGCTAAGTCCTTCTGACATGATTTCATCTAGAAGAATAGCTATCTCTTGCTTTCAACAAACATGCTACCAGAGAAAGATTACATTCCTGGCATCGCTCAGCAGCACAAATTTCATCTGTAGTGTGTGAGCACAATGTCACCTTTCTGCTGACTTTGCCATAGTACGTACAAAGCATTTAAACCCTCTCTCCATCTGCCAAGAAACATTGAGCCCTGTGCAACTTCCATACAGCTCCCTGGACCAAGTTTGGATGAGGAGCTTGAGGATATTCTAGTGCTTCACAACTTGTATCATGCAGCATTGTGCTGCTGATCTATCAGGCACATTAAAACCAGATCTACCTCCCGGTGAATTCACAGCCTTCCTGTGAAAAACAGTCAATGGATCCAGTTCCAACCCCTACAAATTCAAGTGGGGTTGGTTTGGGGTTTTTTTGTTTGTTTAACCCGCTATCACATTAATGCTTGACGGGATTTTTTTCACTACCATGTTAATGCATCCTGCCTTATTCAGCACTGACTAAGTGCCTTTACCACTCCCATGTGAAAAAGTTAACTGGAAAATAACCAAGAGAATTCATTTTAGCTCTACATAGTGACAATAACAATCCAACAAAGACCAGATGAAGTGGTCATAACTCTCAGTAGACAAGATATCTCATCAATAATCAGCATCAATAATATTTAATAATTCTGCAATTCTAGATTCTACATCCCCAGCTTCAAACAGAAAAACATGTAGATTTAAAATAAAAAAACTTTAAAATCAACATCCTCATTCTTTAACTGTTCAAATCAAACTCTTCCCAAAAGCAAGTGCTTGACTGTGATAAAGGACAAGTGCAAGCGTAATACTTAAAAATCAAGGAGCACACTTAGGAGCTTTACCTGACCAAGAGATTTCTACCACATTCCAGAGCTAAAAGAAAGTAGTACCTGGAATTCAATGCAAGATTAGTGCAAAGTAAATACACCTTTATTTCTTCTTTTCTTGAACACAACCACCCTTTAGTTTCTTTTCCATCTTTACTTTTTCTACACATTACCTGACTGAGAGCTGAGGTCTACTACAAATATGTTAACCCTATCTTCTGCTCCAGAACAGAAAGAAGTGTCAATGCTAACAGACAGATTGGTCACTAACAGATTACCGCAGATCTTTTTTCTCTGAAGGGATGTCAAAAAAAATGTGAACCTAACTGTAGGCAAAACTACTGCACAGAATAAATTACAGTCTAAATCTGAATGATCAAAGCATATTTCAATTTGGATAACTAAAATGATGTAAGCACAGACATAAGCCCGAATTCCATGCACAGTTAGACAAATTGTGCATTCAGATGTGGGAACTGCATAGGCTGAGTTCCCATTTGCAATTACAGTTTGGGTGCAATTCTAGTACTCAGTGGAGAGCTGACTTTTTCAACTGGACAACATAGAGGAAATTCATGAAATTAGCAAGATAACCTACACAAAGAAAGAAAATACAGCCAACTATTTTTCCAGTAGAAAAATCTTGCTACGGCAGGACAGGTCGCTTAGAAAAATCACAAGACTTTGCTTCCTGGGGCTAGAAGAAATGGAAAGCTGAATGGAATTAACCTTGGTGCTATTTTGGGAAAGGTGCAAATAACAATCTTCTTGTCTGTTGACTGCTTTGACAGCACCCCTTCTTTCCCTTGCAGGTTGACACTACTTTGCAGGAACTGCTCACACAGCCCACCTCCTACTGTGAGCAAAGGATTCAAGGATGAAACAGAAACAGTAGTGAAGCCAAATTCTGAGAAAAAGGAGCACAAGTGTTTCCTTGTACAGGTCTCACAGATATCCTGAAGCCTGCTTGATCTCTAAAACTGGTAATAAGCTTGGACTATTTTCTTTATCAGTTCTCTACAAAAGCGTTACATTCTTCATTACTTCGATATAGCGCATCTGAAAGCAAAGAGAAAAGCAGAAAATTCCAGTGAAATGCAGAGGTTTTTTTTTACCTGGCATTGGCTCCTTTAAGGTCACAGAAGTGCGAGAGTAAAGCTTTCACTACATCATTGCAGACAACTTTAACTACATCAATGTGACTCAGCCTCTGTCGCAGCTGCTTGGCAATCTCCCAAAAGTCTTCAGATAGCAGCTGGTACAGCTGCCCTTCATCTCTGCTGAGTTGCCCATACCAGGACAGGATGTAATCTCTATAGCTGTAGTCAAACACTGAAAGGAGAAACAAAACAATTAATAGCAAAAATTGCAAAATTAGAAGGCACACCCAGATAGGAAAAATATAATCCTCCACCTTTCTCCTCAAAAACTGGATGGGTAATAGGCTTCATATCTAATTTTGGGTTTTAAATTCTTGCCAAAGAAAGTAAGGTTGGTGAGGTTACAGCAATCTGCACCTAACAGGTTACTGGAGGTCACTTTGCAAAGCAAAGCCTGTAAGTGGATTTGCTCAGACAGTCAGGTTACCAGCTACACACAAACCTCAGACTAATACCTGTCTCTCAACCGTGGCTTTATATATGGTTTTATGAACTATCATATAATCTGACTGTGGCTAAACTGTTGCAGACTGAAACTAGCCTTCAACAGTCTCCAAGGTTGCAGTTAAAAGGGCAGGTGGTAAGATTCTGGGATTTCAAAAGACATATAACAACCCCAGAAAAGTACATTATAGGATCAGAAAAGCTAAAAGAGAACAAGTAGATTAGTGAGACTACATGAACTTCAAAACTGATGAAGCATTCTAAATCATATCTATAGGCAACCACCAAGATTACAGTAATTTCACTTCCCATGGCAACACCATCTTCTACCATTATGACTTTTCTTTCAGACAACATTTGTGTGTCTATTTATCAGTTTTTACTGCTATTTCACACTAGCAGATGTCCCTGGAGGTATGAGAGGGAGCAGGATGTGTTCAGGGAGCACGTATGCTAAACGCATTTACAACAAGATAAGGAAAAAGCTGGGGTTGCAAGAGTCAATTTGCATCTGCCAGAGGGATAATAAAAAAGGGGGAATAAAGTTATATGCCTGATAATCTGAGCAGCTTCTTTACCAGATATCTTGATGTTTTCATGACTTTTTATATCAAAAGTACACCTCATCTGTCAATGTAAGCCTGCAGTACAAAGTAATCATATGACTCCACTATTTCTTACTTTCCACTTTGATAGAAGTTGTTTGTTTGGCAGTTTACTGAACTATTAAAATTTCCCTGGTACTGTGAAAGTGAACTATTAGCATACTAATAGGACAACAACTTAAACTGAATACTTTTGCCTGCCTTTTCAGGCAAAACCAGCAAACCTCATCCAATATCACCTTGTTAAATACATTTCAAAAGAAATAGCTAAAATTGATAACAGTTTCCAGCCAAACGCTTCATAAATCAGCTTCCTCACATTTATAAAGAAAGCAGCCAAGTCACTTCAATGAGTATGTTGAAATATATAGTTAAAAGCCTTTTGCTAAGTCATTTCAAGGCTTTTTAATTAATAATTCAGAAAAAAAAAACCACACAGTTCAATAAACAAATAAATAAAATGTTTGAAGTATTTATTCTTTTTCCTGATCTAGAAGAGAAAAAAATATGCAGAGCCATATTGCAGGATGGGAACTTTCAATATTGAAACATATCCCATTGCATTACTTTTCTAAAATAGAAGAAATCATATTTCATTGAAAACTCTCACCTGCAAATACTACAAAGTGATAAAAACAGTTATAAAAAGTAGTGGTCTCCTGATAAGCAAGGTGAGGAATAATCCATTGATACACCAAAGAGCAACTGGGACCAGCATTTTAAAAACTGAAGTTTTTTTATTTATCTCAAGTCTCCCATTGCAATACCCATTTTAGGTATCTAGTTTTCCACAGTGATCCCCATGTCCTTCTGCAGACATCTTTTTCTTATAGCTTAGTTACTCTCTTCTGTTGCAAGATCCTAAATGCTGTAGAAAGCTGACCACAGCACAAATTCTTCCTTTTCACCTACTCTGTAAGAGACCAGTAATTTCTCAAGCACATTCAAAACACACTGCATTGTGGGATTTGTTATCATCACTGGCAATTAATGACTTTTTCAGATTTTCTTACAGACACCCTCTCTACCTTTTGCAAAGTAGCAGATTTCTCCAGCATCTTTTGCCTAAGAAGACAAGCCATGCATGGAGAAGTGGCTCCTACAGATGTCTACTCAACAGAACCCTACAAAGCAAGAGTACAACATACAAGAGCAAAACTCATATCCTGATCCCTTAGACTATATTATCTTTCAGAACACTATGTATTCCCAATAACTCTTAATTTATAGCTCTGTTTCTAAGCAATTCCTCCCCAAAATGAACTCAGTTTCTAGCACAGTACATAATACACATTTTTTGATTTATTTTAGCTGCTCATGACTTCTGTCACGTTCAATGGTACATCTCTGTACTCTAGGAAAGTACAACATTCAAACTAATTAGAACTCTTATATCAGAGTACAACTCCTGCAACTTTACTACACCCCCAACTGGAACACTTGAAGCAAGATCTATTATGGTGGGAAGACTCCTGCTCAAACAAAGCAAGGCAACACCACTTTAAACCATATTTTCCTGCACCTATCTTTTATAACCCTCTTCCTTTACATGCTTTCTATAGTTTCCTTGTCACTTCTGAGCCTTCCTGCATCACAACAGTGCTGTTCTCTACAAAACTCAGGGTTCTTTAGAGCCCAGAATGTAAGTCCAAATACGTGGTGAGACAACTTTAGGACTTTGTTTAAATAAATCAATAATATTTAAAAAGGACACCAGCCACAGACACTAACGGCAGTCTGTTTAAGACTGAGTAAGACACTGCCTCATCCATATGTATCATCCTGGCCATGGTGCACAGTTGCTGCTTTAGTTTCACGCCCATTGATGCAGCTGGTGCCTTTTTCAGCACTCTAAAGAAATACAGAAAACAAATGTAGGCATTTTATAGAGAGCAGCTTGCTTCCTTCAGAGGAGAAATCTGCTCATGCATCTATTATCATTATTTTTATACAGCACGTTCTCTAAAACATAGAAAACAACTGGTCAGAAGACAAGGAAGGAATGAAAAAGAGAAGCAGAACACATTCAGGACAATACCTTACTATGACTAACTCATCCACTACAAACATAAAACAAATTTCTTCTGATAACCATTAAATGCAGTGACCACCATGAGTCTGGTGCAAAATTGTAGAAACTTCTACTGGGTCTTCTAAACTAGTTCCTGAGTTGTTATGATGTGATTAAAAGTCATTCCCATGTGAATTTGAAGTTGAGCCTCTTCAATCAGTCTTTTAAATACTGTGAACTAAAAGTGTTGGGAGTAGAGAGCCAGAAGCTTGTGTGGAGGTTTAGTGAGCACTCCCATCTAGATCCTTCCTTCATTCCTACTCCCACACAGGTCCTACAGTAACTGCTATCCCTTCTACCATATTCATTCATTCAGAGGTTCAGTGGCACCACAAGAGTTACCTGGTCAGACTAGCTTCAAATCTGCAAAACTTCACCCTAGACAGTTTTTATGCTGCCAAGATTCATTACCCAACTTTATTAAAAATAACATAAAAATCTGAAGAACAAGGATTAAATACCTAGTCTTTTTCCCAAAGCAATATTAAAAAACAGAGCATAAATATTCTCCCTACTCAAATGCAAACACAGACTTCCAAGTTTCAACAAGAAGTAAATATCCTTTCCTGAAAGCACTGGAGAGGCCAGAACAATTAATTTATAGTCAGATCCAAAGCTCTCCTGTGACTGTGTGAACAACAGAAGAGAAGGTATAGCTACAAAACTGGATTCTAGAGCAGCAAGCATTGCAATCTGTAAAAGTAACATGCAAGGTTAATATGGGACACTGCCCCAGTCACTAGCAATAGTAATTTAAAGATTTCAGTTCTCTTGTTAAAGTTTGTGTTTGGAAAACCACTAGTATTTCTTGGTTTACTTGTATTTTATGACATTATTCAAACCCTATGAAAATGCCACGTTAACAGTCTAAATGTTATGATTGTGTATAGGTAGATGGGCCCTGTGCAAAAGCAATCATACCCTGACAGTCCATTCCACATTCTTTATTTTTATTACAATTTCCTTGACATTTGTGTCTTTAATAATTTTTACGAATGTGAAGGGTAAAAAAAATGAAATTTTCCAAATAGATAAAAAATAGAGAAAAGTGTTAAAAAGATCTAGGAAATGTATAAAATAAAAAAAAAAAATCGGACAAGCTCATGTCCAAATAGTTTTCCACATGTACCCTTTGTGAAGAGTTCTTAGCTTTCAGTGTTTGAATCCCAGTGCAGAGAGAACAAATTCAAATTGTCTTGCTGATATTTTGGACCCAAAAAAACAATTTTTTGAAAGCTGTGAGGAAAAAAAGCCCAGATTTTCACATAAAGAGTGGCAGAAGCTACTTCAAATTTTTATCTAAATGCCAACGTGTGGATCTTAAGTTGGGAAATGAGATAGTCTAGGAAAAATCTTCTTCTGTAAACGGAAGTACTGCCTTACATCCCTAAGAGAGTACTTCTAAGGGGTCAACACAGACAGGCAAGATCTGATCCTTAGGAACAATCTAATTAAATTCCCAAAATATTTCCAATGAGGTCACCTCAAGACAGGGTTAAAAGACAATAACCCACTATGAAAGTAGAGATGGCTCTCTGGCATGAAATATTTTAAGAGCTAAGAAACACAGGGGAATTTTAGCAGAACAATTTCACCAGTGGAGTTCTGCTGGGATCTGTGCTTTGGCCTGTCCTGTTTTACTTACACATAAATGACCCAGTAAAGCAGCTAAGTGATATGAAGACCAATTTTCTCAGTACGACTAAAACAGTAGAGACAAAGACTGACTGTGAAGAATAACAAAGACCCCAAGATGTGGAGCAATAAAAATGGAGGGTGAAGTTCAGTTCCCGGGAGACCCACTACACTCAAGGCAGACAAATCTACTGATAGCTACAGCCTTAGCCCAGACAGTATGCTGTGCAACAGCAGCACGTCTCACTGAGCACAGTCTCTCTTAGGAGACGTTATTACCACACTACCACACGAGATGGGCTGAAAACAGGAAGTGACCAGACAAGCAACAGGTAGCGTTAAATGGTTAAAAGTATTTGTAGACATGGGTTATCTTTTATTTTTGTAAGATAAATGAAGGGCAAACAAGAATCAAATCAATCTATCAAGAGAAAGCATGAAAAACTTCGGACAACCATATTTCAGTGTTAGTCACTCAAGTATCACCAGCTGAAAAAGGCATTCAGGGCTGACAACTAAAAGGCCTTTTCATTTTGCCATATTCAACAAGGAAAATCTCTTCATAACATTACACTTGTTCTGATTTTGAGCACTTAGATTTCATAAAACACACCACACAGTAGCCGGGCTAATTCACAGCTTTCCCTCATCTAGTATAGTTAGTAACTAACAGTGAACCCCAGGCAAACTTAATTACACAATGGCGAAAAACAGAGGAAGAAGTCAGAATTAACCAAAGGGCTGTCTCTCTTCATACCCAGCAACAGCAGACAGATGATGCTGGCTCTTCCAAAAATGTTATCCATGCATCTCTAATGGGCATACCTAAAGAGAAGTAAAACCTGATTCCAAAGGAAAAAAAAAAGAGCAAAACCTCATTGACTGTGGTAATCTGACAACACCTGCTCTAAACCTGAAGTGGCTGTAGGAGTCTGACCTGTTCCCCAAGATTAAAACCTCATGAGAACTCAAAGTCTCCTAGCTAAATGAATGAGGCGTTTTGAAGCATTTCTGTTGAACAGCATGTTACCTCAAGACAGCAAAAGTTATCCAAAATTCCTAGGATTTATACATACTTTAATCCTGATCTGTGCAAGACTGAAAACAGAAGAGCAGATGGTATTTCTTAAATCACTGGTAATAAAGTTTTACTTAACCATGAACTTGTTTAAAAAACAAACAAACAAAAAAAAACATGCACATCGAGACAACTACAAATTTCAAAACTGTCACAGGGCAAGAAGTCCTGCCTGTCTATTTTCAAACAGACTGATCATTTACTCTAATAAAAAATTAAAATATTGCTTTTGGGATTCATTCAGTATCTCAAACTTAAGCTGACTCAGTCACCTTCCAAACCCAAAATGCTTGCTTAAGTCTTTGCATGGTAGAGCAAAAAGGACAGTCTCATCTTTGTCAAACTGCATAACAGAGAAGTTGGCTTCATCACTTAGGCCTGGAAGAAATACAACAAAATCTGACAAGTTTGCTCTCCAAAATTCAGAGTGGGACTGGAGGGTAAAAGCTAGTTTGAAAAAAAAAAAATAGCAGAAAGGCAAGTGAGCTGTCACAACAGAAGGTACTCAACTCTAAAAAGTGAATCATTTACATATTAGTAACTTTCAGCCTTACTGAGTAGGGATGGCCTCACACAACCAACTGAATGATCTGTGGGATAAACACCTTAGATGAAGACAACTCCCATATTTTAACAGACATGAGTTACTCCTACATGCAAGTAACTGCAGGGAAGTGTAATATGACTGTCTTTCCCTCTATATTCCACAATACCTGTTGTCTGTCTCCAAATAACCCCACAACTTCCAATTCTGTGATTACGTCAAGGCTTCATTTCAAATTCTGAGGCAGGTTATCCAAAATGCAAAGTACACATGTGAAAGAATACTGCAAATAACTTGTCTGTGCTTGTTTCATTACATATTTCTAAACATGTAATGTTTAGACTCCACTATCCTTTTCACATGATCAGGAATCCTCTAGTCTGATTCCAGATGAAAATGTTTCCTAAAAATAAATTATAATTATGTTATAATAGTTCGCCTCCACAAAAACGTGACATGGGCAGGTAAAGTGTTCCAATTTTAGCTACCTATCCTGCGAACAGCTATTCATAAAAATAACTTGAAAAACATAACACATCCCAGGTTTTCGTAAGACAACAACCTGTTTAAAGCAATGATAATTTTCAAATATACTGTCAAAGATAAGAAAAAGTACTGCAAAGAAATGTTAAAGGAAAAAGTATTCAAAATTAGATAAAATATTTACAAAAGGCTGATAGACTGTATCAGCCAAAAATCCAAATGTTCATTATAAATTCACTTTTTTATGGCAAGAATTGCACTAAACGGGAAGACTGTATGCAAGAGTTTACAGGATTTATCAGTTCAGCAAAACCCAATCAAGAATATTTTAGATGTAACCCCCTTGTTTTGTGCACAAATATTAAGGACTGTATTTTAACATATTTCTGTTAAAAAAACAACAAAAAAACCCCAACCACTAGAATCATGAGATATCAACTGAATTGCAAAAACATCATCATATTACTTACTACAGTGGACCTCTTGGGAAGACTAAGACCTTGCGCTTTGTGTATTATATTACAGAGGAAACCAGGGTCATATTCTAAAATCCTGGAATACTGTGCAGTTTTCAGACTCCAGTGCACCTTTGACCAAGGTAAGACTCACCTTCTTTCAGTGCTTTATCCATATTGTGAGAAATAACCACTCTCCTTGATTGGATTGAATCATGGGAGCTTCCAGACCAATTACTCTGAAATTCAAACATAACATTCATCACAAGAGAAAGGAATAAACCAAAAACTTCAGAAGGAATAAAACTGGAATTCAAGGCAATAGTACTGTATCATTTGGTCTTTATACAAACATTGTCACTCCACACAGTTAACACAGAGGAGTGTCAATTATCTCTGAGATTATTATACATAGTTCATTAAGCCCATATTAACACTCACTGTTGAGTACAACTTGCCAAGGTTTTTTTGGTAGAAGGGAGCTGTATTTAGTTGCAATTCAATGTACTGACAATAGGACATGCATGTAACAGAATAACTGCAACTCCTCCATTCAGTATTTTCACAGCAAATATAACATATTGATAGCCTACTGTGACAATAGATTTCATCTAGCCTCATAAACTACTTTTAAACCAAAGAAAAGCCTTCAGATCTCCCACACTAATTTTGGTTCACATCCTTTTGGGTTTCTTCCTTCAAAGATACTTCCAGCTGCTGCATTTTAAACTGCTGTCCTACACAAACATCTGCCTGTATTGGAGTACTCACTCTTACGGTGTCCAAACAGGTGGGCACATGGAAAAACATTTTTCAGAGTGTAGACAAAGAGAGTCATTCATGCTGTATTTACATAGAAAGGAGTGTAATTCAGAACAAATAGAAATGGTCCCTGCTGTTGCCCAGCTTACTTTGCTCCCCTTGTTGGGAGCCCAGATTTTCTTTGGTAAGGAAATAACACTTCAGAAGCATCTCCATCTCTCCAACATTCACCAAACACAGAATAAGAAAGCAGTATAAACTTTAAGTAAAAGTGCTGTTTAATGTTCTTAAAGGTAATACACCATCATTTTAGCCAATTTGCAGGCTAATTCTCAGTATATTTTGGTAAATATGTTTTTCTCCACTGCAGAACAAAGCTCATCTAATGGGATCCAAATAAAGGAGTCTCAGCACTACTTTTAATGGCAAAACAAAGCTTTTCAGACTCACTCACATTTGACACACAGCATTATGATGGATCCTTTCCAGGCCTTGAGTGCCCTCCTTCTGCCCACAGTTGATTTGTTCCAGCTTTTGAGTGAGTGCAGCAATACTCCCTAGACTTCTTCCAGTCACCATTCTGAGACTATAACTGCGGTCTTTCACCTGATTTCTTCCCTCCTTGGCAACACTATCAGCACACTTGCCTCCATTTCAAGTCCCTCCTTAATACCAAAACTATAGTTAAAGAGGGGTAAGAACAGAGTATTTAGTGAACCATGACAGATTTTCAAGCCCTTTTTTACCTGAATACAACTCTGGTAAAAGCTGAAGCCATATCCATCTAAACAGCTGCAGAAAGTATTTTTGCTCTTTGTAAGAACACCTAACAGTATTTGTAAGGCTCCAAGACATAACCTCTAGCTGCTAATGTTGTCACACTTCCTCAACACAAAGTTGTGTTAATGCCAGTCACACAATTACTTCAGGATTTTTCTGCTTTATTTGCAGCAGGAAATCACATGATTCATAACCACTCCAATTTAAAAAGAGAAGAGACAGACTCACAGAGACATTAAACACCCTAAATAAATTAGGGGAGCGGGAAGGGATTCAGAAAGCCCAATTAAGCAAACTCAGATTTTTCTGTGAAGAAAGAGCTCCCAAACATGAGGCCACAGTTCTGACTGAAGTTCTGTGCTCAACACACTCCATCTTCCTTAGCACTCACGCTAGCTTCGGTATCCCACGAACTAAATCCTTCTGCTAAAATGCATCACACCTGCATAGAGGTCGGTCACCTCAAACAGCTAACTTAGGCATCAACAGTTCTCATTTGTAAATATGTTGCAGGGAGTGGTTTTTTTACAGCCTAAAGCATCAGTAAGTGCTCCGATGAAGCACTTGTCAATTTACTCCTTTCAAAACTAGTTTAAATACAAGCTAAAAAAAAAAAAAGCCCTTCAGAGGGGATCTGGGGATCTGTGGTTGCAAGCAGCTTGCTCCACATCCCTACACTATAATCCAATCTACACATTTCCACAAAGCAGGAACTGATCATTTTATGCTTCAAACTTGAACACTCGTTTTGAGGACAAGGCAGACTACTACTGCCTCAGCAAAATGCTGCCTCTTAAACTCACACCTCAGCTTGCAAAAACACATTCCATTGAGAGTGTCCTCTATGGTTCGTATGTTTGACTTCTAAAAGGCATGGACTATTCATTTAAAAAGAGTTGTTCAAGACATGATCAAAGAGAATGTAAAAGGTAAAAAGTGAATACCACAACTAGCAATGGTGATTTTGCTGCTGTACAAATGTTATTACTGAGGGGCAAAGGAAGATGCGTAGTATATCGGACTTTCTGAGAACTTCCCATAAGTATTGCATACAGTCATGAACTGCTGAAGAGAAAAGCACAGAACAATAAAAAAACCCCTTTGTTTAAAACAAGGTTTCAACTTCATTAAAAAATAAATTTTCAAGAAAAAAGAAGAATGTTCAAATACATTGGAGTGATCATAGAATTGTTTAGGTTGGAAAAGACCTATAAGATCATCGAGTCCAACCATTAACCTATGATATTGGTTGGGTTAGTTCAGGCTTAAGAAAAAAAAACAGTTCAGGCAGACCTTACCACTGACTGCAATTGCTGAATGAGAGGGTACAGAGATGAGAGAGCCAGAGTCTTCTGGCAGATGCACAGGACATTAGGAAACATTGCAACACAGGAAATTCCCATCACAAGGCAAAACTATTTTAATCATGAGGCTTGTCAAGTATCAGAATGGGTGTGCTGAGGCTGTAGAGTTTCCATCTCTCCATTCTTCTCAACAGGAGAAAATCCTGAGCAACATTACCCGATTGGACTCACTCTAAGCAGGAGGGTGGACCAGGTGCCCTCCAGACATTCCTTCCAACCTGAACATATCATGATCCCTGACGGCCCTTCAGAGAACCGTAAATTTAATTTCATGACTGATAACGCATCAGATCTTAAGCTGCCTTGTCTAAAAACAGCTTATCAAACTCATTTTTCCTTCCCATTTTATGAACTTGCATTTAGCAAAACCATGTCTCAAATCTTGTTAGTTTAGATTTGGTTTCAAAAAGTTCTGTTTCTGTGGCAATAATAATGATGAATTAATTAAATAAGCAGGCATCCCTGAGTTAGATAATATGTATGGCAACAAACACCTTAAAACAACCTGGTAACACAGGTAATCAACATCTGTGATAACAGAAGGATTCCAGAAAATTCATAGTCTAAACTCAGCTCTAACAGCCGAGAGAATGAAAAACTCAACAGATTTCACTGGAAGACTTTCTTCCCACCCCTGCCTCAAGTCTGATGGAGGGCATATGCAGAAAACAGGTTCAGCTAGAAAACCTAGATGTGAATGTTTTCACATTTTTCTTCAAGTCACTCATCTAAAGGAAAATGGTGCTAGATTTCATGAAGTAATTGGCATAACCCTGACTGAGCCAAAAATGTTTGTAAACGGATTTAATACAGTCAAAGCTCTAGCTTAGATGCTCTTTTACACTGATTAAAACCTGGCATGTTCCTCTAAGTTCTGCCTTGCATTATCACAGCCTCCAAAAATTAAAAAAAATACATTTTATTTTTTTTTTAAATTTGGGCTCTACTCTGTAGACTTCATTGTTGAAGATTGGCAAAAACCTGGTTGAAACTTAAAACAACATTTAACAAAAGGTTTGCAGGAATAGGGGTGGAGCACATTTGGTACATGCTAAGAATGAGGCTGCTAACAAACATGGAGGCCTATTTCCTGGAGCAGCGCAAGTTTCTTTGACTTTGTTTACAGGCTGAAAAAAGGATGTGTGCATTTCCTGTAGACTTCTGAATAACACTCATTGTTTGATACTTTTGAGAATAATTTAAGATGCAGAAAACAACAGTCTCAATGGGCCAAGAATAAAAGCCAAAAACACCAAGGCTGGCATTAATCATGAAATTTTGTCTTAGGTTCAGTCTCCTACTAATGCAAAAATAAAGTGTTTAAACATTGACATTATGGTATTAACTTAAAGTAATTTAAAATTAGTTCTGAGGAAAACAATAAATGTTAAATAATTAAGAATTAAGAAGATATTTCAACAACTACACTCAATAAATGGCAAAGCACTGAGAACACAGGAGTACCTTCCACTATCAAGAAATCCATCTGCAACACCTGGTCATCAAATGCAATGTTTAAAACACAGCAGCAGAAAGCCAGACAGCTGCTACAGGCATGCCACATGCAGCCTTACTCTGCCGTGGAATTAAGGCAAGAAGCAGAGAAAAATTTACTATTATTTCTACTACATTAACTCAATTACAATAAAACTAGAACAGAGCTCAGGACAGATCCCACAGTACAAATGAGCATTGTGCATGAGATTCTCAGTCTAACCACTGATGTAAAAGGCAAAGACTGCATCTAATTCAGCATACACGAACCATCCAGTTACCCATAGCTACTTGCTCCACCCACTGTTGCCCCACTAACTTTCCTCTTATCTTTGTAAAACATACATTAACATCAGACTGGACCTTGATGACAGCATCAAAGCTTCAAACAATACTTCACTGAACTCTCCACAAATTAGTCTTTAATTGATGTGGATAGACATGTTCTTAGAGTAGCAAATATTACTTCAACTTATGATGAAAAAATAAATTTTCTATTCACAAGATAATATTTTTAATTAATACTTCCAGTTCCATTTAAGATTACAAGGCAAGTATGTATGTGTCACATTAAGCACTAATCTACATGTATTAAGGGATACCATAACTACCAATTTAAAAATCAACATACTTAAAGCATATTAATCCTATTATCTTAAGAATCATTATCTCAATAATCATGTTATGATATCATCATAACTTATTTCCACTAACATAGTAGCTTCTGGAACATGCAGATTGTGGTTATTAGATGGGAATGTTCTATCTTAACTGTACTGTGTTCAAAACTAGTAAAACTGTAGCAGTGTAAAAACTTTATAATTAGGGCAGAACTCTCT